GTGCCAGAACGATCCGGTTAATTACAGTACATAAATATATACATAACGAGTTTAATATATGGATAAACAATAAAAATTGTGCGGTGTACCATACACCTTTCACTTACCACCATATTTGAAAATCTTAATATAATTACTTTAACTATAAATACAAACTTACAGTAATTAATATAAAGGATGAAAAATCGGTGAAATATATAATATTTTTATTTTATCCCTTTTATTTTCACAGAAATTCCACCTATAAGAGAATTTCAGTATCACCTTCTACCACTTATTAAATCACAGTAAGTGAGTCTTCGATTGCAACAAAAAAAAATTTGTGATTCTACACAGAAAAATATTAAACCGAAATCGATCTTAGGAGACAAGAAAAAAAAGATATTTTACATATTTTAAAAATAAATTAGATTATTTATTTTAGCCTCTGTTCTAAATTATTATATACCAATCGATGATTTTTTTGTCCTGACTTTTATTTATTTATTAACCGAACATGAAATTAAATTTCCGATCTTCAAATCGCTTTGCAAGGAGCAAATTTCGTTGATATCTACAAAGCGTCCCATCACAGGATATAAATCAGCTCAGCAGATCTCTTATTCCGTAGACCACGGCCTACGTAATAGTCGTGGTGGACTTCAGAGGTGTCTTGTGCGTTTAAGAATTTCTGTCAGTAGATTCAAGTTGTTCGACCAAGTCTTCGGTGAAACCCATTATAATTTTCTTTTGCGGTGTCTAAAATTGTTGGGATGAATAATTCTTTAAGTATTATATAATTTCCAACATAAAACTATTCTCGTCAACACTTTCGACAGGATAGTTGATTTTTTTAATATTGGAGGATTTAGTATAACCCCACAGTTCTATATCGTAAGTGCAAATTGGTTTTAGTAATACCTTATACAGGGTTAGTTTGTTAGTTAGAAGATAAATTTGAACATCTGTCAAGAGCGGTTCAATAGGATAAAAGACTTTATCGTCTTTTTAGTTCCATTCGTTTTTGTCTAATATGAGACCATTAGTTTTTTGTCTAAATAAAAATCCAAGTATCGAATTTCATCTGATGCTGAGATTTCAATGTTTATTGAAGTGTATTTCGTGAGAGGGTGTATGGATACTACAGACACACTCTTTTAGTCCGTGGTACAGGCCCCTTCTTATCAAATTATTAACATCCGCCTGAAACTTCGTAAATAGCTTCATCTCATCGTAACCTACAACTATTTTATTTACGAAAATTCTCGTAATTGGAGCGATTTCAATCTGAAGATTGTTAAACGTTGTCCATTTAATTAGTTACTAAAAACTCGTAAATACCAATTTGCTTTCCACTTCAATCTTAATAAATATGAGCACAAAATCTGGAAAGCTGAATTACCGCCTTTCCAACCCATGAATATGAGTTGGAATAAAACTTTTAGATTTTACTCATTTATAAGGTATAAATAAAGAAAAACTTCTCAAACAGTTTTATGAGCTGAATACTTAGAAATTTTTCAGGATCGCAATATTTCCCGTAACTATACATTCGTGAAAGTGGAAGAAAAAAAATGAAAACAAACATATTATAATGAAATATTAAATTTCTCGTATTAAACAGCTGTATAAAATCCTCTACAGAAAATAAGCGAGTTGCCCTCAGATTGCCCGCGCCATAGCCATATAGGAACCCGAATATTGAATTAAGGGACCACCAAGGCGATCTGACCTTTATTGTTGAGGGCTACATTAAGTGCAGCTTGCTCACAAGCTAAGACGGCACTGATATCGTCTCGGCAAACAGGCAAACATCCGAATAGAAAAAGGCACAATCAATTTCACTTTTCCATATATATATATATATATATATATATATATATATATATATATATATATATATATATATATATACATATATATGTAATTTGTAGTAAAGGAAATAATTACGATTTTGAAAAAAAATCGGATCTGAGTTTTCAACGGAAATATACGTTTTGAGATCCCCAGAATCCAAATAACTTTTTTTTTATGAAAAGATTATTTTATTCAAGGAATAAAGCCCTTTAATAATAATGACAAAGTTCAAGAAACATGTACATTACTCTGAAATGTAGAAATTAAAAATATATACATATAATGGTAATTGTCAATTACTAAATATATTCCTACAGACCGGAGACACGGGCTGTACTGAGTTTATCGACCAAGGGATCCACTCCTGCTGGCACTATGCCCCTTGAAGACCTCTGGGGACCGGCAGAGGCACCTAGAGCCGTGATTTAACCCCAGCCCTTGGATATGAATGTGTAATGTCCTCCGATTCGGTAATTGAATGTGACTGGACCCAGAGAGCTTGCATAATGCATTCCTTTCTTCCCCTCTTCCGAGATTATATCCTCCCATCTTTTGTATGTTCCTGAGTCGACAGTAGGATTGTATGTTGAAGGTGTCCTTGCAGGAGTCCTCCTCAAAGCAATACAAAAGTTGATCAATAAAGCTGTTGCGCGTTTAGTTCTCCAAAGCTTAGGTTTTTAATAGTCAGATTATTCCCCCTATCTGAGAACATAAATCTCTCACTATATTAAATGAAGGATTTTTTTTTTCAAACTTCGGGTTGTATACACAACTGTTATGTTATTTTATAAAGGTGTTTATGGCTTTGCTTATTTATGATTTAATATTGTTGAGTGAAAATACAGAATTTATTTAATTCAATAACTAATAACTTTGTCCAGACCATCAGGACGGCAATCTGAAAGAATGAATGGATAAAAAATCAATGGAAAAAAGATTGAAGATATGTCCAAAAACCAAACGAAATAAACTTGATGATGTAAGAAAAGGGCCATTTAAAATTACGAATCGTATTTCTAAATCAATTCAAAAGATAGAATCCAACAGAAGATTTAAGAAAACGAATATATTCCACAGGTAGCATGTTGGTTCCTTACTATCATTATTTTTCTCGAAATCTGCATTATTTAGTTCAATCCAACAAAATTATATTAATAGAAGCAAATCGTTCTTAAAGAAGATTGAGAGAGAAAGACTGAATTTAAAATGTTTATGATGCGTGATGGCCGGTTATAGCTAAGCTAATGACAGAAAATAGACAGAGCTGCAATTTGCTAGAGAAGGCTAATCCATTTTCATTCATAACATGAGAGAGGTTATTTACCCCCTTCCTCCCACCACTATCAGCCATTGGCAGGTGTAGATCTGCATAATGCCTCCTCTAATGGTGGATTTGCAATGTTGATTTGCTTCTAATGTACCCTGTTAACTTCCATCACCTGTTCCAACGCTTCATAGGTTAGCCTATAGGCCACTCTACATAAATATAGTGCAACAATGGATCTATTCGCCGTTTTCATTTGAAGAAAAAAAACTGTGCACGAATTGATGTTTTCACAAATAGGACTAGTTAATAATTAATTATTTAAATCTATTATCGGGATTAATGTGTGCAATCGTGGACAAGACCTGCACCGCTTCTGTGACAATAACTACAGAATGAAACCGAATTCTACGTCATCATAGACGACGATTTTCCTCGGCTAGTCAGAAAAGAAAGATTAAAAGGATGGAAAGTAAACCATGATTATGAAAAAAATATTTAATAATTACCTCTAAAAGTATTATTGTTCGTATAATTACATTTAGTAGTACTTAAAGAATCTCTTCAACTCTATATTTCATATAGGTAGTTAGTTCCCTTCTTTTTCTTCCTACGCAATTATCGTTATGTTTTTTTAAAAAAATCTTTCGGGATGAAGCTCCCCACTCCCAAAACTAAATCATGAATCCGCTAGCGATACCTAAATTAACAAACATTATAGTTTTCTTATCATTTCTATTGAGTAAATCAAGAAAATAAATTTACTATTTTTATTGTTGAAAATGAATTTCCCATTTTAGGAACATTACCGTTTAACATGAACTATGGGAGAGGTACATTTTTATCGATTATTTTTCTTGTCTGCATGTAATAAAAACTCATATTAAAATCTATTATATGAGAAGGAATTAGTCGAGGGTGCGGTCAAAAAAAAAAATAAAAAAATTAAAATATATAAATAATTTTAATTTTTGCCGACGTTTCGACCCACTTTGCAGGTCGTCTTCAGGGCTACAAAAGATACAAACATGTTAAAAATATAAAAATAAAATAAAAAATAAATATAAGTATATATAAATTACGAAGAAGTTGTCAGATACAGAAATAAAAGATAAAGAAAATAAATACATGATAAGAAAATAGATAAAAGAAAATAAATACATGAATGTTAACGAATAAATGAATGTTAACGAATAAATAGATTGAAAATTGAATAACTATTGTTACAGTAAAGTTAAAATATGGATAAGATAACATAATAATAAGATATCAGTGGATAACAAGCAAGTGGAGGTTACCTTTAATTGTAAATAAACAGATAACGGGACCAAAGGTTAAGAAGTGAAGAAATTGAAAGATTAATAGGGTAACATTAGTGTAATATTGTTGGGATAGATTATTAAGTATAAATAACTCTATAAGAAAACAATAATTTTAAAAGAATACTTTAAAATGTAAGAATAAATGTAAAAACAAGGTTATGATGATAAAGAAACAAAAAACAGGTTGTACTATATATAGATGACAATTGACATTTAGTTTTTTGAAAGCGGTAATGGAATGGTAGGCTGTATGAAGATAATAATAAGGTGTATAGTTGAAGGATAGGTGTGTTAAGAAAGGAATCTCAATAAAAGTCAAAACATACCGTTGGATGTGGCACTGCGGGAGGCGGTTGAAACACTGGCAGTGTCAAAAACTCTAGTTAGCAGTGTCAAAAAAAAAGTTCTAGTAAAAATAAACGCATACATACATACACATATATACACATACAAACACACACACACACACACACACACACACACATACACATATATATATATATATATATATATATATATATATATAAAAGGAAAAGTAAAAGAAAGTATAAATGGAAGTGAGAAGATTAAATAGAGGTTTATGATCGAGACTTTTTTAAAATGTTGATGATTTGGGAGTAGGCGAGTGATAGATTTTGCTTGTCGGTTTTTAAGTTAAGTGGTTTGTAGTCTAATTGAATGAAAACACTTTCCGTAAGTAGTCTTTTGTCGTGGTTAGGTACTGTGGCAAGAATGGAGGTATTGTCAAAGTCAAATGTGTGGTTTGAGGTTAAGGCGTGTTCAGAGAGTTTAGAAGCAGTAGAGTTCTTAGAAGTAATTGAGTATTTGTGTTGTTTGATGCGGTCTTTAAGTTGGTTTTTGGTTTCTCCAATATAGGCGGAGTTACAATTGGTGGTAGAGCAAGGAATGCGGTATACGATATTAGAGCGGTGTTGCGGAGGGATGGGGTCTTTTAGGTTGGAGTAAATATTGGCAAGTTTGTTATAGTTTTTAAAAGCAACTCGCAGGTTGGGAATAGAGGAACGTAAAGATTTTTGAATTCTATCCGAAAGTAAAGGGATGTATGGTAGAGATCTATATAAAGGAATGGGGGGCTGATTTTGAGAACTAGAGAAAGGGATGGAGGATGAGGGGCGGGTTTTGTAGTCAGTAATAAGTTTTTTAATGGTGTTGGAGGGGAAGTTATTAGACAATAGTATCCGTTGTATGCGTCTAGTGTTTGTTTCATGTAGGTAAGGGTCAGATAGAGAAAAACATCGGTGAATGAGGTTTTTGGCAACGTTAAGTTTTTAACTTACCAATATTTACTCCAACCTAAAAGACCCCATCCCTCCGCAACACCGCTTTAATATCGTATACCGCATTCCTTGCTCTACCACCAATTGTAACTCCGCCTATATTGGAGAAACCAAAAACCAACTTAAAGACCGCATCAAACAACACAAATACTCAATTACTTCTAAGAACTCTACTGCTTCTAAACTCTCTGAACACGCCTTAACCTCAAACCACACATTTGACTTTGACAATACCTCCATTCTTGCCACAGTACCTGACAACATGTTTGTATCTTTTGTAGCCCTGAAGACGACCTGCAAAGTGGGTCGAAACGTCGGCAAAAATTAAAATTATTTATATATTTTAATTTTTTTATTTTTTTTTTTTTGACCGCACCCTCGACTAATTCCTTCTCATATCATATCAACGGTCAACCATCTCTACATCATTATAAAATCTATTATATTCTATTAAAGGTATATTTTTTTGAAAATTCAATTGATTTTAAAATTTTAGTCCAGTGCTGTGTTAGAGACGCAACTTTCAAAGATTTCATCGAGTTTTGTGGGATAACGTATAGGCTACTATTTTTTAGATTTGTGTTATACAGGGTTCGCTTACTGGGTTTGTGGTTGGGATGGCCATTCAAGGTAAAAATAATATAATCTCAAATTGTTTTCTTATAAATATTTTTACCACCACAGTAGTAGCGGTGGAGAGGGAAAAAACGAAGGTAACGTTTAGCTTTTTTTTCCATAAAAAAATATAAAACTTACTGAGGTCCATATTCGTCTTACATAGTCACCTCACCCTCCCTTTAAAAAAAATTTAATTTATTTCTTAAGCAGTTTTATACTATGTAATATTTGAATTTTTCATTCAATATTACTCTATTGTTAGGCTAAAATTAATTGTTTTAAGACGTTTTGTATTTTTTTTAATTAATAGGAAGTGGTCAACGTCCCTGCAGGTCGGCGCCCTAAGACCTGCACTGGTGATGGCTGCACTGTTTTATTATTTTTTAATGAATTATTATTGAAGATTTACTTGCAGCAGTGCATTTTTACTTGATGAGTAAACCAACTGCTGCAATCGCCCGTATTGCCTAATAGGCAGGAAAGGAGGGGGAAATAAAAAATAATATAAAAATAATTAATCTTTGATGTAATGTTATCAATTTAAATTTTTAAAAATATAGTTTTCGACATTTTTTCCAAGTAGCTCAATCAGTAATATATATAGACGAAGTTGTTTCTTGGTTGAGATTCATAGAACTTAACGTAATTCATTTTTATTTATAAATATACTTTTCTATCAATACAATTTTTCAATTGATTATTTCTTTTTAGTGCCTATATCACCGTATATCTTCAAGAATGTATCCGACATAAATGTTAATTATTAAGGTGGACTATTTATCGCATTTTAAAGTAAATGCCTAAAGAATTCAGCAGAAATAAATCTGCCGGCTGTCTATGAGTCCCACTCACTCGTTTTTCGTCAACAGTATCGGACTAACAATAGTGAAATACAATTGACTATCACACATCTCTAGTTACTGGAGACAGATCCTTTACAATAATGGGTGTAAAATAGGTATGCAGCACCAGATTTAATTTTTAGCTAGCATGCATCCAAGGTTTAATTTGGGGGGGGAGAAAAGGCTTCAGACTTCAGTCCAAAAGCCTTTTATTTTATATATACATATGTATGAGCCTAATCAAAACTTTGGGTCACTTACTTCTGAACGTGTGATCATGAGATGCCCAAATCATGCCCATCCATCCAGGAACAATGTTACATTTTTTTCCTCTCCCCTTCCTGGCCTTTTTGGCCATATGGAGTTTTTCCCATGCTAGGGGAGAGGGCAGAAGATTAATGCCAAAGTTAAGTTCAAGACAAGATGGCTGAATGGTGTAAAAATGGATGGAAGGAACTTGCTGAACACTTGGAAGTGGACTGCTGCTGCACAGGACAAAGCCTTCTGGTGGAGGCTGCTTGAGGGGGCCTAAACTCACCTCCAACCAACAAGGGGTTGCTGTGCCAACTTTATATGAATATTAATAATCTGAATCTTTAGAATAAAATTAAAAGTGATAATAATATAATATAATATTCCTTTTATCCTTTTTATAGTAATTTCCATTTGTTGTTTTTATTTATAATCTTTTACCCATAATTGTTAAGCAAATATTTCTTAGCTATTTGATCAACACTCAACACTGTATAGAGATTTAACATTTTCGATTTAGTGTATCAGATATAATTTATTTCATATAATATAAAATCGATGCATGTATGTACTATACTACACATGCTTTTAAGTGAATTCCTGTATTATATAAGAGTACATATATAAGAAAGCAGATGGAGGAGAAGATGAGGAAGGTGTGAGAAGAAAGCCAGAAAATAATATGCACTTTAGCTGGTCTATATCACAATATATATATATATATATATATATATATATATATATATATATATATATATATGTTTGTTTATTTATTTATTTATCACAATATAGGTCAACTAAGGACCAGACGTATATCATTTCATGGCTTTCCTTTGTATATATAAATTAATTTCTACTCAAATTAGGATGGTACGTCAAAGTTGTGTGATGTGAATATAGTGTCAGATTTAATAATAATTTTGTCTTAAAAACAAAGTTAGTATAAATAAAATCAATAGTTTTATTAATCTTTTATTTTATTACTCGTCTTCTTCTATTTCTTCGTAGTCTTGTTTCTTCTCTCCTGTATCAGCAATAACTGCTTCAGTTGTAGTAAAGAGTGTAGCAATCGCTGCAGCTGTCCTCAATGCAGACTTTACAACCTGAATTCATTTAGTTCGTAAAGATTTACTGATTTATTTGAATCAAATTAGTTGATTATTGTTATTAAGGATCATAAAGTAAAAGAATCATGTTAGTATTTTGTTATATAAACATTTTAAATAAAATATTTTGGATTAGTTGTTATTTGTTTACAAAATCACTAGCAACAATGCCAGAAAAATCTATACTTTATGAAATATTTGAAGAAGTAGATGTATTAGAGGCAAGAGGCTACCTAAGAGAGATGTTCAGTGTTTAGAAATTTTATCCTGAGAGCAACATAGTATGGTAGCATATCTTTTTTTTTAAATCATCACACCAGTTACTGTTTTCACTAAAATATACTTTGTTTTGGTAGCCTCTGACTATATTTATACAAGGCATTTATGAGATGTTAAATATAGTGTATTAAAAAAATAGAATCTATTGGAGTTTGCATCAAGTATAGTATAAAGTTCTGTAAAAATCGCTTAAAAATATGGAATTTACGATTTCCAAGAAGAAACAAGAGAGAAAACAATCAACCTGGTAGTTAAAAGATATCCAGCAATTAGAGTATTTTATAGGTAGAACAGTCTTTAATTAAAAGGTCAATGTCAATCATTAATAACCAATTGTTGCTGCAGTGATGCTTCAAAATAAACAAATTCAGCAAACAAATATAATAAAATAATCCCCAAATCGAAAAATAGACTTTGGCAATAATTTTTACTTTTAAGAAGTTTTGTTAATACCTCTGAGGAAAAGAAATTTTGCTTCCAGCTGATCACTATTTTCTTATGAGTATTTTTGGAATTCAAATAGAGGTAATGGTTGTTATAAACAGCAGTTTTGGATAGGCTAAAATTTTCAGATTAAGCTTACTAATGAAAAACAGCACCATTTTTCAGTTGAAATTTTTCTATTTGCGAATATACAATTCCAGAAATGATAGTTATTGATAATGGTACAGTGTCTTTACATGAGCTATGTTCATTTCCTATGAGTTTTGAAATAAAATTCAACTATGTATCACCATATTACCGAATATTGAACCGTCAGAATCTGTCATTCTCTAAAAAATACATTAAAGAATATGGCATTCAAGATATAAAAATTAAGGGATAGAATAATGTGATTTGTGCAACACCAAACTAAGAATTGAGGAGTTCAGCTAAGCAAGAAGGTGTGAAATGTTGGAATGAAATAAATTTATTGTTATTGTTAATAATTTTATGGAAACAGAGAAAGGTTAATTTTAGGGATTTTGTTATATAGACTTTTAAAATGGGGTTTGGAATGGCTAACTTATTTATTAAGAAATCAATTTTATCATAAAAAATAATTTTTAAATCTTGGCTAAAATCTTGCACTGAGCATGTACAAATGTTCAGTGAAAATAAAACTTAAAAAATCAGTGGCTTACTTTTGTAGGATCAATAATACCGCTGACAACCAAATCTGTGTACTCTCCAGTTAACGCATTATATCCTATATTGCCAGATTCCTTCAATACCTTAAATAAATGAATTTTTATTTACTATATATACATCACCTTACTGATTTACTACTATATATATGAGCTAAGTTTCAAAAGAACACATATCCTTAAAATTAAAAAAATGTTTTTCTCATTTGTTATTTCATTTTAATATACTGAACTAATGTAAATTAGTTATTTTAATAGGTTTTGTAATTTTTTTTTTTAATTTCTAACAAGTGGTGAATGCCTCTAAAGATTAGCTGGCGCCCCAGGGCAATTGTCCAGAATATATCCAGAATGAAATCTTTTAAGATAAAATATTCTCCCTTACGAATTATTGCAATGTTTTAAGCACTATTGTAACTAAGATCCAATCAATTCGTAACTAAATTTTAATAAAACCCAAAAAATTCTACTTAATCGCTAGATTTTTAATAATGATAAGTGTGCTATGGTATCAGGCAAATCTTTAAAAGGCAAATCCTTGTCAAAGAATGAGTTTTAGAGTTCAAACTAATTTATTCTTATACAATTTTATGGTTTAAACATTCAAATGTAATCAATCTTTTAAATTAGAACTTTTTTGTTTATTGTTTCTCATTCTGCACTATTTATATTATCCCCCTTCCTCCAACCAGTACACGCTTATAAGACTAAGAACAGTGACAAAGATTTTTAAAATAAAAATAAAATTTACATACCTCATTCACAACAACAGAACCTTCAATACCGGCGTTTTTAGCAATTGTGTAGCAAGGAACTTTCAATGCATTTGCAACAATATCAATTCCTAGGAGAAAGAAAAGAATTATTAAAAGATTAAATAAGTAAATGTAGATTTTTCATTTATTATTAAGGTATTTTTCTCTCAGTGGAATAGCACACTATTATTAAATGACAATCATGGAAATATATCCTACGAATCTTGTAAAATAATCCTTAACAATTATTATTGTACAATCCCTTTTGAATAATAATTCTGATAGTCTCAGCGAGCAAACCCCAAGTTTGCCATAATTGTATGGTTTATTAAATTTATGATATTTCTTTATGGTCTAACTGCATCAAATTTCTCGCAGAATTAAATTAGACCTCAATAACAATTTTATCAATCATCTGTTGGGAGATCTAAAGTTTCTCAACTTTCTTCATTGATTTTTGCAGTTATAAATAAAACTGGATCATTGAACTGGACTGAGGTATTTTAATTGAATCAATGAATGTTAACAGGACAGTATTCCATTAGAATACATTTTTGGGAAATAAAACAAAAAAATCACTTTTTATCGATAAATTTTAATTTTTATAGCTAATAAAATTGTAAGGTCTTTACTAAATTTAATGAAGCGATGCATCAATTGGAATGCTATCAATGGATATCAATGGAATAATGGGGATAACTCATGTGCCCCAACTGACTATAAAACAGCCCATTTAACATTCAGCAATTTGATCATACTTTGTTTTGGACTATCTGCCATTATTATTAATATTGGCTTGTTTTCATATGTTAAGCAAGCAAGACAGGGCTTAGTGAGAGGCACCCACAGGAGTAATACATTGATGATGTTATAGTATGTGTAATAAAGCTCTTAACCCCCTGAATCCTGATGAAGGGATAACACAAAATACATTTTACAAACACAAAAATAACTTTGAATCTTTGTTTTTTGTACTCGCCTTTTAGGCTATACCGAGGTTTCCTGGGCCAGAGGATGAGGGTGGCGAATTAATTCCAGAGTTAAAAAACCCTCTTGGCACCGGGACGCGAACTCGATATTATTTTATCACAATATCGTCTATCCGGGTTACCAGACAACGCGCGGTGCTATGCACACGCGTTAGCCCACTCAGCCATCCAGCCTCCCGATATAAAACATTGAATCTAAAACTCACCTAATTGCTCATCAGGACAATCAGTTTCTATTTCTTTGACAGCAGGCAAACACCTCAACAAAGCAGTTCCACCACCTGCAACTATGCCCTCAGCAACAGCAGCCTTGGTAGCGTTCAATGCATCTGTCATGCGATCTTTTTTTTCACTAACATCCCACTAAAATAATTTCTAAATTGTAAATTTACTACTACTATAGTAGAAAGAAATAATGAGGTGAATTTATGAAGTCTAATATTTATAATATTGATATGATTGTTAATGTTAATCTGATAGATAGATATTTAGTTAAATTCATCTTCAATTCCACATTATTCAAAAAAGAGGTTAAAGAAATTGTTAATGCCACAGACCATGGGTGAAAAGAAACCAGATAATATTTAACTGGTCTGCTACATGGGACCCAGTTTCTCAACAGGTGCTTTTAGAACTTAATGTTAATCTAAATTATAAAATTAAAAAAAAAAATAATTTTGAGTAGAAAACGATTCTACTGGTTTTAAATTGTATGTCCTGGACTAATATTAAATTTCTAAAATCTCCTAAGCCTGTGAACTTATACTGTATTAAGCTCAGCTACTGATATTATATTTAGAAAATACATAGAACAGGTATGGCCAATCAATAAAAAACAAAACCATATAATATTTTACATATGCCACAAATTATTATTTCTATTACTATGGAAGAAATATCATGGCAAAGCTAAATGATATATTTGACAACTGTAGAAGTGATCACAAACTAATTAATGTCAGCTCAATGGAAGCAAGTTGGTGGATCCTTTTTAATATGGCATAGTATATCTGTCATAACCAAGTTTTTTCAACAGAACAAAATACGTGGCTGTTCTAGTTGCATACCAAAGTAAGAAGTAATGTAAATATTAGATTTTAACACATTTCAGATTAGAATAGGAAACCGATTAGTTCAAGACAGGCTACTTAGCCATAAACCACCCAATTCAGCAGTCAAATTGACCTCAGGCCTCAATCCATACACTGAAGGTTTAAGTAATATCAGCTGTGTAAATATAAAGTTCATAGATGGCTGTAGTTATTAATGTAGTTAATGAGAAACCCCATTAGTGGTGCCATTTTGTTCTTTCAACAGCTGGCTAAGATAAAAGTTTTATACAACAGCACTGTTTTAATAGTACTGTCGAGTTTTGTGCCTACAAACTACCAGACAATATTAGTTTTCTGTTACCATTTACAGAAAAGTGCAACAGAATTACGTCAAAGGATTGTTGAAGCTTATGGTGATCATATCCTTGGTAAATCACTGTGCTTTGAGTGGTTTAAAAATTCAAAAGTTCAAATTTCAACATGAGAAAAGAAGAACCTGGAACATGGGTGTAATCTATTATGAGTTGCTACAACCTGGCAGAACATGTGACGGTGAACGCTATCGACAACCAATGATCTATTTAAATTGACTATTATGTGATAAACAACCAGCATATTAAGAAAATACAAAACTATGTGATTTTGCTTCATGATAATGTACCAGCACACACACAGCAAAACCAGAGATGGAAACAATTGAGGCATTCAGTTGGGAAATATTAGTGCATAGTGCTTACTTATTATACTTGGCTCCATCTGCCTACAACTTTTTAACATCCATGGGGCACGATTAAGTGCTTCACTTCTTATGAAATGTGAGAAAATGACTTTATTACTGGTTCACAACAAAATAGTAACAGCTTTTCTGGTATAGCATTCATAAATTGCCACAGGGGAGGGAAAAATCTGTAGCTATGGATGGACAGTCTTTCAAATAAAATATTTTTTTAACATTAACATGCAATAAATGTTTACTTTATATTTAAAAATTCTAATTTCATATTTACATACCTGGAATTACCATAATTGTGTTCAAGACAATAAAAATATGTTGATTTTAAAATTATAAATACAAATTTTTTATTGATACCTCAGAATAACCTCCAGCATAAATAATGGCCACTCCAGAGTCAAGCCTTGCTTTTCTTTCCTCAAGACCTTCCTTAATGAAATCATTCTTAGCTCGAGAAATAAGTAGATCTACGTGAGCAATGCGCTGATTGATGGCAGGTAACAAACCTTTCCCCTTTAAAAAAAAAACTTTTTTGAGGGATTAGTTAGAATAATAGTTACAGAATTGTAAACATAACAATAATGAACAAGTGCATGCAGACAATATGGTTCTATGAACAGTGAAGAACAGGGGTGTCCAGAAAGGGATTTCACGGGATTTCATCAAAGTCTTTGAGGAGGGGTGTATTTTGACGGGTTTTTGAATATTTAGGGGGCAAATTTTGACAGGGTTATTAATTTTTGGACCAATATACAAGGGTAACACATGAAACTGACCGCAGCAAGTGTATTTATATATAATCTGATTACAGATGATAATTCTAACTTAACTTGCTCTGTTTTTACGGAAGGTGAGCAATAAAATATCTTGGGAGGAGGGGGAGGGTATAGGTTCTTGCGCCATCGACCTTGGGGAGATGGACATTTCTATAAATCCCTTATCACGCTGTTTTATAATTTTAAATGGGTAAATGAATACATATTTATAATTTAGTAGTGCAGAACTTTGTTTATATAAAATATATAACTACTGAAATAATATTAGTAGTAATGTGACTTTAATGTCTATTTAAAAAAAAATTGAGACAAGATCAAATACAGAAGCAGAGAAACTTACAGGTTAATTCTGAAATTTTGTTGGTAACAACATACCTTAATAATAAATGTTTCACTTTTAGTTACAATAACCTCACTAGCTTGACCAAAGTGTTCCGCAGCTACTTCATCCAGAAAAATTCCAGCTTCATCTCCAATTACTTCTCCTCCTAAAATAAAATTTATTTATTAGAAGTGCAGTTATCCATAAAGGATCAAATTGAAACTGACCTATGAATGGGTGGAAAGCAAAAGATTACAGAATTATATTACAATCCAGAGCAATTGAATTTGAGTCAATATTATATTGATCGGATTACCAAGACTTAATTTTCTTTTATTAGGATTTTTGTTAAGTACATTAATGCAAAAACTATAAAAGTAAAAGAAAAAATAGATATTTATGAAATATTATATTATATAAAATTATTTGATTTCAGTTGCAAATAAAAAAGGAAGTAATATGCTGAAATTGTAATATTTCAAAAATATTTATTTCTTCTTTTACTTATTTATGTTGTTTGCATTAACGTACTTAACAAAAATCCTGATAAAAGAAAATGAATTTTTTTTACATAGCATTTTTTTTTATTTGTTAATATAATCAAATAATTTTATATATGAATTAAAACATGTCACCATAACTCTGTTAAGATAAGGATGACAATATTTATTAACTTTTATATTGATAAGGTCACTGGGTATAAAAAAATGAATACATGCAATTAAAAATGAAGTTTTTTGTAATTATTATTTATTTCCTAAATAGTGACTAGAAAAAAAAATTGGTATAAATAACTTACCTGTAAGTATAGCCATATCTTTGAGAATTTCTGTTCTTACTTCTCCAAAACCTGGGGACTTTACTGCACACACTTCCAATCCGATCCGGATCCTTAATAAAAATTATGTATCAAAATATTGGGATAAACAACACTATTTATTTTAATCTAAATTCTAAGATAAAAATATATTTCAAATTAATTTTATTTAATCAAGTCGAGGACGATTGAGGATGCAGTTTAGTAAACACATCAAGTGTAATACTGACTTCATTAAAACAGTTCATTTTTTAGTCTTTTTTAAAACAAGTTATTAATTCTTTTTTTTCTTTATTTTTTTTTTTACTTGGCAGTAATCTTTCCATTAGATCTACTGTCATTGTAACATTTATTATTATTATTATATATATATATATATACATATATATATATATATATATATATATATATATATATATATATATATATATATATTTAGTAAAGTTAACAATGGCTATTTATTGAGTAATGTCATGATAGAACTTATCTTCCCTCAAAATCCTAATGAAGGAATAAACCAAATTTGAGAAATCTGTTTAATCAACTATTGGTTCTTTTATGAATAATCATTTTGATAAAGCGAAAACATAACTAACATCACCCAGATGACAAATCTCCTATATGCTATTTTCCTCAACTTTATGTGCATCGTATGTTAAAGACTGCCATATTACAAAGACGATGCATATTCATGCAGTCTAACAATAATTTTAGGGGACAATAGTCATATTAATCTATCTCATACCAATGATTATTGCCTTCCTGTCTTTATTCCCGTACTTTACCATATTCACAACTTTTCATTGCAAAATTCCATATTCCTATCTTTCTGGAAAACCGTTCTAGTCCGACCTTTAAATAAAACTTCAAACCCTTCCTCACTTCACGACTTCTGTTTTATTTTTCTCCTTTCCAACCTTTCAAAACCACTGAAACGTCTCGTCCAAAATCAACTTTCCAACTTCCTAGAAGAACATTCCCTAATCAACCCTCTCCGATCTGGTTTTCGCCCCTGCGACTCAATTCAATCTGCACTCCTAAAAATAATCCTCCTCCAAAATTCCATTGAACACCAAAGACTTACTATCTCATCTTCCTAGATTTTTCTAAAAGCATTTGACACAGTTGACCATAGCATCCTCCTTACTAAGCTAGAAAATCTTCCTATATCCAACAATGTCCTGCGTTGGTTCAAATCCTTACTTTCTGACCGATTCCAGTATGTAGAAACCTTGGAATAACATTTGATCAAACTCTTTATTGGAAAGTCTCTAACATCTCCCACCGTGCCTTTTCCATTTTAAAATGTCTAAATTACCTCTGCCACCTATTTCTATTTGAAACCCGTAAACTCCTGATCACTTCCTTAATATTTTTCTACTTTGACTATTGCTGTACGGTATATGGAGACGTCTCTGGGGATCTGGAGGCAAAACTAAAACGTTTGATATATTGTTTTGTACGATCCATCTTCGGGCTCCCAAAGGAAGCCTCTGTCTCCCGTTTTTATGAAGAGCTGAAGTGGCTTTATCCTTCCTACTATCGTAAGTACTTCCTAGCTTCCTTCCTCTTCCAAGTCATCCAATCCCATTGTCCTTCACATACCCCAGAACTTGAATTCAAATCCTCTGTTTACTCCCGTAAAACTCGTTCCCAGTCTTCAGATTTGTATATAAAAGGCCACTGAATCGTTGCCTCCAACAGATCATTCATTAACAGATCTCCCTGCACCCGTCGCTCCAATACCCTCCCTACCTTTAAATCCCGCATATTCAATCACCTCCTATCCGTTCAAGCCACATAAAATTGTAAATAGATGTTTTAAATACGTAAATAAATTTTAAGGTGATCTTAAATATTTTTATATCATGTTTTTTTTTTAATTGAGAAGTTAGAAGACAATTTATACTTTTTTATTTATTATGTATATTCGTTTTAATTTTTTGTGATAATTCTGTGAGGCTCCGAAGCCCACATTTCTGTTTTTGTATTTTATTCTAAAGGGAATTGTCCCAGAATAAATAAAGCATTATTATTACTAATCTGATTTAAAAGTTGCAATCGAAACTAATCACAACAATCTCTCTGACCAATACGTTGAATATTATTAAATTCATAGGTGTATTTGGTTCAACAATTGGAATTTTTTCATTGATAAATTTCAGAGACGAACTTTCATTAATGAAGTACATTCAATAGATTGTGTCTATTAAAAAATATAATGAATATGAATAATATACCTCACACAAATAACCAAGAAAGCTATAGTCACAATTACCGATTAATGACTAATGTTGTGAGGGCGTCCCCTTCAATATCTTCAGCAATTATGACCAAGGGCTTTTTTCTTGACAATGCTATTTCAAGAGCTTTAACCAGAGGCTTTGCTTCTGATATCTTGTGTTCACAAAAAAGGATATAAGGGTTGCGGTATTCCACTTTGGCACCTAAAAATTATTTTGATAATTATTGGATCATTTATAAAATTCATGAAGGCTGATCAAGTCAATTACCCACTCTTTTTCGTGTTGACAAAATAAGGAGAGATATAGCCTTTGTCAAATTTCATTCCTTTTGTAACTTCAATTTTATCCTTTATCATTCTTCCAGCATTTATCATTATCACCCCATGTCGACCAACCTACCAGAAAATGTTAATATCAGAAAGTTATATTTAGGTATTTCCTCTTTTCTGTAAACAGAACTAGGTATAAATAATAACTATAATATTTTTTTCATTGAAACTGGTCTTAAAGAAAAAAAAAAACAGAATCGAAAAAATGGAAATTTTATGTATTGAAAATATACATTTTTTTTTTAATAAATGGCATCTTCATCAGTGTAGAATAAACTTCAAACAGGATGAACAGAATAAACTTAGTAATGCCCGAAGCCCAACCTAAAATCTTCCTTCCCGGCGTTACTTTAGGGCTACTGCCTCAATTTTTTATAATTTTAATATATTTTTTTTTTTTATTAAAGAAGCAATATGAAGCTTACTAATAATATTGTTATTTATGCTATGTATATCAGCTTCATTTCAGGTAACTACGTTTGGCTAACTATTATACTCTGGCCAAGTTCCTAAACTGAGCGCTGAGCCTAGAAACTTGTCCTACTATAACTTCTGAAATCCGGGCTTGACTAATGTCTTTACTTTCCGACCTCAAATCGATGAACTCAAAAAACAAAATTAGTAATCATCAAGGAGTACATACTTTGAACATTGCATCTGCTATTAGTTGGCCAATATCTTTATCACCGTTAGCTGATATAGTAGCGATTTGGGCTATTTCATCTTGAGTCAAGACAGGTTTTGAAATTTCCTCCAACTTCTTTTCTATTACTTCTACAGCTCTATCCACTCCTGGAACCAGGAAAGGAAAATTAATCATAGCTAATCGCCCACCAAACAAGTGAATTAATAATAACGTCATTAGAAATACTGTGACAAACCACACAGGATTAAATGGTAGATTATGCAGCAGCATCTTATTGAAATGTGTTGAAAAGAGAAAGTAAGAAGAAATAAAGGAAGCGTTTATCGATCATTCATAGTCACAACAATATTATCTGGAAAGGAATTGACCGGATAGAATCTAATTATTTTCACCCTTAATAATAACTGCTAATGCAACGAAGAAGTTGTTATTACTTTTTCAAATAGAAACTACCGTTGATGGCTTTATCTAGTTTTGGTATATTTTTGCCCATAAACAGGTGTTATAAATATGTAATATGCATTTCCGTTAAAGATGAGCTATGATACATAAAAACTTAAGCAAACTCATGCATTGACATTAGTGAACTATTTTGATCCAATAAATGAAAATTCCATATATCTGCTGTTGAATGAATTCTTCGCCTGCGTAATGGTCACACACGCCTGACCCATGGATACCTCGTGCCCCTTGATTCCATGCCTACATTACAAGTATTAGGGAATCCACGGACTATAAAACACGTTTTAACATAATGCCAAGATTACGAATCACTTAGATACCTAGTGACTTGTCAAACAGCCAACTTACCATTTTGTAAGATAATACAAATGTTGTTGACAACCTCTTTCTCATCCTTAGTGAAATAAGGCGATAATGAAACGCGTATTTGTGCCTTTAAAATGTAATAAAAACAAAAATAAACTCTCCCGATTATGTAACTTGAAAACAAAATCAATAAAATGATTATCAAAAGATCGATCGACTTTCTAATAAATTACTCATTTATTTCACAAGTTACTCAGAACCTTAAATATATTTTAAACAGAAATATTTGTTACCTTTTTTCAAAAAAATTGGGTTGCAACCAAGAGAAAACCGGTTGAGGCCTTCTTTGGCTATACTCCGTGCTAACACCTTTAAACAAAGTTCCCGACAGTAAAATATTGTAAAATAAATTGATACACTTATTACAATTCAATATTCAAATTTACAGTGGCAGTAGAAGTCCCATCGCCAGCCTTTTTATTAGTGTTTTTTGCAACTTCTTGAAGTAACTTAACACCAATGTTCTGGAACCTGTTCTTCAAGTCTATACTCTCGGAAACAGTCACACCATCCTTTGTAATTTTTGGTGGCCTGTTGTACTGTTCCAAAATCACGTTGCGTCCCTGGAATTAATTTAAAAGATAAATAAAACAAAATGTAATTTTATTAGTATGTAATATAATTTAAAACTAACTTTTATTCAATATATTATAGTACTGTATATAGCTGTTTGAAAAAGGGTTGCCTTTTCACGTCAGGACAGCTCCAGCCGTTCAACTCTCTGGTTAAGGGGCACTTGGGCATCTGCCCTGTCCCCAACCACATCATTCCTAATTTTGCCCATCCTTGTCTCAGGTAGACATTTTCTCTAAAAATGCATCACCACAACTTGAGGCATTGAATAGAGGATGTGGTTGACTGCCCAGTTCGTGGTGCATAATTAAGAACGGATTCTATTTACTAGAATGGCGTGGTATATACTTCGCTTGTTTTCTTTTAGAGTCGTGTCGTTCCACAAGACAGGATGGAGCGTTTATGTGGCTTTAGCTTGTTCTACTTTTATCAATTTCTGAGCTTCCAGAAGAGTCAAAGTAAGGTCTCAGATATCTAAAAACGCCCTCTTTTGATGACCGGCGCTCTTAGCGCAGATGGCCGTATATTCGGTCTTTGAAGTCCACTTTAAGCTCCACACACATAGCAGGCCCATAGTGACATTATCATCCCTCGAAACACCTTTTTCGGCTCAAATTCGTCCTGGCCATTGGCGAAAAAGAGGGACATCGGGTGTTAATCGCCGTCTAATCAAAGCTAACTTTTAAATTAAAAAATCTATTTAATATTCTTAGCTTGAAGAGTGTATTCAGGTCAGCAGTATCTCGGTCCCGGTCTCTTCCTTTTTTCTCTATAAATTATCTTCGAAGTATATTGGTATTAAGCATTCTCAAAATTAGGTCCGGTTCATTTAAATTGTCACTTCTTAAAGCGATGAATTTTTAAATTAGAATATAACCCAATACTCACAGAATTTCTTTCTCGCTTTATATAAAGAGAAACAAATACATGAATGATTTCGTATATTCAATATGAAAAATAAAACATATCTAACATCTCATTTTAAATAATTAAGCAACAGTAATTCTAAAAGTTATCCTACACTTTTAAAATATATAACAAAAAGTATTAAAAAACAATGCCATCTTTAATTAGATTTTAGTTATATACAGAAAAGTATTTTTCTACTAAGTATTGGCTTTTCTATCACCTAGACCTTTCAATCAATGCCAGGGAGCATTAAATATTAAATAATATGTTTATGAGTCAAGTCTTCATTTCATATTAGATGTTTTTTAAATATAAACAACATTTTTTCGAGGTAAATTACTCGGCCAATCATTTTTCCGATGGTATGAATAGAGGTATTGTAAAAACTCTTGTCCTAGGAGCTTAGAGTTTTAATTCTAACTGTTCGTACAAAATATATCGTACAATTGACAGTAACTGTTATATAAAATAATTTACCTTTGGGCCTAAAGTAAGTGCCACAGCATCCGCTAATATATCCAATCCTTGCATCATTAACTGGCGGCATTCTGCACCAAATTTTACTTCTGTTTGGTTAGTAGATGTTTTAGAAAAATATTTAACGCTGATTACCTGTATGAAACATCATTAAATAATATATACGTAAATAATTCACGAATACGCTTTGTTGAAGCTGTAATATTTCATTTATCTCACCCTTAAAGTATAAAGACGAAATGGCAGTATATTCATAATCTATTCACGTTAACTGAGTAATATAATAAAATTAGGAAAATAGTTTAAAAATATTAAGAATTTAATTATAACATCTGATTCTTTAATTATTATTTCAATCATGTGGGTGAAATTTTCAAGTATTTCATAACTAATTTCGGTTTTTCCTTGAACTTCAGTTGTCAAGAAATCACTTCGGTAATTCGTTTATTAAATACTTACTTTGCAAGCGTAGTTTCCGTTTTATCTCTTTGGATAAAAATAATCGATGTATAATAATGACGTATCATGTACAAATGATTTTAAGTTGATTGTGACTTTTGTTACTATTAATTTTTCATTGCAAATGCTAATTTAAAATACAAAATTTTAAAGCTCATTTAGGCTAAAAAGAGTAATGAGTAAAAATAATGAGATACAAATTTTTATTTAAATAATTGAATCATAATTAATCATGTTAATTGCTTAATTTATTGTTACGTTTAGTGGCAGTTGCTCCAACTCAGTAAAGATTAGATTAAGCGTTATCTAAGATTAAGCTAAGTTTTCTAAGGTCGACCAATCAAGATTAAACTTGGTTTAATCTTTTTTTTTGTTTATTTTTGTGGCTTTATACATGGGCATGTTGGCCAATATATCAATTCGTTTAATCTTAGATAATGCTTAATCTAAGCTTTACTAAGATTGGAGCAACTAGCCCTTAAAGATATATTTTAAAAAATAATATACACTAGGAAAAGATTAAATAGTGGCAACTATCTACAATCATATGTTTGGGCGAGTCGTGTTGAGTTTCAGAAGCCAAAGTACAGTAGTTTTATTTTTTAATAAGATTTTTTTTACTAAATAGAAAAAAAAATGCTGTGGCTCAATATGTGTTTTATTTAATTACTAAAATGTATCTATTTTGTGTTTAATGAAGCAGGGGTGCCCATCCTCCCTCCCCTAAGGTTAATGGCGCACGAACTGGTTCCTCCACTCCCAAGAAATGTTATTGCTCTACTCTTCTTAAAAACGGTGCAAGCGAAAGTAGAATTTAAAAAATTGTAGATTATACATCACTAAAAAAAAAAAATTCAAAACGGCCTGATCCGTGTTTTTTCTCTAGTTTCCTTTTTTGAAACGTTTCGTTCCGAAAATTCATAACCCCGTTGAAACGTGCCCTCCCCTCTCCCTCAAAAATTCAAAATTCCCTGAAAAATTTTGATGACTCAACTTGCGCTGTGAAACTCCCTTCAGAGCATCTCTGTAATGAAGCATGATGACTAGCTCAAATGACAAGAAGCACAGGTGGATCTATGGGGAGGGGGACTTTCAGGCTTAATCCCCCCTCCCAAAATGATAAAATATAACCATGTTTTGTAGAAAAAAATATTAAAAACTATCCGTTAAAGAATTTTTGTTCGTGTAATTACATTTAATAGGACTTCCAGAATCACTTAAACACCATGTCATATAGGTAGTTAGTTTCTTTTTTTTTTCAAAGTAATTATCGTTATATATATTTAAAAAAAAAGCTTTCGGGCTGAAACCCTCCCCCCAAAAATTAAATCCTGGACCTGCTAGTGCCAAGAATATTAGGGGCAAGGCTTTCCCTCCGACAAAACGTTTTAAAACCTTTTTAATTTTTTTTAAAGTAATGAGTCGAGAAGGAAAGTGTTTTTCAATAAAGAATAAGATACAGCTTCCCAGAAAAAAGAAGAAAGTGTTTTATTTAAAGTACGAGATATGGGTTTGAAAAAAAAGTGCATTAATACCTATATTTTATATAAACGTTCCTATAAAATTCCTATATACATATTGTCTAAACAATTTAATACCTAATAGTAATAATAAATTAAACACTATTATTAATAACCCTATTCATATCAAAACTGAAGTGGGGGGAGAGGGGGAGAAACTGATTATGCATATATCAAATTCAAAACTAGATTACGTTTGACTGAAATAAAACCAAACAAATAATATAAAAATAAAAATTTGAAAGACTTATAAAATAAAAGAGAAAATTTAAAAATTTTATTTTCCTTTGGATTTAACACAAAAATTATGCATTAGATGTACACAGCAACACTAGCGGACCCAGGATTTAATTTTGGGGGAAAGAGGATTCACGCTGAAAGCTGTTTTTTTTTTCATATATATAACGGTAATTACTTAGGGAAAAAAAAGAAATAAACTAAATATCTATATGAAATAATGTTTAGGTGATTCTTTAAGCCCTATTCAATGTAATTACATTAACAATAATACTTTAAGAGATAATTGTTTAATATTTTTTCTATAAAACATGGTTATATTTTACCATTTTGGGGGGCTTCAGCTCGAAAGGTCCCCTTTCTCCCCTCTCGCAGATCCGCCTGCGATACAACATAGAAGTGTCTTGTGGTTAACAGCCCTACATAAGACTTCCCATTTGCGAACGCTTTGTGTTATACAAAGAATTGTGTGCATTGGAATTACAGGAGCATTTTGCACAACTACTAAGACCCTGGGAGTTTTATTGATACCGCTACACATATGGATCATAGGTCAGATTATGGCACTTTTAATAATTAAGTATAACAGACAATGACAAGAAATAGGAATGCCTATCGGCTACGTAGGTATAGTCAAAGTGGTGGGAAAAGACCTACCTATCCATGTAGGTAAGAGACAAATACTCATTCCGAGCTCCACGAACCTCAGTTACCTGAATCAAACTAAATGTAACTGCAATTTATTCGTCTATGAACTAACATAAGTTAATTAACCATATTTCTATGTTATAAATAATACCATTGTTAAAAGAATGAAGGAATCAGTAGTAAAATATGGAATCATTTGTAACATTTTTGCGGATTAATTTTTTTTGGCATCCCGATTCCTTGGTGTTGGTATCAGTGATTGTTTATAGAATTTGTAGGAAATTTATTTCACTAAACAGTAATGTTTTTATTAAGGTATTGTAAGAGAGGGCAGTTTAAGATATAACTACGTAACTAACAAACATTTTTAAAAAAAATTAATTTTCTAAAGAATTTAGATAAAATTTTATAGCTTTTGAGAAAATAAAGTTTTCTTTTCTTCGTAACCTTTGTATATATTAAATTCCTGGTCCTCCTACACCAGTTTAATTAATCACTTCAAGTAAACACAGTATAATAAAAAATCAAAAGATTACAATTTTTGGAATTTAAAAGTTAATTTGTACACATCGTTCATATGATGCAGCAGCGTTATAACTTGAAGTTTTTCAGGACTTGTCCTGAAATCACGAATATTTATATGCTTATATGCATTTTAAGTCCTCAATTCTGTATTAATTTATTTGAAACTATAATAAATAAACCGTATAACTCCATTGAGTCAAACTGAAGTTTGCATGAAGATGATTTCTTACTTACTTCTGAGACATTTCCCGATATATCAATATATCTGTTATAAAATCTCCACGTTTTTTTTTTTACAATTATTTCGCAATTACTGTTATTTCCAGTTCTTTTAGAAATTCCACGATTATTTCTTAGCTAGGAAAAGGGCAATCATTTTAATTCGAAGGATACTATGTGAGTTGAGACTATCCATAAACCTCCCAAAAAGTTCCGAAATTATTTAAGAGAAGAGAAGTAATGAAATGAAATGAAATGAAAATATTTTTTATTATCCTGGGGACTGTTGTCCCTTTAGGACAAATTACAGATACAGAATAAATGCCTGTGTGGCCAAACATAAAATTAATTATTTACATTTATTATTAATATTACGATTTTGAAAATTTAATAAAACAAAAAATATAACTATTACACTAAAAACATTCTGATATGTATAATACAAACTATATAATAAAATAAAGTAGAATAAGTAAAGAAAATCATTTCTGGGGGAACTTTAAAAGTTCTCTTATCTACATTTCATGATCAATCGGGTTGGGAAAGGAGTAGGTAGTTAAAAAGGAGAGATTTAAATGAGGAAGCTGATTGTACATGTCGGATATCGGGAGGGATGGTATTCCAGAAGGAGACGGCTTGAATTATAAAGGATTTGTCAAACGCTGCAGTTCGGTGGGGAGGTGGATAGAGGTCGGAGGTACGAGATCTAGTGAGACGTGATTGAATGGAATATTTGAATTGTAGGTTGTGAAAAATATAGGAAGGCCGCTGAGTTCTGATGACTTGGTATAGAAAAGTGGCAAGGAAGTACAAACGGCGGTTGGATGGATAGAGCCACTTCAACTTGGTGTAATACTGGGTTATATGCGTATCTCTTGAGATTCCGAAAACAAAACGTATTGCGCAGTTCATTAGGCGTTTAAGTTTGGCCTCGAATTCTCCCGAGTGTCCGCCGTACACCAGACAGCCATAGTCGAAGTGGGGGAACACAATGGAGGAAACCAGAAGTTGACGGGATTTATATGGAAGGAGATAGCGGAGATGGTTAAACTGTTTCAGGGTAGAGATAGTACGACGGGAAATTTGGGAGATGTGTGGTTTCCAGGAGAGGGTTTGATCGAATGTAACACCAAGGTTTTTTACGGAAGTATGGAATGAGATAGGTGAGTTGTTCAGGAAAAGATTGGGGAGTATCTGTATGGATTTGAGGAGTGAGGGAGATCCGATCAGAATGGCTTTCGTCTTATTGGCGTTTAGAGTAATCCTATTGTGATTTGCCCAGGCACATTTACGTTTATATCTTCCTGTAATTTTTGGATGGCGCCAGAGGATTCGGTTGGATTGAAGGAGAGGTAAATCTGGACGTCGTCGGCGTACAGATGGTATTGACAGTGAAGGATAGAGGATGAAAGGTCATTGATGTAGATGGAAAAAAAAGTGGGAGATAAAGAGGAGCCTTGTGGGACACCCTTGGACAAAGGTGAAGGTTCTGATGGGAGGTTATTGGGGACTACAACATACTGGGAGCGTATAGCGAAACCAAGATTTTTGGTCAAACCAAGCCACTGTTTTCCAATCTTTATCATTTCACTCTCAGTTGAACAACTTTCTAGAACAAAACCGTTTCCTCAATCCTTAACAATCCGGTTTCCGGTCCCATTATTCCACCCAATCTGCCTTTCTGAAGATTTCCCAAGATCTCCTCCATAATATCCAGAACAATTCACAATCACAATCTTCCATAGATAAACATAAAGTCGCTATGCTAACCCTTTTCGACATTTCCAAAGCCTTTGATTCCGTCAATCATAAGTTCCTCTCCAAACTCTAAACCCAGCTCATATCCAATAGTATTCTTAAACGGTTACTCTCCTTTATATTCCATCGCTCTTAGACAGTTGTAATTTCTAATAAATCACCATCCTCTTTCCTCCAGTTAACAAGAGGCGTTCCTCAGGACTTATCATTCTCTCCGACCTTTTTCTCTATTTATATTAGCAATCTTCCTGACAAAATACAGCACTTCCGTTACTACTTCTTGCTGATGATTTCCAAATTTACGAGTCGTTCCAACCTATTGAGATGCCTGAGGCTACTCGAAAGCTACAAGGTAATATCGACTGTACTGACAGACGGGCAGAAATAACAGAAGCTGGATGTAGAAAAAACTAAGGCTATTCTCATTGGTTTCAGATATCTCATTATATCCCTTCCTTACTCTTCTCTACTTTACCACAGTAACCGCCACATCCATTTTTTGTCGACATCTTAGGAGTAACCTTCGATCAGGCCCTTTCCTGGAATAACCATATCTATATCTCTCAGATTACTCGAAAATCCATAGCTGTCCTTAAATAACTCCAAATATTCCGTGATTCTATTCCCCTAAAAACCACATAGTTGCTTGTAGCCTTCCTTGTTTCACTCCACTTCGACTTTGGTTGCTTGGAGTATGGAGGGCTGGAGATGAGACTGATGAATCGCTTACAATCCTTTATTTTTTGTTTTGAGAAAAAAATATACTACAAAGACGTCGGGCTCACAATCGAAGGAAAAAACAAAAATTTTTGAAAATAAACACGTTGCAATCTACAATTAACGTGATCAGATAATTTCTGCCCTGAAGCGGGACACCCTTGATTGTTGTAAAAGTAGAGAAGGATAAAATAACTCACATTAGCTGTCTTCTTTGTGATCTATAGTAGAAAAGTGTACATTTATGGATAATCATTTGAAAATAAACCAACCAATACTACCGATAAATAATTTTTCTTTGTGTTTCCGTCAAAAGTAACTAAGGATTTTTTTATGAATGGCCATATCAGATATCTTTGATTTATAACTTTTAGGAAATAATAGACTATTGTGTAATAATTTTTATAAGCATGGCGGGTGCGGTAAGATGGTCAATTTGGGAGACGAATAAATATATAAATCTGCATGTTTTAGGTTTTATACCCACTATAATAAAGTCTTGTGAGCTAACCATAACCAATCAATGTTGATGAGTGATCAATACTGCATGCTCCGCAATTCACCTAACAATGTAAGCATATATATATATATAGATATATATATAGGATTTACATAAGCAGTTCAATTGTTTTCATAAGCTTCATTGTTAATTTCCGATTTTTATCAGAAAACTTAATAAAGCTTTCGTATTTAACACATTCTTCACCACGTCTACGACTTCTGGGTTATGTAGCCCACCTCTCATATCAGTGAATGGATACCGTAGCGACGAATATGGTAGATCCATACGTGTATGTGTTAATCCCTGGCAAAAATCACATATTTTCGATTATTCAAAAACTTTATCGACTGATTCACATGAGACGACGATTTTTTTTTTCAATTAGCAATAACACCTGATTTTCGAAGTCATTTATACTTACTTACCTTTTCAACTTAAGTATGACCGTACACGCCTTCGTTCACAAGTACGAAAAATATGGTATAATGTAGAAACTTGATCATTGCGTATCCTTTTTCCAGTTCTTCATCCTCACTTTAACATAAACTAGCAAGACAGTACCACACAACCAAGAAATATTAGCAAACAAAAACTCAAAAGAACTTTCTGGAAAGTTAAAATATCTTGAAAAAAATATTTCTAATTATCCAGAGGTAATACACAGAAATTTTTTTATTAATTGTCATAAGGCTGATAGATATGTATAACCACAGGTGATCTTGTAATTGAAAACAGGACTCCATGTGTTTGAAAAAGAATAAATGGTGTGATGAACTCTCAATAACAGCGTTATATCAAAGGAAGTATTTTTTAATAAACAAATATTAATAAAATACTTTAATTTTAAAAAAATCTTTATTGAAAAACAAACTGCAGAGACATTTACAAAGTTCAAATTTCTAGCTTTGAATAAGGCTGTATATTTTTCAGTCCTGGAAACAGTTGTTAATTACAATTGAAAAAAAAAGTTCGGTTTTTCAAACACCAAAACAAATTATATTAATGAGGCATGTCACAAAATTTGTATAGATAACTTTCAATTTCGCTTTTCATGGATGTTCCATCTAAGGCGTTTACTGTTAGAGATGGGCAAAATTGTACTCTGAGTAAAGAGTACAATTACAGAGTAATTTACTCAAATACTCGCCCGGTTCGAGTATCGAGTACTTCAATCACTACTCGACCTCATGATTGACAAGTACAAAAAGTAATCACCTGTCCTCGTGAGTACTTTCTATTTTCAAATCTACTCAGCAATATTTTACTCTGAGTGCTTTTCAAAGTAATCGAGTATTTCATTATAAAAATCACAGGAGTAGAATATTTAATATTTCTTCCATATTGAAGTCCATTGTTATCTTATGGGGGTATAGTTTTTTAAAATAGTATCGATATTAATGTAAATCGATAAAATAAAGAATTATTAAAATATTTTGAATTTAATCAACTTTGGGGACCATTTTTTTTTTTTTTTTCTACACCACTTGACTTTTACGATAATGCTGTCGGATTTGAGATAGTGCCCCAGGGGCCCGACTTTTTGTAACTTTTCGGATTATATCGACATCAGGTTCAACTATTAGGTTTTGGAGGGGCGCTTTTTATGAAAAGGATGTTGGATTTCAGATAATGCCCGGGGCCCGACTTTTTGTAACATTTCGGATTATATCGATATCAGGGTGGACTATTATGTTTTGGGGGGCGCTTTTTATGAAAATATATCGAATTCGGGATTGGGCCCCCCGGGCCTCGACTTTTTTTCACTTTTTGGATTAAATCGATATCAGGATCGACTCCTATGTTTTGGGGGGCGCTTTTTATTAAAATGGTGTCGGATTCGGGATTGGGCCCCCCGGGCCCCAACTTTTTTTAACTTTTTGGATTAAATCGATATCAGGGTCGACTCTTATGTTTTGGGGGCGCCTTTTATGAAAATGATAACGAATTTGAGATTGGGTCCCCCGGACTCCTATTTTTTTCACTTTTTGGATTATATCGACATCAGGTTCAACTATTAGGTTTTGGAGGGGCGCTTTTTATGAAAAGGATGTTGGATGCCGGGGGGCCCAATCCCGAATTCGATATCATTTTCATAAAAAGCGCTCCCCAAAACATAGGAGTCGACCCTGATATCGATTTAATCCAAAAAGTTAAAAAAAGTTGGGGCCCGGGGGGCCCAATCTCAAATTCGTTATCATTTACATAAAAAGTGTCCCCTAAAACTATTATGGCCCTTGTATCGATTAAATCGGAAAAGTTATGAAAATTCGATGCCCGGGGGCACTATTTCAAATCCGATAGTATATTTTTATAAAAAGGGTCCCCAAAACATGATGGTTAGTCTAATATCGATTAAGGGGGGGTTAGAATTGGTCAGGTTGAATATGGCCGCTATTATTGAAGGAAATAAAAGAAAACATTTTTACTCTTTATAATAATGACGGAGTAGTTGAAAAATAAAAAGTACTCTTTGTAGGAATTTAGCTGAGTACTTTCTGTAATTCGATATAACAGCGCGAGTATTTTCTGTACTTAACTAAATCATGATTAACGCAGCGTGAGTACTCTCAGTACTCGCCGATCTTAGGCCGAGTACAGAAACTACTCGATACTTTTTCCTAATAAAATTACTCAAATCATGAAAGTAATCGAGTACTGCCCATCTCTATTTACTGTTTTCATCAGTTATTTGTTTGGTCTTCAGCAGTCATATCATAGACCTTTTCATATTTCAAGCAAGGATTTTTTTTTTAAACAAAATTTTATAATGCATAATGTACCATGCGTAATATCTTGAACTGAAAAATTCGCCTCTTTACTTTATTAATATCTTTAAAAGTAGTGAATAGTAACCCATGGAGGAGAAAGGACAATAAAGAGCTTCTTATAGAAACTGGTCAATCAATATCTCATGATATGAAAGTAAGGAGGTTAAGATGGGCAAGGTGTGTAGCTTTGAGCAATCCATCTCCTTGGAGACTACTGGAAGCCCAAAAATTAGATGGACAGATCGAATTAACAAAGAAGCAATAGAGCTGCATGCAGATAACTGGAAATAAATAACCCAAGAAAGCTAAAAATGGAGAAGGCTGGTTAAGATGGCAAAAGATCTATTGGCAAATAAGTCCTTTCAGTTTTTCATGGTGAAATAAAACTCATTGTATTATAGACATAAAATTTATTTTAATTTAAAATATATTAACCATTACTTAATATGACTTTTTTCCATCTTCCCACGAACTGCATAATGGCATGTTCATAGAATGTCTGGAGTTAATTGTTAAAAATTGACCCAAGTGGTTTTTGATGTCCTCTTCCTTTTGGAATTTCTTTCTATTCATGGAGTTCTGCAGAGACCGGAATAAATGGTAGGTCACTTGGAGCTAGTTCTGGTACATAGAGAGGGTTGCACAAAAGGTCCCATCCAAGGCTCAACAATTTATTGTGAGTGGCCAATGAGGTGTAAAGCGCCAACAGTGTGTGGGGCTTTACGTTGTCTTAGTGGAACACAACACCCTTCCGATTATTCATAACTCTTCAGGATGGTTTCCAAATTCAATGTTACTATGTGGTAATAGGTACTACTATATAATGTACTACTAGGTGAATTATTACTCTTCAAAGTCATATAAATGTTTTTTTTTTTTATTTAATGACTGCATAAGGAATAAATAAACAAAAACTTCTTATAGGTTTTTAGTTTTTATCTCCATTTGTAGTTTGTTTATGAAGGTCCTATTGATGTCATTTTGTGCAGTTTATATGGCCCTAAATTTCTTGTAGATAGCTAAAGTCGTATTGAAGTTATAACATTTTGATTTTCGAAAAAAAAATCATGTGAGGGATCCAAACATTAAGCCTGGAAACATAGCCGAGCTTGTGCAAATTGTTTTCTACGCTTATGTGCGACACATTTAGGGACATAGCAATCTCTCGCACTGGTTGGGTGAGATTTTGATCAACAATGGTCTTAACATTGCTCGTTTCAATTTCATGTGGGTAAGAGTAACCAGACTGTTGAGCATCATTGATGTCAAAATTTCCTGAATGAAATTTGGCAAACCAATTTTGACAGGTGCAATCAGTTAAGGTATTATCCCCATAAAGACTGCAAATTTTTCTATAAGCTTCTGCAGCACTCTCACCTTTTTTTAAAATAATACAACAAAATATGCTGATAATGAATATTTTCTTCCATATTCACAGTGCAATAGCAAACACAATACTAAGCTCTAGTTTCAACAAGAGTTACCAGATATAGTTGTTGATATATAACAAAGAGAATAAACAATCCACCTTAGGGATTAATTCATCAGATAATAAGTTTATCATAGTGACATAAAAATAAACAGAAAAAACAAAAGAACCTACCCAATACATAGTTAGTAATGCTAAAAAAAAAAACAAAAAAAAAAAAAAAACATCCATCTGGAAAACCTAATAAAAAACAAGGTTAAAAATTTAATTAATGCTTCATGCATAAAATATAACAAAACATCACTTCAAGGTGCATTCCATTGCCATGTGTACTTGAGTGAGCTGGTCCAATCTACTTTGAGTTGCCCAAAGCTCAGAACTAATAAAGGAGTAGATTCAAACCTCCGTGAACTCAGAAAAAGAAAATAATAATAGACTTTGATAAAACTCATACTAAAATAAAAAGTTTATTAAATATATTAATTACCATAAATACATCAATTTCAATAATAAAACAGTTTGAGTGCATGAGGGTATTAAACAGAAATAAACAATATAAAAAATAAATTTATTTAGAGAAAAAGTAATAAGATTACAATATTTAAATTTCAATTATAATAATTGAGCAACATAGAATACAATTGGACAATAAGAAAAATAAAACGAATAATCAATTAAACCTCCATGAAATTGAGAATTACTACAAAACAGTTTTATCAAAAACAAATTAAATATTATAAAAGGAAGACTAGTACAAAGTAATAGTTCTAAATGAAACAAAAAAGGTTAAGATAAATATGCAACAAAACCATCAATACAACTAATATAAAATAAAAACATTAACAATGTTTATTTTGGAAATAAATTGATCCTTTAATGAATCTTTTACTTCTACTGAATTTAATGAATAAATTAATTTATCCATTTTTAAGTAGATATAAATACTTACATGCATTTATAATGGATACAATGTTAAAAATCTTTTAAGTTCCATGACAATGTATGGATTTCAGTTAACAAATATTATAGCCAAAGCAATTTCACTGAATGAATCATTAACATTTTAACAAACCACCACCATACACAACATTCAGATCCTTATTTTAAGGACTTTTTTTATCAAAATTTAAGTAAAACAAATCTGACAGATATTCAATAAAATCATATCTTGACTTAAATATCTTCTGAAAAGATCTGCAGAAATTTATGAGGGACTGTGGTAGGTTCCCAAATACGCATTGCACCTGGGGCAGAAATGGTCAACTTGATATGGATCATTACAGAAGAAGTAAGGGCAGCAGGAAAAACACACAAACCTAAAGGAAAAGAAAAATTGTAAAGCAAACATAAAATAAAAATTCATTGTTTCACAACTATTTTCAACCTTCAGACTATGAATTTCCAAACTCAATTTAATAATATTAACCCCTAACTTACTTTGACTTGTCTTGGATACAGACATGCACTGCAGCCCCTTATGGGCTTATTATGTCTGCCCCAACAGCCATCTGGAGAATGCCAACATTTTCTAATCATGCTGATAACGGCAAGGTTCATTTCACAGGCCCCAGATGAAATAAATATCAGCTCGCCCAGGATGGTGTTAAACCTAAACTGACCTAAACCAGACATCCTGGGATCTTAGTCGTATTTGCTGAGCCATTTTTCTATATAGCCCACAAATCTTAATATCACAATTCATCCTCTTCACCTACCTTCAGCAGTGCATAATTATTTTCTGTAAAGCTTAAAATTTCTTTTTTAAAAATCAGCTGTTAACATAATCGTATAAGAGCAATCAAAACTTCATAGAAATACAAGAAAAGATATGGTTTATTGATTATCCTTGATATTAGAGAGTGCTCTCTGAGGAGCAAATTACTCTGAACATTACTCAAATACTGATTCTGTATGATTAATAAGGAAAGTAATTACATCAGTTGATGATTAACAATCAATTGAAATAGTGATTAAATCAGAGAAAATAATGTGCACTCAGTACAATGAGTAATTTTTGCTAATTTCTGGCTGTTCTTATGGATGGATAGGAGACAAATCATAAAATTCTGAGTAGTGCCTACATAGGAACTTTGGGTAGTGCCTTTTTCAGTCTGGATATGCAATGCTATCAAACTCATGTTTAGTTTTAGACATTACATAGCATGAATCAGTATACAAATATGTTGATTGGTACATATTACTAAACTACATGAAAAATTCTAATTGATCAGTTAATAAACACATGCTAGATTTTACTAATTAATTGGGATAATTAAACCCATGAATACTTTCTATTAATTTTTTTAATATGGGAATTTCTTTTAGTTTTTTATAAGATTATCAATAGATTAATCAATGGTATTGGACTAGTAATTCATGAATGACATCAGCTAGTATTTTTAAAAAGAATGAATAAGTCTATTTGAAATTATTCCTATAATATACTAGATCAATAATAAACAGAAACTTCTTCGAAAATTCATTAGGCTATCATTCATCAAATTTCCAGTTTCCAGTTCCAGTTTTTCAGGAGGAAGTTATTTGCCAGCCATACTTTATTTTCAGTAAAAGATATATTGGCTAGGAAGTAGGAAAACTATCATGTTTGGAACATATAGTTTTTTTGTGAAACTGGGTTTTGAAAACATCATTTCCAGAGAATGGTACAGGCCATTATTCTGATGACACTGGAAATCCTACATCACCATTGCATTAGGTTTAGGTTTCATTTTGCAAATGCCATGACCCAAGTTTTTCTCTCTCTCTTAATGTTATATTTTAATATTGTATGTTCGATTGATCAGCACGCCCTGTTAATTGACAATTAAACACAGTTGAAGCAGCCACTCCCAATTTTTTCATGATCAAGGCTTTCATTTGTCTTATCAGATTTAAATTAAAGGCAGTAAGATCTTGAGCTTTTTCTTTGTCTTTATAGGTTCTTATGGCTCTGCCAACCTTGTGGCCTTTGGCTATTTGAAACGGTCTTCTGCACCTCTGCCTGTATCTTTCGTGTATGCTCCATACAGCTACATAGTGTTTTCATTGGATCTCTATCCATTTTATTTTTGGCCTCCCATGTGGTCTCTTGCTAACTACTGATGCATTTTGTGTATTACAGTGTTATTTGGGTAATCAAAATTAAAAGAAATAAGTTAAGCATACTGCTAAACACTGACGGCTCCATATGGGAGAAAATAGTATATTGGGATGAAACCTCACAAAATAGCATTTTTTTTTTTTTTTTTGTCTCATTATAATTAAAATGCATATGCAGCTATTAATTGCAAGTACCTGCCAACAGTTAAGAAAAAAAGTATTAAAAAATTATCTCTAAAAGCATTATGGTTCCTGTAATTAACTTTTTTTTTTTTAACAGGTCTTCGAGAACCACTTTAACATCATTGTATATAGTTTCTTTCTTTTTTTCCAGAATAATTACTGATGTAAAAAAAAAAAATTAAAATCTGAATTTTCTACTGCCCACATTTTTGGTGGTAATAAATTGAGAAAAGGAAAAATCTAACCAATAAAATAGTTTAAAAAATCCTTTTCACAAAGTAAGATAATAACTGAAAAGCCGAGTGCCCTATCTTCTTGGATAACTTTATACATTAATCAAAAGCCACTACATTACGATCAAACACCAAAAACAAAACATTTTTGACAGAATACAACAATAGGATTAAATTAATTAAAAATAAATAAATAAAAAATGCAATAAAAAAAATTTATTGGTTACAGGACAAAATTGACATATACAAATTGTACAATAAACTATACATAAATAGACTTATTAATTCTATTGGGTTAATTGTGTTATAATAAACTTTTACAATCACAACACAATGCTAAAGGCAATTGAACTAGAAAGAATTCACTTATAAAAATTATAGGGACATTTCAAGTACTCAAATTTTCGAAAGCCATAGATCTCAACCATAGATAACGCTAAAAGATATTAAGTTAACACTAATTATATATTTTGATTAATAACAATATTTGATTTTTAAAAAAATATTTTTCTTTTATGCTTTAGAATTTATAAATCACAAAACACCTAAAAATTTAATTTTTGGTATACCTTACACCAAACAAAATAAAACAGATGATTATTAATTTCGGAAATTCACGAAATTGCGAAAAAATGTCATCTTACATCCTCAACCTCTTTGATATAAATGTAATAAACATAATTACAAAAATAGATAGATATTTTATCAAACATACATAAACATTCATTATACATGGATTCGTATATAGAATACTAATTAAGAGTATTTAACAGTAATTATACTTTCTTATAAGCGTATATATTTTTACATTTTACACCAGGCATGATAAAAGGAAGTAACACAATTTCCATTTCAGCAGATATTTATGAAGCCTCGACATATGTTCCAAGAAAGGCATTGCATCGAGGGCAAAAATGATCTACCCTATAAGGTTTATCACAGCAGAAATAAGGACAGCATGAACAAGGTATGCAGATCCTAAAGAAAAAACAGAATGAGAAATAAAAGTGCACTTCTTCTATTGACTTAAAAGTATCAGATAGTTTAAAGTAAACCACGCACCAGCACAAAAAAATAAAATAAAAAAAATAATGCAGAAAAAAGAGAGTTGAGTAGTTTCCTAAAAAACTCCTAAACATCGAATAAAATTCCAATTAATGTAAGTTTCATGCAAATACCTCATTAATGCAACCCAAAAGACATTAAGACATTTTCATATTTTAATAAAATAAAATATTTTGAAAATGAAACAAATGTTAATTTTGTTCAAAGGTTTAAAATATTATATTATATATATTATTATGATAAAACATTATATGAAGTCAGAACATTCATTTGTTTTTATCATTATTAACATATTCTAAAATTATCAAATAAATATAGATAACTGTTATTACCTAATAATTGTATATTTTTCTTTTTGGAAAGGTTAATTTAAAGACAGCTTCAATTAATAAAATTTCAAAATAACATAAAAACATGTTAGATAGCTGGAAAAAAAGGACAGCCTGTTTTTTGTTTGTAACAGTAAACCACAAAAACTACTAAACCAATCTTTACCAAATTTTTAACCAAGTCATCTTCATGGTTCCCAGAAGGTTTACCAAACTTTGATGTTGAAGGTTTACCAAGAATAAAGAATCTACTAATTTTTTTTTTATAGAATAATAACCATTTCTGTCAATGGAGTCTGTAAAACTGTAGGTAACTACTCTAGCACAACATATTATATTGTTTGTTATATATATTATTTGTTGTATTACATTGTTATAATCAGTTCATTAAATGCATTTGGTCATGTATTCATCATGTTTAATTCAAATTTAAATTTGAATATGCGAATGGAATAGTGGAACAGAGCTAGTTATAATTATAAAACTTTAAATATTTAAATTTGAACTGATAAAGATACTAATCATAGTACAGCATGTTATTACGTCTTACAAAAGAGATATTTTCTTTTTAATTAGGACAAATTCTTCAGATGCAGGTAAAAAACTAGAATCTGGGAAACCTGATAAAAGGATACAATGCATTTAAGGAAAATATAAATTATATTTATATAATGTATTAAATAAGACTTGATGATTGGAAGAAAACTTGAGAATTTTAAATCTTGAGCATGGATAAAAAGACATAACAAGCATCAAGTGAAAAATGTTAAAATATAAACTTTGATGGAACATAAAACATTTATGACACAGAATAGTAGATGATTTAATAGATTAATAGTAGATGATTAATAATATTAAAATTAAGAACACCGTTATAATATGCTTCAACTTGCAATATGCTTCTGCAAGATTATTCTTCAGCAATATAAAGTATTAACAAATAAATCAAACAAAAATTTTTAAATTATAAATGCTCTATTTCATGGTTAACTGATAGTTCAAATAAATTATTTATTCAATTTCACACTTGGCATCCCACACCTTGTTGTCATTTAATTAACAACAATTGGAACCCCTTCATTAAATTAGAAAGATTAATTCAATTAGGAATGTAATTTTTGTATTTTTTCAAAAATTAAAAGAAATGAAGGGTCTTTTTTACTTCGCTACTGCAAATCACTTTTCAATAAAAACATATGATTTTGGTTTAAATTGTTTTTAACTGTTACCGATTGGATTATTTATTGTGTAGGTTTAGATATTAAACAAAAAATGATTTTTTTATATTTATCTGCTACATTTCAGAGAGAAGAAAATGTGCTTCAATTACTCCAAGAAATGGTGATAGTGCATATCGGTAAAAAAAACATCTAATTATTTATCTCTTTATTTGAAAATGAGGTTATAAGTACGTAACAATAGTTATTAACAAATATGTAAGCAGTTAAAAAGAAATCATACATTTTTATTGAAAAATGATTTGGGGTAGCGAAGTAAAAAAGACACGAAATGTAGAAAAATGAGTCACAATTACAAATACAAATATATTGAAATCCTTTATAATTAATGAAACTATCTTTCTCTGATTAGATATACAATAAATTTTCTGGCGTGCCTTTCAAACTGTTTTAAGATCTTAATCAATGACAGTACTCTAAGTTCGTTTATTAAAGTCTCTGAACAATTCATCCCAAGCATAATGAAAACTTTTGTCTCCATGGAACACTCTGTACTCTACACTAAATTAAAATCTCTATCCTTCTCTAACAGCTTTATTCTTTGGTTTCAGTCTTTCCTTTCCGACCTGACTCAAGCAGTCAGCATTCCGAACCAACACCTACCTTTCTTCCTCACGCTATCCTCTGCAGTGGCCCAGAATTCGAGCATTGCCCCTCTCCTTTTTAATTCCTACATAAATGATCTTCCAAAATCCATCTACCACTGTTCACACCATATATACGCTGATGATTCCTAAATCTATTTATCCTTTCACCCTTCTGAGCTATCAGTCGTGTTCGCCCATATTAAGGCAGATCTAGATAGGATCAGTGCCTGAGCAAGTCTGAATAATTTAAAGTTAAAAGCGATGAAAACTCAGGCCACTAATAGACTTCCATTCTCTTGAATAAGAAATGTTTTATCGATCATCCCATCACACTCAGCTCCTCTGTTAAAAACCTAGGCACCAACATTGACGAGAATCTCTCCTGGAAACCCCATACCTCCCTCATCTCCTGAAAGTCAATAAGTACCCTTAAGTTATTTCATCGCTCCCGCCACCTACTACCACAACTTACCTACAACCTCCTTGTATACTCTTTTATTTCCCCCCACTTTGACGATGGCTCTGTGGTGTACGGAGGCATCCCGATGATACTCGAGGATCGATTGAAGCGACTTTTTTTTTGGGGTCCTCCCCTTCTTCGCCTTTAAGGCTATACGGGGTTTTCACAGGCCAGGAGGTGTGGGCGGGGATTTAAAAGACCCCCAGCACCGGGACACGAACTCATGATTATTTTAAATCCATTGTCTCATATATCAGGTTGCCGGGCAACAGTGGTGCTGTGCACACACGTTAGCCCGTTCGGCCACCCTGCCCACGTGACTGAAGTGACTTATGAATGCCTGCTTAAGATTTGTCTTTAGTACTTCAAGGTGGTCTCATGTGTCCCACTTTTAAGACAACTTAAAGTGGCTTTCCCTTCTTCCCACCGACAATATTTTCTTGGATCTTTCCTATTCCGAACAACCAACACCCGACACCCTACCTACATCTATAGTCTCCTACAATTCAAACACATGGTCCATACCCAGAAAACAAGAACCCATGTTTCCGGCCTTTATATTCCTTCCCATAGAACTAAGATATTTGAATATTTCTTTATTGACCAATCCACTGCTTTCTAGAATTCCTTGCCTTCTGATATCTGCCATGCCTCTTCCTTGTCTTCATTCAAATATTATTTCTAGCAATTTTTTCTGGCAATCCAAAATGATGTTGTACAATTAAATAAATATTATTAATTAAATTTTGACCTGAGGTGAATGGTTGTTGAAATTGTTTGAGTTTTAATTTTAAGAATCAACGCATAGTGCTTTTAACATTTTGTTGTTTTTTCCTCCTGATTTTGGTTTTTCTTTTAATTTAAATAATGTTTTTTTTTTTTCAAAATTATTATGTTTTTTATTTTCTGTCCATAATTGTTATTTTTAAGGGACCTCATCCCAGAATAAAGTTTATTTTCTATCCTATTTATTTTCTATTCAAAACATTTTAAGGTTTGTCCAAGAAAGGATGAGTCCACAGCAGAATTTAGGTTTTACTAAGTATGAAACCTGTAAGTATTGATATAAAAGTATCCTAACATTCAAAAGGGTATGTAAAATTGTAGATGTTGGCACTGAACTAATTCCTAAAAAGTTGATTACCACTGCACTGACTTATAAAATCTGAGGGGTATATCAAAAGATAGGTGGGAAGATTTTGATTCTAACAGTGGTTAAGGGACAGAGACGAGTATACAGCAATTGGTGGTTTCAAAATCCAACCTTCGGGTTCTCTAAGCCTTTAATTTATCATTAATTTTCACTGAACAAAATACCAATTTATTTAACAACAAAAGTTATATTGCTCAAGACTGTGGCACATTTTTTAATTGAAATAAACATGGTAAAATGATGAACTCCAAGTATAAGAATCATATCTAAATAAATATTACTAAGTTCAATGATATTCAAACAAGGTACCAAGTTAAGTATGCAACAATTGTTTGAGTTCAAATAAGTTAAATTATAATTTATTTTAAATAAATAAATAATCCATAACAAATCTGTAATAACCAAGACAGCAACATATTACGAGGTGACTCATCAAGATGAGGTAGCAATCCAGTAAATAAGAAACTAGAATAAAAACTCCTGGATGCTAAAGAAAGGGTATCATAATTATAGAAGTTCGAATAATTAATTATGTTTCCAAGTAAAATTCAGCAATTCAATTTCGTTATCATATAGGGTATGCCTCCAAATAATTTTCTACCATAACAATTTTATTTAATTTTTGCTACAAATAATTCTGAAATTCAGTTATTTTGAGCGGAATATTGTTTTAATTATCTGACCACAGCGCTGCAATAGAATTAGCTATGAATGAGTTAATAATCATGAAACAAAGACATATGTTAGTGGTTCCAATAGCCTTCAATGAGAACTTAATGTTAATTATATTATTACAAGAAGCTATTAAATTAATTACATGCATAGATCGATATAGAACAATAGACAAATATAAATAAAAATCTGTTCAATTCAAGATACCTAAAAATTAAATACAATAAAATTATGAATATCTATAATTCTCAATAACAGGACAGACTACTCATAAATAAAAAAGGACAGAAAAAATAAATAAATATAACGTTTCTAAAAATTTATTGATATGTTAATATTCACCATAACTGATATATTACTAAAGGAAGTTCATATTTTGATTAAACATGAGTACTTTTTCTTATTCTCTTTACTTCAGCTTAATCACGGCTTTACTGTTTTTCTTTAAAAAAAAAATTAAAGAAATGTAACATTATTAATTAATGAAATTAATTTAATAATGCAAAAATAGTAAATATCTGTTCATGACTCTCACTATGAAGTAGTAAATTTGGATTTCTTTTAACAAATTCTAAAAAAAAGAATATCAGCAACACATTGATAAATAAATTTATAATCACGTAAAATGTAGTATCTATAAACAGGAAAAAGCTCTCTCAGAACCACAACTGATTAAGTTATCTTTAACAATCAACAACTCACCAGGAAAACTTTTCTGAGTTACATCAATATTGCAACACATTCTCTTATGAAAGAATCAATTTAGTTCAAAAGTGTATTTATGAAACCCATTAAAAAATAAAAGATCAGAACTCATGAATCAAATCACTGAGTACAGCCAAAATCTCAGAGGTGTAAATAACCTGTACCACTACAACCCATGAAGGATCTGGGGTTCAGTACTATTTAGGGAAAGCACTGTTTCTAGGTCAACGGTTGTGCAAGGAGGTGATTTGACCGAGATCACGCTCAACTGCCAGGTTTTCCCCCTTAATTAATTATTTAATTAAGGGTACCCACTTTATAGAGGCTGGGTGTGCCCCAGGAGGGACTTTCTGACCAGAGGTCGCCCCACGGCCAATGAAACAGATAAATAAATTTTCTGCCATGAGCCAGGGTTCGAACTCGGGTAATAAGTTGTATAAAAAACTAAATTGAATAAGCTTAAATTGATGAATTGCATTAATTTAAATATAATTGATCAATTATTTAATTAATATAAATACTTCATATGATCGTCAAAATCTCAATGACCATCCATATTTTTTTTAACTAGACATAATGATATAAATAAAATATTTCAAACAAAAAACCTTGAATCTCTAAAACAGGTAAACAATTCATCTATCAACACCACCAAAAAAAAAACAATAAATTTACAGATCAAAAACATATCTTTCCTCACGCATTGTTATGTAACCTCCCTTTTTGCTTGTGTGTGTTAAAATGCATATATTGTCTCTAGTTTATTTGTCCTTCTTGGACTGTTGATGTGAGATATGCTATGTTTGATCTGCATATCTGGGATTTTGTTAGTTTCTGTCATGATAGACAGCTTAATTGTTTGTCTGTATTTTGACACTCAAGGCTTTGTGTTTCAAATACTTCAATTGTATATTAATTGGAACCAAAATATAATATTAGATATTAGGATATTGAGAACTTCTTTATATAATATTAAAAAGTTATTAATTACGTTACAAAAAGCAAAAAATGTTTTGAACGTTTTAATGACCAAAAACAATATCAAACACAAAAAATGAGATTGAAATAATACCAAATAACAAGCATTGAATATATTAAGAACTTACCCAGTCACAAAAAGAACTATACACCAAAACGTGGGATTACAATTATTCTTGGATGTAGTTTTAGTGCTAATAAACATATTGCATCCAGTACAGGTTGTTTTTAATGGACGCCTGCCAACTGGTAGTCTGTTTGCTAAAAACAACATTTGGTAGTTGTAGATTGTTTAAATTAACATGAAGATGGCCGGATGGCCGAAAAAGAAAATAATATATTATCATTGGCAAAATTTAGGCTATATGTATTCTTTATTTAAATGGTCATTTTAACAATAAATATTTTTTTTAATAATTGGCAAAGTGGGAGTAGAATTAAGAATTTTTCAACAAAATGATAATTTATAATAGTTACAGATCAATAATTAGAAATACATTAATAGTTTCCACTTACACAACTTTCTTACAGGAAACAACTTTATAAAATTAACAGTTTGTGTATCTTTTCTGATACTATCTCTATTAAGATTTTGCATTTTTCATATTATTATTATTTTCAAGTTTACCTTAGTACATGGTTTAATTATCTTTCAAATTAAAGTTCCATACAATGTATAGTTAAAAACTAAGAAAAAGTGAAAGAGATTCAAGAAGAATAACTTTAAAATTTGAGTATTTAGTCCACTAAGCTGTATCTTTCCTAATACGATTCATTTTCATTTTTTAGAGAATTTAGTTAACTTTCAAAATATTATTTAAAACTGTAATATGTATTACTTTTTAAGTTATTCACAAATAAAATTAATTTCCTGTCAACTTCTTTTCTTTTTTTTTTTCTCAGAGATATATTATACACGAAAAATTAATGGACTTCAAGGAGAAGACTTAAGAAAAGTTCAAGACATAATTGTTACACATATATATTACTGAGAGATGGCCAAAACCGTGTTATATTCTCGGATGATTCTGAAATACAACAGTTAACTGACTCACTGCAAAAATCGCATAAAAAATTCGACCCGATTACAATACTTTTTTTATTAAAGTGAAGTAAAGAATTAGAAACATACATATAATTTTTAAACTTTAAGAAAATTCATACATCAATCAAAACATTGACTTGGTTATTTTTAATGGATCGTGACACAATTCTGTTTTGTATTAATAATTATTGGAACATCTTTAAGTCAGAATCATAAAGATAATTATTATACTCACGAAAAACAGAGCTAACTGGAGCTATCTGAACCTGCTGTGCAGGATACGGGGGCTGGACCATTTGAACAGGTGGAGTAGGAACTGCTGCTTGTGGTGGTGCATATCCTAAAATAACAGTAGCCATATTAATGATAATCATAAAAAGGCTTAGCAAATAAAAAGATTCAATACAATATTTTTTTCCCTTAGCCTTTCTCTATAGGAATCATTGGCATATTACACTAAATATGTGAACAACAATCTAACCAATACATTTTTTCCCCCTATGTATTTGTTCCAAAATTTGGAAATAAAATTATATTATTCACAAAGTTACATAACGAGAACGATATTTAAATATTGTGAATTCCAAATTATGCACAAAGTACAATTTTACTGCTAACCAATATAAAAATTAATCATAATAATGAATGTCATCAACATATTCAGCAGTTTTTCATAAAAGAAATATTTTTATTCTATTTTTTTTTATCCCTTATTTTAATAATTTTTACTTGCATCCAGATCATTTTCTGCCCTCTTACAAACCCTTTTACAGCTAAGAAACATTGTAAGATGTACTGCAGTTTTATTTTTCCATTTTTGTAGTAACTTTCATATCATCTGATATATTTCGGTGATGGGGCTCAACTCTGGTTTGATTTGACAACACTAAAATCTAACTTTTAAATAAATTCAATATCACTTAGTTAGATATAAAGTTATAAAGATGTTAATGTTCAATGAGAACGGGAAAGACTTATCATGAAAATGGTCTGAATATAAAGCCATTGGTCCAATTAATACTATTTATTTTTACAACTTAGGAAAGAAGTTATACAAAAATGTTTCAATTTATATTTAGTTACTTCCGGAGTAAGTTTTTCAAGGGAATTTAATGTACTCATCATAAGCCATTATAATATTACTCTGTATTTATGTTATAACAACATTTTGAGCTACTTTGCTCATTTTCAATTTAATAAAATTTCAATAATTTCCAACACACATCTATTACATAATTTGATTATTAATATTTATTACAATAAAAATTATAAACATTAAGAGGAGGCAGTACCACATTTGTGGGAATTGACCTGCATTAGATGTAATGTGCACAGAATGCGACCAATAATGGTGGTTTTTGAATTGGTGGACTAATAATTAATAATAAAAATAAAATAATGTCATAGAGATATGTTGGAAACTATAGAAATTTTATTGGGATTTTGATAACTTGAAAATGAGGGAAGTACCTCGAAACGTTATAAGTTAATAAAGAGTAACATTTCAAGGGCTTATCGATCAGATATGTGTAATACTCAAAGAATTAAGAATTTAAAACATATCTTTGATCTATCACCTGTAAATGATAACAGAAGGCTCAACAACCATAAAATATCCAAACCTTTTGATCCCTTAGTCACTAAATAATAGAATAAATAGGTATTAATAAATTTAAATGAAACCTTTAAATCAATTTCTAAACCATATCGACCATAATTAACATCCTACTTATTTTATTATGAAACTGAAGGATTTGGGAGGAACTAGTGTTATATGAATTGTCTAAAAGTCAAATTCTTATTTATATTTATATTATTTAAATATTTTTAAATAAATCTTAACAAAAAATGATTTATTTGTTGTTTTACAAATAATTATTATAGGAGAGTATTCAAAAGATGGGAGAATACCCAAAAACATTAATGAATGTACATCCACACCCAGATTCAAACACTACTGCAGCAGAAAACTAGGATCTAGTGTTATAGACATTTGTTACCATTCAGGATACCACCCTGGGGTGTTTCCAGTCTCTAAAAAGAGAGAATCTTATCTTTGAATGGAGGCAAATCTGGCAGTTACTACTAACTTAAAAAATCTTTTCATCATTCAAAAAAATCAAATTGCAAGATTGAAAAAAAAATTAAATCATTTTTTACTAATTAATGAGTAAAACTTATTAATTTTAAATATAGTATAAAAAACAAAAAAACATTTACGTATATTAGTTTTCATTGATAATTCAGATAAAGTCTGATGGGATCTGCCTGCTACAATGTCCTAAAAGCTAATAGCCATAGAAATTGATCTTTCTAGGCAATCTGTGATCTATTTGTACGGACCACTGTAGAAAATCACTGTCATTGTGCCTAAAATAGAGGAATAAATAGTAATACCACTAGATTCCCAGCAGCAATCTCCATCTCAAATCAACAAGATATACCATGTTCTGTGTGCCAGAGCCCTAGGTAATTTACCCCCACATATTTCAGCCATTTTCAATACATTAAATAACTATATACTGTTGTTGTTATTGTAATGTGATATAATAGTTCAAGACCAAGCAACAATATAATGATTTCTGAAATGTACACATTCAGAAAACAAACTGGTAATTAGATTTCTGCCATGAATACATTTAATAAAGAAAAACCTCGGCCAATCCAACAACAAAAGAATAAACAAAATACCTGATGTCATAGGGGCACTCAGGAGAGGGGCTCCTCCTGCACATAAAAGATAAAAATTAATAAAATTAAATTAATTCTTGGTGTTATAAATTCTTGGTGTAGTGAATTATTCAGTAATTAAAACCATTACCAAAGGAATTCGAAGTTCCCATAGCATCATCATAACTAGGTGGCGGGGCACTAGGCAAAGGAGTTACATTAGCAATATCAAAATTATCTGGAGGTCGAAATTTCGATTCCATTTGTATAACTTAACAATTAACTTAAGATACAGTAAAAAGGAACTTAAGCAACACAAATATACAAGATCAAGATGTTATCAGCTCTGACATCGATAAACAATTCAATTGGCAAGGAGATACAAAACCTCATGCTGCTTCCTTTGTATTGAATATCATTTGAAATATAATTTAATATTTTACTAGTAACATATATGTTAATTATTTATAAAATACAAATATTCCCAGGAATAACTCATTTTTTCTATCCTAAACAAGCTTAGTCTTTCTATTATCAAACTTGTCACTTATTAGATCAATCAAAATTCTTGATGCATAAATGACAAATAAAACAGTTTAACTTTTGTAAGATAGAAAATAATAATTAATAAATATAAAATTAATGAATGCAGCTAAAAACGTCGAACTGAAGTAAGGAATAAACAAGAAAACGAAAATTATTAATTCTTAAAAGTAAAAATGTGTAAAAAAAATACTCTCCGGCGGGCCAGCATAACCCGAGACCTCCTGAGAATGTTGAGACCCTTGGCCTCGATTTCATTGATACTTTTGATTTCCCACACACCATTAACACTTGTAACACCGTAAATCCTTATTATTATTTTTCTTTCAATACTTTTAGTTTACGACAGTAAACACCAGGTTCTCTAGCGATAAACACCAGGTTTCCGCACCATAGGTCACTACTGGCCTAATAAGCGTTTTATACAGCTTTAATTTTATTGCTTTTGACAACAATGGAGATTTGAGAAGTTTCAGGTTTGCATAGTAGGCTCTATTGCCAGCCATTATTCTATTGTTTATTTCTCTGACGATTACATTTTCGTTATTTAGGGCAGAACCAAAATAGACAAATGTGGGTACATTTTCAAATCTAAAATTCCTTATTTCGATTTTGCTGTAGGATCTTTTACTTGCTGCCAAATACAGTATTAGGTATTTAGTATTAGCTTCTTTGACGAAAAGCCCTACTTTGTCGCCATTTTCGTATATTATCTCAAATACCTCTTTAAGTGCCTTTTAACTTCGGGCAACAATGACCAGGTCGTCAGAGTGGGCACAAATTTGCCAGGTCTTGTCAACAATAGTACCTTTCTTAGCTGTATCTTTCATAGCAGCATGCAGAGCTATGTTGAATAGCGTTGCCGATAAGGCACCACTTTGACGTACTCCAGATTGTACCTTGAACAATCGACCAACTTTATTTCCAATAACTACTTTGGATGATGCATTTTCCATGGTCATGTATATTAAATTAATTAATTTATGTGGCATTCCATTTTTCGTTAGCATTCTTAACAGTGCTGATCTCTTGATGCTATCAAATTCCTGCTTATAGTCAACAAATAATAAGTGCAGAGCAGCAGCATATTCATAGCATTTTTCCATCATTTGTCTTATAACAAAAATTTGATCTGTAGTACTTTGGTAAGCTCTAAAACCACATTTTTAATCATCTAAAATTTCCTCAGTATATTTTCGCAGCCTTTTTAATATTAAACTAAAAAGGAGTATATAAAGGAATCCCACTTGGTTATTCCTCTATAATTTGTGCACCGATCCTTGCTGCATTTTTTTAAGAATAGGGTATATTAATCCAATTCTCCAGTCATCCGGCATCATTTTCTCTCTGCATACGTCACAGATCAACTCATATATTAGGGCCTTTATTTTACCACTTCAGTATTTAATCAATTCCACAGTTATCCTGTCCTCACCGGATGCTTCATACTGTAGGTATCCTGGTTTTGTCTTGTGAACCTTACTCTGTAACATCTTCTGACTGGTATGATTTTTCTCTTCAAGGGCTTTCACACATTCTTCATTGAATCATTCCTCACTTCTTCCATTTATGATTTCTTCCAATGTCTCCTCCGCTGCATTGCCTCTAGCCTTCTTTACAACTTTTCATTTCATGTCAATTGGCCCACTTTCCCTGCTTTCCTCTTCTGGCTGGTTTTCCTCTAACTTCTCTTTATCTATTTCTCTAACTTCTTGAAAATTCCTCAGTTCGTTCTCCACCTTTAATTTTGCAGTGTCCAATTTTGTTCGTATGATTGTTTCTTCGCTTGCCACCTTTGTTATCCTTTATATTAATTTAATACTAACCAAAAAGTGGTATGAATCGCATTTAGGGCCTCTCATACTTCTCACATCTATGATGTTTGATGAATGTCTTGTTAATATCAGGATGTGATCAATTTGATTTACACCATCTCTTCCAGGTGCCCTACAAGTACCTTTATGTATCTTTTTATATGGAAAACATGTGATTTTTCTGCGCAATGTGAACATTTCTGCGAATTGGACTAATAACAGTTATTTCATGCAATGAGTGTCTTCCAGTGACTTCTTTTAGGGCCTGTTCTCTCCCGATTTCTGGCACTGAATTCTTCTAATAGCTTAATTGCATTTTATTTGGGCACGTTTTTCAATGTTGCCTACCAGGACATCTTAAAATTTTTCTTTCATGTCATCGTCAGCATCTTCTGTTGGGGCATATACGGAAAAAAAAGATATATTCCTACACCTACCTTTGACACTTAGTTTTAATACCCGTTCAGATATTGGGTCAAAATTAAGGACAGAACGTCTCAATTTACTATTCACAAAGAATACTGTTCCTGCATGACCAGTTTTCTTATCCGGGCCACTGTATAATATGGAGAATTCCTTTTTATCAATTCTTCCACTTCCACTTCATCTTATTTCTTGCAATGCCGTAATATCTATATTATGCCTTTTGAGCTGGTCGGCAATTTAGTTCATTTTACTCGGTCTTAACATTGTATTTGCATTCCATGTGGCTAATGAAACCTCACATTGTTTCCATCTTAGTTTAGTCCGTTGAGAGCGGTTAGATCTTTAACCATTAGAAACACCCGCCTTTCCTTTTAACTCAGTTTTCTGAACATTAAATTTTTTCCGAGGAGGTCATTGGCCCCACGTTCAACCCCCAATTCTCAGAACCGTGCCATTTGTCTTCAGAGTTTTCCTTCCCAAGATTAGAAGCTTTCACCACAGCTGAAGAGTCCAATCTACCCTTGGTTTGATTTCGGAGTTGCCTTCTCCAAGACAAATGGCCTTCACTATGGCTATGAGGTAGGTCCCCCCAGAATGCAATTTCACGTCATGCCCAGGACAAATAAGGAATACTACAATAATTAAATATCCGAGCCTTTCAGTTGACAAAATGACGAACTCCAATTTCAACATTTTTGAGTAAAGTTATTTTAGTGATGTTTCTAGTTGGAAAATTTATAATATCTATACAAACAGTGAGTAAGTAGATTCTACTCAAAGTAGGTGATTGCAATGTTGAAATATAGAACCGTGAATAAAGGTATACATTTTCTTACCAGAAATATCACTAAAATTATTAATAAAAAATATTTAAATTGGAGTAAGTCATTTTGTCAACTGAGAGGCTCATATAGTTTTCAAAAAAATCAAATAAAATTGTTATTGTTAATAACTAAAATAAAATCGTTCCCATTGATGTTTCTGATAAAATTATGTTTTTGATTCGGGGTGGCAAGATAACGACAGGAAAACCATAAAACTAAATACTAAAATGTTGATATATAATTGTATCGCAAAACACAATTAGAGAAACACCACACAATTAGAGACGAAAACACGGCCACGATTTCGTTGATGTTTGTGTAAGAGAGAATACGTTTTAACTTGTACAGAAGGTCTAATCATTTGCGTTCTGAAATGACCGCAAAAAAAAAAGTCGTTCCTATAGTTCATATAGCCTATAGTTAAAGGCTGGAAATGAGTTTTATTTTGCAGCTGAAGTGTTACCTACCTCGCTCCTTCTTTATAGAAACTTAAAAGTTATGTATTGAAAAATTATTATCCTTAGTGATGTTCCACATTGATGCGAACCCAGTCTATTGGGACTATCAACGCCTCAGGTCTTCCAGAATAAGGTATTACGTTAAAAATCTGAGAAAGGATCAGTCTATTGGTTTTTAATGAAATGAAATAAAAATAAAATGTATCGGTAACCAGGAAAGTGTCTATAGAATAGTACCTGACGTTAATTTCTAAGGAAACCATGACTCTTAGAGTAAATTTTATTTATTTTTTTTTTTTTAAATAGGAGCTGCATAAAGCGGTATAGCAGAGTACAATATTTCCATGACGGTTGAAACAGGAATGGAAAGTTATTGAGAATGGTACGAAACTAGTTTCTAAAATAATATTAAACGCTGAATTGAATAGATGACAAACGTCCGCAAGGTTGACGAAGGTTGGTGGAAATATTGCATCCTCCTTGCAGAATTGGGCTTTGCTAGTGAAAGGTGGAAAGGTGCTTGTATACAGCTATTGATAGTATCGGCATTGTACCTTCAGGTTCATTGAGTCTTTTATTTATTTGTTTTTTTGAGTTATCTTATCAATTTCATCCTAGTTGATCTCTTTGGGAAGTCCTAATTGAACCTCGTTGTAAAACATGTTTAAAGGATAACCTACGTATTTAGCATGTGAGAATTGTTTAGTGTATTCCTGTATTTTGTATAGGTTGTATTTTACACGAATTGTCTCATATGAATGTTGTTTTTTGAGAATTGTTTAGTGTATTCCTGTATTTTGTATAGGTTGTATTTTACACGAATTGTCTCATATGAATGTTGTTTGCTCTTTATTTAATAGTATCGTGTTGCTAAAATTACTGACTTAAATATTCTGAATACAGCAGACGCTGCCTGTTGATACTTAATAAAGGAAATTGCTGTTGAATTGATTTAACATGCAGACCTCTGTGGAGGAAGAATCTAGTATACCTATGGATAGTATTGTTTTACTTCTTAACAGTAAAAGTGCACTTGCTGTAAAGCAAACCTTGGACTACATCTTATTATGTACAGCTCAAGTTGGTAAGTGTCCCAATATCTACAACAGTTCCTCTGTTGTAGAGGCAATTATAAGTATAAGTGATGAGTATAGCCATGTTGAAATCGGTAAAACGGCTTTAAATGTTATAATCAACTTAACTGGAGATGAACAGGGAGCTAAGGCAGTGTATGAAATTAAATCCAAAGAAAAAATAGTTATGAAGCTTTTAAAATATGTTACTGACAATAACTCCGCATTGGCTGAACATGCTTGTAAAATTTTAGTGAACATGACTATCCCTGAACAACTTGTGTTTAAAGTGGTGAGGGATTTTCTGAGTGACAAAGAACTATTCAGATTAACTTTTCAAGCTATTCATAATAAAAACTATAATGTTAAAGGCTGTTCTCTAAGTGATTATTTGTCTCAAGTTTTTGGAAATTTAGCACAATCCTCAGATTTCCAAAAGTATTTATTGACAGCTGAAGATGGAAATTTATTTTGTTCTATTTTACCTGTAATTTGTGATGGTGAATCTGTTTTACAAAGACGTGGTATCACATCTACTCTTTATAATTGTTTGTTTAACAGTGAATATCACCCTCTTCTGCTTGATAAACCTTTTGATATTCTTCCATATTTATTACTTCCTTTGGCTGGACCAGAAGAATTTGATGAAGAAGATGTTGACCAAATGCCCATTGAATTGCAGTACTTAGAGGATTCCAAAGAAAGAGAAAAGGATCCCGAAATAAGAAAACTGCTTCTTGAATCTCTGTTAATGCTTTGTGCAACTAAACAAAGTCGCATATATTTACGCAGTAAACAGGCATACCTAATTCTGCGAGAATATCATAAATGGGAAAAGAATAATAGCAATTTACTTGCATGCGAAAATGTAGTTGACATTCTAATTAGAACTGAAGATGAAATTGGAATTGATGATTTAAAAAGTATAGATGTTCCCGATGATTTAATCGAAAAGTTTGAAAAGATGGATAGGGATTATCTCAACAGCTAAAAAAATTTAAAGGTATTTTTATAATTGTAAATATTTATGTCTATGCAAACATATATATTTATATAAGTATATATATTAAAATATATATGTAAATAATGTTTATTTAAAACTGTAAAATTATATTTAAAAATATAATAATAAGTATCTATTAAAAATTGGAGTTATAATAATTGATCTTTTTTTTTAATCTTACCATGGAAAAAAAGATATATCCTGTGCTACAAAATGTTAGATATCTTTTTGATGTACATTTATTAAAAATAATTATAAGTCTAAATCTTTATTTTTTAATAATTTAGTTTCTGCACCTGCACCTGTTAGTTAAATGACTAGAGCTGATAAAAACGAAAACAAAAAAAAAATTAATTTTTGTATTGAGGAACAAAATGTATATCTTTAATCTTTATTCATGACGAATAAGTTTAAATTAAAATCTTTTAGTTGAAATAATTGGTCTACAATTTTTACTTTATCTTACCTTTATATGTAATATATAGTAAGAGTAAGTATTGCGATCATGAAAATTTTCGAGTCTGAGTTTACAACAGAAATACACGTTTTGAGGTACCCTGAGTCCAAATAACCAAGTCCATAAAAATGGTCTGTGTGTATTTGAACACTAGGTCGAAAACGAAAAGTGGTACAAAACTGATGTTACGTATTTAAGATAAGTATATACCTTAGATGTCTTAGTAACCTTTTCCTTAAAATCGGCTAATCGGAAGTGCCACTTTATATCAATGCTGAAACACATTTTTACAATTTTCTCGAAAACAGCTCTTAACGATTTTGATTAAACTCGGTGTATAATTGTATAATCAAGTGATATTTAATATCATTTAGGTCTTATCCCCGTTGATGTCACTTTACAGGGCTTAAATGCACATTGTTCATACACGTCTTCCTCTAAAGTACATTTAATATGGCTCATTTCAAATAATTAACTACCTCTCATTATTAAAAGTTACGAAAAAATGCTAAATATAACTTTTGAAAGAATTTGATAATTGAATAAAGGAGAAAAAAATAAAAATGCTTATCCAGGTCGAAAATAAATCTCTGAAAGTACTAGTCAGAAGGTATACATATAATATATTGTTGTAAAGCAGAAAACTTTAGAAAAAAATATATCTAATATAGAAAGTTGTAGAAGGTAACGGAGAGTAGAGAAAAAAATATAAATAATAAACTCTTAAAACTAACATTATTTAACGGAAATCACATATTTTCAAGGAAATTAAATGAAATTTACTAACTAAATGTAAACTTTTAAAATATTTTTAAGTTTGAAAATTTAAAATCCACCTAACCAAGGCAATGCCATTGTTAAAAAAACTATTTCATTGTACTTGTGTGAAATAAGAAGTAAAATATAAAATCGTTTCATGGATGTATAAAGCATATGTTTACAACCTTAAATACATTTACTGTGGTTTAGTGATCATAGATCTATAGTGATATAATATATTTAAATTTAAACGGATTTAAGGCAATGACATTGTTTAAGATACTATTTCATTTTACTTGTGTGAAAGGAGTAGTAAAATATAAAAATATTTCATTTGTACGTTTATAACCTGAAATATATTTATATAATAATAAAAGGCTTAGCGAACCCGAAGGTTCGATGCCGACACCACCAATCGTTTATTACACACCTCCCTCCACCGTTCGCCACCCAAACCCAAGCCCTTCAGATCGGCTTTAATGCAATCTTCCCACCTTCGCTTTGGTCTACCCCTCGGACGCTTACCATTCCGCACAGCAAATATTAACCTTTTAGGAATTCTCTCGTTACTAAGTCCAACAATTTTACAAGCCCATTCGATTTGCTGCGATGAAATTACCTCAATTATATTACCTGGTTACAGTTCACGCAATTCGGCGTTGTGTAACCGTCTGAACTCTCCGGTTAACTCATCCTTCTTCGGTCCGAATATTCTACGCAATACTTTATTTTCCAAAACCTTAAGACGCTGCTCATCCCTAAATGTAGGCGGCCAAGTTTCGCATCCATAAAGAACTGTAGGTAAGATAATGGTCTTATAGATTCTAATTTTTAAGTTCCGGGACAAGAGGCGCGAGCTAAGTAGTTTTGTCACAGAAAAATAACAAGCATTTCCCGCCTTCAGTCTAACCTTAATCTCTTCTTCAATTTCGTCTTTTCTAGTTATCGTAGAACCTAGATACCTAAACTTCTCTACCTGTTCAAACATATTAACATCTATATCGATATCACCAGTAGTATCGCCATTTTTGCAGCTAACCATATATTTTGTCTTATCTGCGTTTATTTCGAGCCCTAGAATCCATTCTGAAATATATTTACTGTAGTTTAATAACTCTAGATCTGATATTATATTTAAATAAATAGGTATCTATTATCCGTTTATTCTGACAAATCACTATGTAACCTTTAGAAAATTAAATTAGTGAATAATTTGATCATTTTTCCCATTGCGATATTCCAACAGAATCCACTTACAATCAGTGTGACAACTTTTGACCTATCTATGACAGCCAATGCAAACCTCTTAATTCTGTTTTAGTAAGCTTTGCATGGAAAATAACTCTTTAATAACTAATAGTCTTACAATCCATATTATATCAACCGGTGATATAATAAATAAGACTTTTGTTATTTTAATAATATTTATGATTTGTTAGCTGCAATCTTTTAGATTTAGCTCAGTTAAAAATGCAATTCAAAAATTTTATAATAGCCCAACATGGCCAGAAAATAATTTCTATTCAAAGTTGAGTGGTAAGTGAAAGTTGTGTATTTCGCTTACCAAATCTTTTATTCATCCAGAAAGATCATTAATTAATTTATAATTTCATAAAATTAATTATTTTATTTAAACTATTCTTAACTGAACTATTCTGAAACATTTTTAGATACCTTTAGTCTGGAATGCAGTATATGTCAAAGTGGGTAAGGATTGATGAATCTTTTTTTAGTTTATTAATGTCTTGAAATAAAATAAAACAGATGAAAATATATATTGGATATTTAATAGTTGACCATTGCATTATAAAGGAAGGAGATGGTCCGGGGTGGCGGTCATAAATAGCCTAAACAGTGGTAAAACTATTTTTATTGAAAGCTGACGTTTCGACCCGACTTTGCAGGTCCTCTTCAGGGCTAGAACGGACAAGATACAAAATTGTGGCAGTTACATAATATTTAGTCAAAATTTATAAACAATGTGAATAAGCTTATTGAAATTATAAACAGTAAGTACATTAAAATATGAACAAATTTACATACATACATTGCAAAACTAATTTAGAAGTATGGAGAGGGTAAAAAAAATTTTATTGAAAATTAATACATTCTGCCTCATTGGAGGGCATTAATATTAGGGCTACATCAAACATTCACACATTATATACATACTAATGATAACTTAAATAGAGATAAAAGAAAAAGAGTTGTGAAAAGTAAAATAAGAAAATTAACATACATAGGTAAAAAAAAATAATATAAAAAATAGAGAGAAGCTGAATGAAATTGAAATATATAAAACACATTCACATCTAATTTCATTCACTTACAATATTTTCATTCGCCCAGAGGATTCCGAGTCAGCCAAATGTGGAAGTCAAGGCAGGACCCCAGGAGATCCCAGTGCTTCTCTCCCAGTCGCGTCACTGGTATTGCAAGCCAGTGGAGACTGATGGAGGGCACTAGAGCAACAGATGCTCAGGACTTGAGTGGAGAATCTGGCCAGTGCCAGTACTCCAATGTATACATATTTACAAAAGGTCGTGGGGCCACTGCTGTTTTAACCTCTGGGGTTGATGGCTGGAGCTAGATAGGGATCATGCTACAGGATTTGGATGATGAGTGAGTTTCTGGTGAAATTCGGAAAATTTGTTTGGGATTAGGTCAATAACAAATTGGATATGAAGGTCATTATGGAGGGTTTTGTTGGATAGATAGAAGGGAGCATCGACTATTGTTTGGAGGACTTTAGACTGAAAGGATTGAATGCACTTAATGTTAGAATATTTTGTTGAACCCCCACAGCTCTAGTCCGTAGGTCTAGATAGGTTTCAGGATTGTCTTGTAGATAAGTAGTTTGTTGTCGACTGAAAGTTGAGATTTTCTATTCATAAGTCTATACAGCTGTCCGAATCGTCTGTTTAGTTGTTGTATTTTAAGTCTGGTATGTGGGTTCACGTTAGTCTTTTATCTAGAAGAAAGCCAAGGTACCGGACTGTGTCTGAGAGAGGAAGTGGTATGGATTTGAAGTAGACTGGTGGGCAGAACTTGCGCCGAAGGGTAAAAGTGATGTGTTTGGATTTGGATTCATTTACTTGGATGCGCCACTTATCACACCAATGTTCAATAAGAGAAAGGTGACTTTGTAGGTTTGAGGATGCTGTTTTAGGATCTGGATTTGAAGATAGGATAGCAGTGTCATCAGCGAATGTTGCCAGGAGGGTTTCGGGATGAGTAGGAATATCAGCGGTAAACAGAATGTAGAGGACGGGACCCAAGACACTGCCTTAAGGAATTCCCGCCTCAATTGAATAGTAGTTGGAGAATTCTGTACCACAATGAACTCGAAAGGAGCGGTAAGAGAGGTAGGATCGGAGTATTAGATATAAGGACTGGGGTAGGTGAGTTTTGAGCTTGAAGAGTAGTCCGGTGTGGCATACGCGGTCGAAAGCTTGCTCAATGTCCAGGAATGCTCCCGAGCATTCCTTTACTCTTTGCTTTCTAAGGCTGAGGATGAGTGGTCAACAATTCGGAGTTCTTGTTGAACGGTGGAATGCTGGAAACGAAATCCGAATTGATAGGTAGGAAGGTTTTGTGATTCTATTATGGGTAGGATTTTTTCAAATCCTATTTATTTTTAAATATTTTTGAAAGGATTGGGAGTAGGATGATGTGTTATTGGAAGGTTTGGCTGGTTTCAGGAAAAAGACGATGGTGGAGTGTTTCCATAAGAGACGAAAATGGGCAGTTCTTAGGATGCAGTTGTATTTATATGTGAGGAATATGATCGCTTTGGGTGGTAGTTGATGAAAAATCTGTGGGGTTAGAAGATCGTATCCAGGAGATTTGCGGAAAGATAATTTTTGTAAATGATATTTGGCCTCAGAAGGATGAACTACTTTTGGTGGTAGGGAAAGTGGATTTGGTGAGGAGAGGAATTTTTCTACTTTTGTAGTATGGATGGAATGGGATTCAGGATGAGGAGTAAATGTACAGGAGAGGTGTTTGGCGAATTCCTCAGCTTTTTCTTCATCAGACGCCACCCAGGAGCCATCGCCTCGACGGAGGGGATGGGAAATATTTTTTGATTTTAGAATATTTTTTGTGATATTCCATTTTTTCTGTTGAAAAGTACCCGGGCATAAGTCCAAGTTTTTCAGCTGTCAGAAATCTCTGACTTCTCAAGCTCGCAAGTGCACTGCTCAACATGCATAATGAAGATTTGAAGTAGGCTAAACCTTGCTTGAATGTAGAGTTTAGATAATAAATTTACGTGAAATAATGACAATGAATAGAAATAGAGTTGAGATATTATAGATGTATGGAAACTTCTTTGACATTCAGATTAAAGTTGTTTCCCTTCCTGCTATGGGATTATAGATCAATCATGAACTCATTATCATGTTGATAAACCTTTTTCTCCACTGCCTTTCTGATTAATAAAAATAATATAATTAATAGATGATTAGCAATGTTAAAGAACAACTAACTGCATTGAAACTTTTTTTGAGGAAGTGTACATTTTAGATATTCTGTATTGTAGTGGTGAATGAGAATTGGTTCTCTGCATGGCTTGGTTGTTCATTATAAACTTGTTTATTATAATAGTGAAAATATTTCCTATTATTACGGAATAATCTTACATAGTACTAATGCACTATCTAATTATGTAGCCTGAAAATTTTTACGAGCTTGAAGTTTGATTATGCAGTAGGCCGTGGAATAGGAGTTGTTTGAAGGAATTTGTGGACGTAGTTTGGCGAGTGGAGACAGGTAAGGCGTTTCAAAAGTAGGTAGCACGAATTAGGAAGGATTTACTGAAGGAAGTAATTTTACGGGAGAGAATAGATAGATCTATAGGTTGAAGTCTGGTACTAAGAGAGTTGAAAGAGGAACATAGAATAAGGAGTTTTAGGATGTAGGGAGGATTTTTGGTTCTGAGGACTAGGGAAAGGAAGACACCAAGATAGAATAGCCATTGGAAAAGAGGAGAGAGCCGATTCAACTCTGTATATAAGCAGGAAACATGGCTATCCCAAAGATGTATCTTATGAAGCAATTCATGAGTCTTGTCTCTCGTCTTGGGGAAGCCCTCCTTACACCAAGCAACAGTAGTAGAAGTGGGTTATATAATAATTTTGTAATATCTTCACATAGTCTTTTTGTTGCATGTATAATTTAAAGCTGTTATTGGGTTTTAATGGGAAAATGGGTTAATATTTGACTGGGTCCTCAGAAAAATTATCTCAGAGGACCTTAGTTTCTCTCCAAGTCACTGGGATGCTGACAAAGATTACAAGTTAAATATGGGACCAAAGCAGGCTCTAGACATTCGGCGACCCCCGGCAATGACATTTACCCCCACCCTTAAAAAAATTAAATTTATTTTTAAGCTGCTTTACATAATGTAAAATTGAAATTTGAATTGAATGTTGAAATAATTCAACATTTCTCTTATACATTTGCTTTATTGATATGCTAAAATTAACAATTTTAATACGCTTTGTATTTTTTTTTTAATTTGTAATAAGTGGCGAGTGCCCCTGAAGATCAACTGGCGTCCAGGGGCGATTGCACGGTTTTGCCACCCTAAAGCATTTGTGGATCCAGGATTTAATTGTTGGGGGCTTCAGCCCGAAATTTTTTTTTTTTCATAAAAATAACGATAATTAGTTTGGAAAACCAGAAAGAAACTAACTACCTATATGAAATGGTGTTTAAGTGATTCCTTAAGTTCTTTTAAATGTAATTACACGAACAATAATACTTTAAGAGGTATTTTTTAAAATTTGTTTCCATAAAACATGGTTATATTTTACCATTTTGGGGGAGGGGACTTCAGCCAGTAAGCCCCCTCCCGTAGATCCGCCCGTGCTCTAAAGCCGGCGCTGTATGGGACTAATTACGTTTCCTTTATTTGACCCAGGAGTATCCAGAAGGGGATTTGATGGCGCAAACTGCGCCATCAAATTTTTGAGGGGCCATATTTTGACGCGTTTTTGAATTTTTGAGGGGAGCACATTTTGACGGGGTTATGAATTTTCGGAATGAAAAGTTTCATACTAAGGAGAAAACATGGAACAGACCGCAGTAAGTGTACATTCTGTCAACTGAAAGGCTCAGAGATTGAAGTTGGATGGTTTATAAAAGTAGATGGAGTGACTAGATTTTTATTGCCTACCGTCTATATAATAAATAGGACTTGTTATTTTAATGGTATTTATGACTTGTTAGGTGTAAGCTTTTAGCTTTAGCTTGGTGAAAAATGCAATTCAAAAATTTTATAATAGTCCAACATAGACAGAAAATAATTTCTATTCAAAATTGAGTGGTAAGTGAAAGTTGTGTGTTGCGCGCACCAGATTTTTAACAAAAGTGTACCTTTCGTTTAAAAATTGTACTGCACTCAGGCGTGGTGATATTGGTGCTTTATTTATCTAAGATCATCCATACCGGCTCACTATCGTTTTAAACAGAGGCTTGATTATGAAAGAATAAGTTTTTAAAAAAACACATGATAATGATATATTCTAGTATTGATGATTGCATCCATTGATTCTAGTAACACATTCTTGTTATTACCGACTTAATTCAGCCCATAGAGGAAGGAATCTAACAATTCAGTGTCTTTCTTTTTGCATAACCTTCAACTTTAGATAACCTTTAGTTTGACTTATTAGTAAACAGTTCCTTTGACTATGATAAATAAGAATACACCATTTTTTTTAAATTGTTTACTTGTAAAAATGCATTGAATAATTCGCATATCCTCGAATCTTTATATATATATATTTTTTTTATTCTCGTATTAGTTATTTTTATTCATCAATACTAAGTTGATGTCTGACTGATATTCACAATATGTACTTATAGCAATGTTGTATTACTGTGTGATTTTATTGAAATATTAATACTTTTTAATGTATTTTTATGGGTGTAACATTATTGCATGTTATTAAAAATGGGTACCAGAAATGAACAACACTCTTCTAATGACAGTAGAAGTGAAGAAATGGAAGAATCTTTTCTCAATTCACGGAACGAATTAAGTAAAATATTCCATTTAAGAGATTTTGTTAAAGATAGAGAAGATTTTTGGCTTTTTACAAAGAAGTATGAAGTTGTACAGCGGAAAGCAAAAAGTATTAAAAAGAATATAGGTAATCAAAGATGATTTATAATATTAGATTATTCCTTAGTTGTACATAAGGATAATTCTTTTGCTAGTGTCCTTCTAGCATGATGGTCAGGCCAAGGTCACATTGATCATATATGGAATTTCAAACGTAGCTCAGTGTTTAAATTCATAGTTTGCCAATTAGGTAAAGGGAATGGATAGTTTTATTAATAATACTGTTTACTCATCTAGGAAGGAACGGAGAAGCACTAAGATAATGAAACTTAGTTCCTAATGTCTTGATCTGGGTTTAAGTCTGGCTATGAAAGATAATTAGTTTTTATCTCATCTGCTGTAAAACTGCCCGGGGGGTCAGAGAATTCTTCTGAGTCACACACATCCTCTATAGGTGGGTGTCTTAATTGGTGGAAAACCTGGTTGAATGTAATCTTAGCCAAACCACCTCATTGCTCAATCGTTGGTTATGATGCGAAATTATTCATTCATTTATACCCATATTCAGAATTATTAGGTATAAGGTATGGAAAATGTCTTCTGTGTATTCAATTTATTTTAAATCTTATTTATCTAGATACATTTTTTTTTGGGTCCTCTCCTTCCTCGCCTTTAAGGCTATACGGGATTTTCCCGGGCCAGGGGATGTGGGCGGGAATTTAAAAGATGCCTTGGCACCGGGACGCGAACTCGTGAATATCACATTTGTCATAATCAGGTTGCTGGGCAATGGTGATGCTGTGCAAAACACATTAGCCCATTCATCCACCCCGCCCACACCATCTAGATACATATGTCTAACATTTCAGACTCTTTGTCCATCATCAGATACACCACATTTCTCACTTCTGCATGTTATTAACATTTCTCTTTTTTTTTCTCCTTATTCTATTTGACAATTATATACAGGGTTTGTCAATTTTCATTCATATTTTGTGCATTAATCTTATCTAGATAAGTAAGAATTATTTAGAATAAATTTAATACACGAAAGAGAAAAGTTTCCATACCTTATACCTAAAATAATGTAAAACTCTTCTTTTAGAAACATATAAATATTAAATAATATAAGAAGAATTTTTATCTTAGGTTGGCTTATATTGTATGGCTTTTAAGGAGGGGTTAATTGGAATTATTAGTTGTTATCAAAATCATTACTGTTTTAATTAGTTCATTACTGCCAAACTTATGCTTCTTTTACTCAGGCAGGTAATAACCAAAACGAGCAGAAGTGAGCTTATCAATGCCACAATAATTTTAGTGACCACTAATAATTCTGATTAATTGGTATCATTGCTTTAGTGGGATCTCAATTACTGAGGTTCGTCAGACACATTCAGGTACTTTCAAAATCTATAGTGTATTCGATGTGATCTTGTCTCATCTGTTATGCAGTAGGGACAGTAATGAAAACTATATCTGAGAAAAAAAAACAGATGCTTCCTGAATAGTTTTTTATTTTAGAATAACATGAATATCATTATAAATATAAAATCAAATGTTGCCCTCAATTGACAAGGAGAGAAGGAGCACTCTTAGAGGCTTTATGTATGAATTAGATATGTGTTTGCCCCTTATTATTTGCATGTTAAAATTGAAATATCCTTAATGGTCTATGACTAACTGTAAAAATTTTACAGTCTAAGTAAAAAATTCTCTATCTGCCTAATGGCGGACTAACCGCGATTTAAAATAATTATACAACCGTTCATTTAATTTTAATACTCATTACTCAAATTGTATAACTGTTATTTACATGTATGCAGTAGTTGAGATTGTATTATTATTTTCAATATTGTGTAAGCAGGAAAAAAAATTTTTTTTCAAGTCTATTCTAACATTTTAATTTGTTGAGATTGATAAATAAAATATTACATGGTCATTGAAAACTTTTTTGTATTATAGAGAGAACCCCAGCATTTTAATTTGTCAAGATTGGAAAATAAAATATTACACAGTCATTCAAAACTTTTTTATATAATAGAAAGAATCCCAGCATTCTAATTTGATGTGGAATAAAAAAATGTGTAAAATGCTTTTATTTATTGATTGTATTTGTATGAAAAAATTATTTCTAATAAATTTTTTTATTGGTTATTGTTATTTAGTTTGATGAAGAGTTCAGATCAAAACTAGTGTATAAGAAAAAATAACTGAAAAACATCTTTATATTCTTTTATTATTATTATTTTTAACATAAATTTTATTATTTTCAGACAGGGATAAAATCAACAGTCTATTAATTGAGAATTTAATTTTAAGTGATGAAGAAAAAACATTTTTAAAAAATGTTGCCAAGCATGATGCATTTAATTTTAAAAGGGATAGCTTAGTTTCTTTTCAAACTATTTTGTTAAGCTATTTAGATTTTAAACAAAAAGAAAATACTGCTAAAGTCAAAAAGATTAAAGAAATGCAAGAAAATTTACCTGTCTTCAAATTCAAGTAAATGAACCATTAAAACTACTTAATTTTACCATAAATTTTATTACTCCTGATGAATAACTAAATTAATTCATTGTAGAGAGCAGATAGTTGAAGCAGTGAAAAACAATAAGGTAACAATCATTGCTGGTGATACAGGTTGTGGTAAATCGACTCAAGTTCCTCAATATTTGTTGAATGCTGGTTTTGAGAAAATCGGTACGTGAATATTTTTATTAATACTAGCCAATTTCTTTAATTTTGACTTATAATAATATTTTTTTATTTTACTGTAGCATGTACGCAACCAAGAAGATTGGCTTGTATTTCGTTATCAAAGAGAGTTTCTTATGAAACAATGAATAAATTTGGTGAACAAGTTGGTTTCCAAATCAGGTTTGAAAAAAATCGAAGGAAAGACACGAGGATTATTTTTATTACTGAAGGGTTGTTACTTAGACAGGTATCAGTTTGTTTTAATATTAAATTTTAATTAATAAAAAGTAAAATGTAGTATTTATTAATAGTATAGAAGAGGGCCATGCGGGTCTAACAATTGAGATAAACTTTTTATTTATTCTGCAATAAATTAACCAATCCATTGATTAATGTATGATTAAGTGTTTGGAATCTTGTTCAGTACAAACGAATAACATTTATACATTTTCAATAAAATTTAATGAACGCAAAGGCACTCCACCCACAAGTTGTTCATTTATCGATTCTTGTACACTTGGATATCGTATATCATATTCATCAATGAAAATGAGTGGAAGACAACTAATAGAGCATTTAAAGTCCTCAAGCTAAATGTATGGCTGGTTTGATGGAGGATTCTAACGCTCAATACACAAGGTATATTAAAAAACAACTAAAACTGTAAGATTAGATGAAATATGGTTATGTGAGAAAAAACTATACTAATAAAAGGTGGACCAAAGTTAGCACAAATTTCAAGCTTAAAAGTTAGAAATACTTTACATATTGTTTTAGTACTATCATATTATCATGAAGATTTATAATCATTGCCATAAGCTTGACATTGAAAACAAAAAATGTGGAAGGTACCAATTTTGCAACAGTTGTAATGAAAATCAGTAAATAATTCAACTTAATGACTGCTTTTAAGCGGACTTAAACACATCTGCTAGACCCACTGAAAATTATACTTTTTCAATAAAAGAGTCTGCAGCAAAGTTATGTTTGAGTTAAAACTAGTGAGAATGAATCTACAGGATCACTGTTGAGTTCAAATTAATTGATCTTAATTCACCTAGTGCGAGTGATTCAAACTCAACTCCTTAATCATTCTTTAAATGGGTTCTCCCAAAACTTGATGTGAGGCTAAGGCATTGATTAAGAATTTAAGCATGTTCCCAATATTATTAAAGGGTGTTCTATTATTGCATGAATAATATTAATAATAATTTGTATATAGATTTTTGAAATGACGGTATGTTAATCAAGGTAGGCAGTGATGGACTTCTTTCCGAGTATGATGTCATTCTTCTCGATGAAATTCATGAAAGGCATCTTCAAGGAGATTTTTTACTTGGTCTTCTGAAATGTGTACTTATTCAAAGGCCCACCTTAAAACTCGTTCTGATGTCTGCTACTATCAATATTCCTCTATTTGAATCCTATTTTGGTGAAGAAGCTGCTACCATACAGGTATGATGGTTTCTATATATATTTTTGTTGTATTTAAAATGTTGTTAACAAAAAATTATGACTTAAGCTATGCAGTGCCCAATCTTTGGAAGGGTGTGTATATTTCTACATATTTATCTTATATCATATAAAAACATATACCACTACAGCCCATAAAGGGTCTGGGGCTCAGTACTATTTAGGGAAAGCACTGTTTCTAGGTCAACGGTTGTGCAAGGAGGTGATTTGACCGAGATCACGCTCAACCGCCAGGCTTTCTCCCTTAATTAATTATTTAATTAAAGGTACCCACTTTATAGAGGCTGGGTGTGCCCCAGGAGGGTCTCTTGACCCAGGGTCGTCCCACGGCCAATGAAACAGATAAATAAATTTTCTGCCATGAGCCGGGGTTCGAACTTGGGACCTTTGCATTGGAAATTCAGTGCCCTACCACTGAGCTACCCCACTCTCTTATATCATATAAATGCACATTATTTATGAATTGAGTTATTTTAAGTTATTTAATTTTTTTTAAATACAGTCAGTAGTTATTGGTAAAAAGATAATATATTATCAATTTTATTGAATTCCATATACTACTTTCTCATATATATAATAATAATACAATAATACAAACACTATTGTATATGTGGAAAATAAAGAGATAATAATAATAATAATAAAAGGCTTAGCGAACCCGGAGGTTCGATGCCGACACCACCAATTGCTTATTACACACCTCCCTCCACCGTTTGCCGTTAAAACCCAGTCCCTTCAGATCGGCTTTAATGCAATCTTCCCACCTTCGATTCGGTCTACCCCTCGGACGCTTACCATTCGGCACAGCAAATATTAACCTTTTAGGTATTCTCCGTTACTTAGCCCAACAACTTTACAAGCCCATTTGATTCGCTGAAATTACCCCAATAGCCCAAATAGCCCATTTGAAATTACCTCAATTATATTATCCCGGATACAGTTCACGTAATTCGGCGTTGTGTAACCATCTGAACTCTCTGGTTAACTCATCCTTCTTCGGTCCGAATATTCTACGCAATACTTTATATAATATTCTACGCAATACTTTATATATATATATATATATATATACAAACGTATTTTCTGACACATCTATATCTCTAAAACCGCACGTTTGATTTGGCTCGAATTTGGAGGAAAGTTAGGGATTGGTAAACAAATAATCAATTTTATCAAATTCTATCCACATGGCGACAACCTTAAGGTAGCCGTCAGGGGTTGGAAAAAAAGGACCATTACAGGCGTACTTGCTAGACTAGTCCTCCACCAGTACCAGTACAAATAGTGCAAAAGGGTCATATGGCAAAATTTTCTATTTTTATTCTATTTGTGCTAAACATTTTGTAGTCTGCAACTGATACCCCATGGTAATCTGCTACCTTGGAAAATAGCAGAGAGCAATAAAATATGAAATTATACTAATACATCATAAAGAAAAAATAGTTTTTATGCTCTCCTGTAAAACATTCAATTTTTACATGCGACCTTTTATACTAACAATAGACATGCTCCATATGTACTGGTATTTTTTTTTTAAATCACAAATCATCAAATGCCCAATCTACAAATATGGAACTCTTCCGTATTTTAGTATTCACTGATAAACAAAACTCATGGATATGAAACCTGCGAATGCTGAGGGATTACTGCACTTCCAAAAACAGCTTCTGGAGATTTTATTCTCATGCAAAAAATTATAGACCTTGAAATATAGATATTGTTTAGCCAATGAAAACGGTAATGAAGATTACTCTTCTGACCTTACTTGGCAGAGATTTTTATATTGCGCCAAGTATTATAAATATAAAACTAAGCAATATTAAAATTCTACCAAAGAAAACAACATAAATGATGTTGCTTTTTTCATTCAAGAGGCTGCCTGTGATTACAAGTGCAAACATTTTTATTTAAAACTCAACAAGACCTATTGAAAGTTGATTCTGAAAACTATCAAAGGGTAAATTTTAAATATTTACACTTGTGGGATTATTTAAAATAATGAAACATGTTTAATTTCAACTACAATTATATTGAGTGCTAATAATTAGAGGTAATGAATGTGAAGGATCATATAATGTGATTAACTAATAAAGTAATAAAATTGAGAATATTAAAAATTGGAAAGTGATTCTTTATTTATAACATCATGCAAAGATAATCCTGAGTATTCTATTGAGATGACTGATATAGTTTTATTTTAGAAATGTTAATGTCATAACAGTGTTGGTACTCTTGGTCTTGTCAGTATTATCAAAAATAGATAAGATTTAGTCTGATCTTTTTTATTTCAAGTATACAAAATATGGGTATGTATTTTAATGAACTTTACATGATTGATGTTTAGGTTCCTGGAAGAGTATATCCAATATCAGTTAATTACATGCCTACAACTCCAGCTGAAATAAAAGCGGAAAGATTAGATCCAGGGCCATACATCAGAGTAATGCAGATCATTGATAAGAAATATTCAAGTAGGTAATGTTTGAATGTTGTTCATTTTTCATAAAATTAAATATTTTATTTAATTTTTCAAGAAGCCATGTTTTATTTTCAAATGTTCACATCTTGGCCATTGATTTCTATAATACCTCTGATTTTGAGAGTACGTGGTAGTTTTAGCTATGGCACGACTAACGTGTCTCCATATCCATACTGTTTTGAAATTGGAAGGTATTCCATTTCATAACCAGGCAAATCCATTTTCAACAATTTTTTTAAATTTTTTTATTAACTATTTGGGTGCTCAATTTATTTATTTGAGATAATCTTGTACCCAAAACTGTCAGTATAATATATATATATATATATATATATATATATATATATATATTAAAAATGGGTTCGGCTTGTTTTTAGATCTCTTCCTCATCCTCATTTATCGTAAACCATGTTATATTTGCATCTTTATTATCTACTGTACTTTTAAACTTGATATAGTTTAGATAACAATAAAATACATGTTGTCTGGGAACCAGATGATTGATAAACATAAGTTTACAGATATAAAAAAATAATTACGTGTCTTGTTCCGGTTTTGGGGAGCTTTTAATTCTGGTATTAATCCACCACCCTCTTTCCTGATCCTGAAAATCCATGTATAACCTAAAAGGCGAGGTTGGAATAGATAAAAAAATATATATATGGTGAGGGCAGGGTGGCCAATCGGGCTAACATATGTTACTGGGCACCCTGATAAACAGAACATTACGAGTTCAAGTCACCGTGCTGGAGGCTTTTAACTCTGGCATTAATCTCTCTCCTGCTATTCATAAAAAAATACATTTTAGGATATTTGAAGCTTGGCTTTAAAGATTTTTTTTTTTTTTTATTGATGTTATTTTTTAAGCCAAATTATCATAGTTTAATAATGATGATAACATTTATTTATCAGATGCAAGTTTTATGGGATTCAGTTGAATGATGTTGTATGCAAAATTTATTGATGGTATCAACATTGATTGTTTGTTTTTTTAAAATTAATATATGAGAATGCACTGTCTATAAAAGGGCATGGTGAACTGTTGAAAATTGTGTTTGATTTTTAATGGTTTATTGATTGTTACATTTGTCTTTCTTTCTCATTTTGTTATGTGGAAAATTACATATTTTCCAGTTTTCGTTACAATAAATTTGTCCTTGCTGAACATTTTCAGAAAGCTTTAATTCTGTTATTAATCCCCCACCCTCTTCCCTGATCCTGAAAATCCATGTATAACCTAAAAGGCGAGATAGGGATAGATAAAAAAATAAATATATATGGCGAGGGCAGGGTAGCCAATCGGGCTAACGTTTATTACCCGGGATTGGTAAATATCGCAAAGTTTGAAATATTTTTCAATATTCATCCTAGCATATACCTTTCTAGTTTGGATTAATTTTTGGGTAGCTTGTTTTATTATTAAATACTTACGCAAAGAAAAAAAAAAATGTTTATCTGATTAAATATATAGATAATTATTTTTGTCTTAATATATTAAATGGTGTTTTTCATTTTATGTTATAGGCCTAGGCAACACATTTTTGGTTTCCTATGTTTTAGTTTTTTTGATTCTAGAATAACGAAACTTTTTTGTTGATAATGTATTTCAGGTAATGAGAGAGGTGACTTACTAATATTTGTGAGTGGAACAAACGAGATCAATACGGTCATAGATGCAGCCCAGAGATATAATGAGAAGATTAACAAATGGATTATACTTCCACTACACAGCTCACTTTCCATTGCTGAACAAGACAAGGTAACCCACTATAAGATGAGCCAGAGGATTTTTTTTTAACAGTAAAAAATATTGGTCATAAAATTTATATAGTAATAATTACTTTATTTTATCATTTGTATTATTATTTTATTTTTAAAAAATACTATATTAAGAATGAGTTCATCATTGCTGATTAAATAACACACTGTTTCTTTGATGTGGTTATTTAATAAAAACTAGGGACTTTGCTTGTATGAATCCGTGAGTACTCTAAATATTTATATTTGTGTATTTGTATTTGGGTGATATATTTTAACATGCTCATTGGTGTATTTAACAATGGGTTGTGAAATACAATATTATTTACAGTCAAATTTTTATCACACCTCATGAATTTTTGTAAAATGATTATTTTAAGTGAATTTTCCACAGGTATTTGATTACGCTCCTGATGGCATGCGTAAGTGTGTTGTTTCCACAAACATTGCTGAAACTTCGATTACGTTAGATGGAGTGAGATTTGTTATGGATTCAGGAATGGTTAAAGAAATGTCATATGATCCTGTTTTAAGGGTGCAAAGGCTCAAAGAGTTCTGGGTTAGCAAAGCTTCAGCTGAACAAAGGAAAGGAAGAGCTGGTATGATCATTTTTGCAAACAAGTTTTATATTATGCTGTTATTACAAATAATTAATTTGACGATTTGCAGTTTCTATTAAAAAAAAAAAAGAATATTACTGAAGCATTTAGTTTTTTTTCTCGATACCTCTATCTCGCCATTTCTGACATACAGGTATTGTTCTAGAGACACAACCAAACCTATGATAACCAGAATGAGAAGATTGAGATTCATTCTGTAGGTCTGAAATAAATTTTATTCTGCCCAAGCCAGATTCGAACCAGTGTCCTTAGGCTCAAGGATATTTAAGTTTACGCTTTAACACCCTCGGTCATCACGACCTCTGAACCATTTAGTTATCACATGTAACTTATTTTGATAGTTTTATTACTAGCGACAAAGAAGGGTTGCTGGGATCTCATATAGACGTACTTTTCGCTTCATTAGAGGGAGGAGCTTGGTTCTGCTATTTATAAATATATAACATGGGTGATAAATATTCAGGAAGCAGTCATTATAAAGTTTTTATTGGTACCGTTTCATTAAATATCCTTTCATTGAACTACATAATATGTAGACCAGTCGACTAACTTCCTTCAATAATTCATTAAATCAGAGTACTTGAGTAACTTCAGTGCTAGAAACAGGCCCTGATAATGACCCACATGTTTGGGTTGAAACTTCGGCACCTGTAAAAACTTTATAATGACTGATGAATATTTATCACCCATGATATGTAGAACAGTCGACTAACTTTCTTCTATAAATATATAAGATTGTGATTAATACATTTTTGATTTGTGTACTTCTGTTATTTTTTTATTTTATTAATGTAAGCCTGTAAGTACAATAATGCTTTCCCATCACGACAGATTATAATATTTTCGAATAAAAAGTTTATTGATTTTATAATATATGTATTTAGATTTATTATTTCCTTTTATTGATTATTTTTTTTATTATTATTATTTATTCTGAATTTTGTATGTTTTCTGTTGCTTCACATTTGTTTTAACTGTGCTTTGTAGGAAGAACTGGACCTGGTGTTTGTTATAGACTCTACAGTGAAGCAGATTTTAGTGCAATGGCAGATTATACCACCCCAGAAATTCAGCGTGTGCCTTTGGACTCTCTTCTATTACAGATGCTGTCCCTTGGTCTTCCTGATGCACGAAAATTTCCTTTTCTTGAGCCTCCACCAGCTGAAAATATTGAAAATACTATTTTGGCCCTGAAGCAACATGTAATTATTTAAGATTTCTATTACTTTTTTCAGTTTAACTATTTTCAGTTTTAGGAATATCTTTTTAAATTTTTAGAAAATCAGCTCAATTTTTTTTTTTTTCAGGGTGCTGTAAGTGAAAATGAAAAACTTACTCCGATCGGTTCCTTACTTTCCAGGTTGCCTGTTGATATTCCTTTAGGAAAAATGTTGATTTGTGGCTCAATGTTTCATCAAATAGAACCTGTTCTATCTCTTGCTGCTGGGATGTCCGTACAAACCCCCATTGTGGATAAGACAATTTCTCGTGAAGTTGAGGTGAATAAAGTTTTTTTTTAGCCTAGCATTTACCAAATTTATGTTTTCTTTTTTGTTAATCTTTACAGTAAAATAAGAATATTTCCTACATAAATTTTAACTTTTTTTCACTTAAAAAATAGGTCTTACGGGATGAATTGGAATCAGATCATGGTGATCCGATTGGTTTGTTGAAAATGTATGGAGCATGGCTGGAAGTAAAAGGATCTAGCCGAGGTAGTGATTCTCGGAAATGGTGCAAAGCTCGGAAATTGGAGGAGCAGAGGTTTTATGAAATGTCAAAAATTCGAAAGCAGTTCAAAACACTTTTGCAAGTATAAAAAATTTCTTAATAATTTATCAAGTAGATTTTTGTCAATCAAAAAGATGTTTTTTGAAAAAGTACCATAATTATGAATTTAATCCATTGAACCATACATATAAAAATCTTGGTCCCAGGATCGTACCTTAAGTGGATATTGTGTTGTGGTTTCTAGAATGTTAAATAGTTGCCTTGAGGTTTGGTTCAGTCCACAGTCAGGTTGTTTTGGAAAAAAAAAATGTATGTCCTCCTGCATCTACTTCGAACAGCCATAATCCATGGGTCAAACTTGAATATTTGAGTATGAGTGGAAGGGTATTAGTTCTAAAGTTTATGAGGGTGTGGACTATCTGCCATTGCATGCTTTGTAGCAATGTGAGGTTGAGTGACTTCTTGCAGGCTTTTGTTATTCCTGCAAGCAATAATAGAAATAACTTACACGTTCTATTATGAATTTCATACATTATATTTATGTAGCAAGTTTTGGTTATGAATTTTTCATATAGTTTTTAGAACTATTATATGTTGATATTTTGTACATTAGATTATATTTTTTTTTCCTTGAACTTCCTTATCGATTTCAATAAAGTAAAATTACTTTTAGCTTAGGAATGCATTTATCATTGTCAGTTCTTATTAATCCTTTATAAGAGATTGCAGTCTTAGGATAAAATACATGAATGCTTCTTTCTTATTTCATTCCATTTCATCTTAATTATCACATATAGTAAAACCTTCATATTTATATGTATGTTCACTTAAACTATTCAATATTTTGGCTGTTTTTAATTTTTTTTTTTTCTGTTTGTATAGGAGTGTAACCTGATGAAAGAAAATGACTCTGGTGAAAAAAGTCGTTCTGAAAGAGCTCTTAGAACTGGAGAAATGAGAGTATTAAAAAGAATGAGGGCAGAAGCTGAGGAAAAAGAAATGTCAAGAAAAAGAAAGATTCTCAGACCATGGGGTGGCACAGAAGAAGATTATGGATCTGACAAAAGAGATATAGATTTCAGAATAATGAATAATCAGTCTCAGTTAAATGTAAGTGTTCTATCTGATATTTTTTCTATTAAATGAATATTTTTAAAACAGGCATGAGTTTTAAACAGTGGTTAAATATCCCATCAGAGACAGTGTCTCTGAGTTTTTATTCATATAGTTATGTTAAAGATGGATTTACTCTATAGACAACTTTTGTAATAATACAGATTATTAATATGGCACTAACATTTTTCAAAGATTTCCTCTAAAAAGTTTCAGTAACTGTTGAAAATTAACTTTTTGCTTATAACATTTGATTTCCTGTACACCAATGCCTTGAAAATATTTCTATAATTTTTGTTTATAATTTTGCTATTAACATAGTTATTTACCTTAGTTAATAACATTGAATAAAATCATCAGTTATTATTGTATTAGTCAAGAAGTTAGTTTCATTATCTTCTCTTCCTACAGCCTCACGGAGTGTCGAAATAGCATTTTTTTAAAATATAGTTAGCAGTGTTAATGAAATTTTGCTTAATAAAATTTTAACTAGTGTAAAAAGTAAGCATGGAAATGTTGAAAACAAACATTTTATTAACAATATTACTGGTAACACTTTGACTTAAACTCAACTTAAGCAAGCCCAATTCCAGACCTTAAGAATTGAAAATCTTCGTAGTTCAGCCATTTAGAGGGCTTTGTATTTTTATTAAATTTAACTCAAAAGAAAGGTTGTATGTGGTTTTCACTGATTATATCTCTTATTGTAAAAGTTTTCTTGGTAAATTTATTATGACCCATTTACTCCATATTACATTAAACAATTTAAAAATAACACTATCATTCATATTTAAAATGAATTAAACATTTTGACCCTTGTTAGGGATGTGGCCAGAAGATTAGTTTAAGAAAGGTTTTTGTGAATTTTTTTAAAAATTTAGATGTAGTAAGGTATAAAGTTTATGGTATATTGACGTTATGCCCAATAATATAGACATCGAAAATAATTTTCAGCACTTTGAATAGATGTAAAAGTTTCAAGGCAAAAGGATTAGGAAGAAAATTGTTGGACTAGATAAAGTGTAAATCCTTTAATAGTTAATCTTTTTTTTTTTTTTTTTATTTGAAAATTAATACATTCTGCTGCATTGGAGGGCATTAATTAAACATTCACACAATATACACATACAAATGATAACTAAAATAGAGATAAAAGAAAAAGAGTTGTGGAAAGTAAATTAAGGAAATTAATATACATAGGTAAAAAAAAAAAAAAAAAAATACAGAGAAGCTAAATGAAATTGAAATATATCAAACACATTCACACCTACATACAATATTTACATTCGCCCAGAGGATTCCGAGTCATGCTTTGTCCCCCAAATGTGGAATCCAAGACAGGACTCCAGGAGATCCCAGTGCTTCACTCCCAGCCACGTCACTGGTATTACAAGCCAGTGGAGACTGATGGAGGGCACTAGAGCAACAGATGCTCAGGACTTGAGTGGAGAATCTGGCTATTGCCAGTACTCCAATATATACATATTTACAAAAAGTCGCGGGGCTTTAACCTCCGGGGGGGGGATTATAGAGATGGCTGGAGCTAGATAGGGATTGGGCTACAGGATTTGGATGATGAGTGAGTTTCTGGTGAAATTTGGAAAATTTGTCTGGGATTAGATCAATAACAAATGGGATATGAAGGTCATTAAGGAGGGTTTTATTAGTTTCATAGAAGGGAGCATCGATTATTGTTCGGAGGACTTTAGACTGAAAGGATTGAATGCGCTTAATGTTAGAAGGTTTTGTTGACCCCCACAGCTCTAGTCTGTAGGTCCAGATAGGTTTCAGGATTGTCTTGTAGATAAGTAGTTTGTTGTCGACTGAAAGTTGAGATTTTCTATTCATAAGTCTATACAGCTGTCCGAATCGTCTGTTTAGTTGTTGTATTTTAAGTCTGGTATGTAGGTTCACGTTAGTCGTTTATCTAGAAGAAAGCCAAGATACCGGACTGTGTCTGAGAGAGGAAGTGGTATGGATTCGAAGTAGACAGGACTTGTGCCGAAGGGTAAAAGTGATGTGTTTGGATTTGGATTCATTTACTTGGATGCGCCACTTATTACACCAATGTTCAATAAGAGAAAGGTGACTTTGTAGGTTTGAGGATGCTGTTTTAGGATCTGGATTTGAAGATAGGATAGCTGTGTCATCAGCGAATGTTGCCAGGAGGGTTTCGGGATGAGTAGGAATATCAGCGGTAAACAGAATGTAGAGGACGGGACCCAAGACGCTGCCTTGAGGAACTCCCTCCTCAATTGAATGGTTGTTGGAGAATTCTGCACCACAACGAACTCGAAAGGAGCGGTAAGAGAGGTAGGATCGGAGTATTAGATATAAGGACTGGGGTAGGTGGGTTTTGAGATTGAAGAGTACTCCGGTGTGTCATACGCGGTCGAAAGCTTGCTCAATGTCCAGGAATGCTCCCGAGCATTCCTTTACTCTTTGCTTTCTAAGGCTGAGGATGAGTGGTCAACAATTCGGAGTCCTTGTTGAACGGTGGAATGCTGGAAACGAAATCCGAATTGATGGGTAGGAAGGTTTTGTGATTCTATTATGGGTAGGATTCTTCTTAATAGGATTTTTTCAAATATTTTTGAAAGGATTGGGAGTAGGCTGATTAGTCTATAGGATGATGTGTTATTGGAAGGTTTGTCTGGTTTAAATAGTTTATCAGTGTTGAAGAGTTACGTTAATCTCATAGGAAAAGACAGAGGGTCAAATCTGATATTCTAGATTCAGGTTTTGCCTTAATTAATAATAATAATTATTATTATTTATTAATGGTAATATTAATGCTATTTATTTGTCATTTTTCTTACTTCAGGAGCTGATCGAAAGGTCCAAAGTTGGCAGTTATAGAGATTTGACTCTTCTTAAGGTTATTCTCTGCTCTGGCTTATACCCACAAGTTGCTATCCCAGACATATTTAATCAGGCAAAGGTCAGTAGTAAAAAGAAATTAGTATTTCTAAAGCGACATTAAACTGCTAATAGTGTATTTTTTTCTATATATTATTTTGTATATTTTATAGGGTGTAAGCGAACAACTGTTTCATACAAAAGAGAAAGGATACGTCTTTTTACATCCATTGTCATATTTCGGTCGACATTCAGATGCTTTACAGATATCAGAAGCAGATTTAGCTGGAGGAAGTATGAAGCAAGCTCTCACTTCTAAACATCAAGTTCTCTTTTACATGTTAGTATATTAATTTAAATAATATTGTGCTTGTTGTAACTTAAATTGGGTAGGAGGGAATTATGAGGAAAACAAACTTGGTTCAAATTCTGGCTTTGATATAAAGTTATTTTAAAGTAAATTAGTGGGCTTTGCCAAGGTAGAACTTGGTGTAAACTTGCTGAGCCCATGACACAAAAAAAAAAAAATAAATAAATAACCCGGATATAAATCAGGTAATTGTATTATTGTAGTGACTATACTGTGTCTCCAGATTATCAATAATATGATCCAAATGAAGCAGGTTTTTTTGGGAACGGTTTATTAACTTATGTTCTTACAATAATATCACTTATTAGAAAATTATTAATATTTAAAATATAGATTAAAATGTTTGATTTTAAAGGTCATTATTGGAAACTAATCGACCTTATTTAGTGAATTCTGTACGTATGCCTGCCGCTCAAACACTGCTACTGTTTTCTCATAAATTGCATACAAATGCAGATTTTTCAAGGTAAATGAAATTATTTCAATAATGATTCTGCTATGACTTATATTATTTTTTACCTTAAATCTTTTACTTATTATAATTATGTTTTAGGATTATTTGTGATTCTTGGATTGAATTAAACTTTCCAGAAGGCATGATATCTGAAAAGCTTTTATTGAAAGTAATCAAACTCCGTCTTCAGTGGGAAGAGTTACTACAGATACGTCTTCAAGGTATCTGTAATATTTGTATTTGTCTTATCGGTAGAAAAAAAATTAACAATTAATCTGATTGTTGCTTCATTGAACTTCCTTCCTAGTCATAAAATTTGTCAATAGGGGTCTTTACAAGGTCAATATTATCGAGTTTTTATCAATATATTGACGATCTGAGCGGTTTGTAACTTGGGATTTGTTGGGATTACTACAATTATAATGAATTTTGTGATATAAACTTCGTTCAATAATGCTTTCTGTTTAAGGACCTCAATATAAAATTTTTACTGCCTCAAGGTCACACATATTTTTTCCTTACTTCCGAGACTTTCCTAATTTAATTTTAAACAAATTAAACTTTATTGTTTAATTTGTTTTAAAGGTACTAGTTCACAACAGTTCCGCACGGATTACGCATGGTTCACAATCACTTCGATCACACTTGTTCCTGGAATCCCGAATGCGTTCGTGTTTCTCCGAAAGAGAACGAAGGCGACCGATCTCTTGGGCCAGTTACTATTAACTTTCCCGCCATTTAAGTACTTTAACCTTAACCACGTTCATTTATATAGCAGGAGCAGATTTACATTCGAAATTTAGGCTACACATCATGAAACCTGAATTGAGCTTGTACATATATTATAGATCTGTAAAAAAGAAATAGTAATACATAAACATCTTTAATTATTACATCTCTGGCTGCTATTTCACGATATTATTTTTCTTATAGATGACTTCCAATATTCATTATCTTGGAATTATTACATATTCTTCGTCAGTTGTTTCCCAAATACGTTAATTCCTTTCTCGAAAATAAATACTTTTTTTTTGTACCATAGCCTACAATAATCCCTTTTTTCGGATTACCAAGAAAAATAACTGCGAATAACAATAATTACACATCATAATTACAAATCAGACAGTATATGCATACAATGCGCCCCCCTCCACTAGAAAATAGCCCCTCGTATTATTAGAAATCTAAAAAAATACATAAATTAGATAGACGATTGCGCAATTCTAAAAAAGGCTTGCTAAAATAAATTATAAATTCAATTATTCCAACTTCTATTGAAAAACTCAAATAACAAAAAAAAAGATAATAGATAACTTAAAATTATTTATTATCCAAATGATAAAAAAATCTTTTATACACAGTTATAAAAGATAATATACAGTATATGCGTATTTACAGCCACTACATGTAAGCACGTGTCAATAAAAATGTTATTACTAAAAGCTTTTTTTTTAATATGGCTTGAAGAAACTACTCAAACATTATTTTATGTATTTTTTTCTTTTTCTTTCAAAGTAATAACCGTTATAATAAAAATTAATAATTAACTAATTAGTAAATACACAATTTTTTAATAAGGAAGTTCCATAAAGGGAATACGTTGTATTTTTTTCAAAAATGCATGAAAAGGGATTGTATTATGGGGCAATAGCTGACGTCATGAAAGACGACAACATTCGGCTGTTTTCGGGATTCCATGAACAAGTGTGATCGAAGTGATTGTGAACCACGCTTAATCCGTGCGGAACTCTTGTGAACTAGTACCATTTTAAATATGTTATCAACCCTTTCCAAGATATAGTTGAATAGTCATATTTCTTATCCACGATTATCTGGTGCTGCTATTAACATTTAAAAAAAAAAATAATGTTGGATTTCATTATTTAAAACTTACCTATTACTTACCTTATAAATATTTGTTTTGAATCAGTAATAATCATTGACTAAAAAATTGTAATACTTTTATTTTTAACTTAGAATTAGACGGCCAGAAGTTGGAACGTGAACTGTCAGAAGGGTTGCTGACACTGATGAGAAGTGAAGTAGCTTACAGGATGAAGAGATTGCTACCTGCCGATACTGCTACTTTATATCTTGGGCCTGGAGGATCTATAAGCTCTGGATCTAACCCTTTTGGCCCTGACCCTCTAAAGCCAGATCCAGAAGTGGGTGGAGTTTCTTTGAACTCATATCTCACATATGACTGGTATGTACATGTGTTATTTATTGTTATATAATTAATACATTTTATTTATTGAAGAGAAGAATAGTTGGGGTGGTCAGTCAAAAATAAATGATAATATTTATTTTTACATATGCCGACGTTTCGACCTGAAGTTCAGGCCATCATCAGGGCTAAGAAAAGAACCAGATAACAACTAAGATTCCCTTTACAATACTTATGTCACCTTTTTTGACTATGTTTACTTCATCATTCCACACTTTGTACCTGTTATTATTATTTGTCTCTTGTTCTTACTATTGTCATTATTCTAACAACTTCATTTTACTGCAATTTTTATGTTTCTCATATCTTGTTATCTGGTTCTTTTCTTAGCCCTGAACTTCAGGTCGAAACGTCGGCATATGTAAAAATAAATATTATCATTTATTTTTGCCTTCTTTTTTGACTGACCACCTCAACTATTCTTCTCTTCATTATCCACGACAGTCAACCATTCACCAATTATGTATCATTTTATTTATTATTTAGTCTCCTCCTCTTCTACTGCACAGCAGTGTGAGGATCCCTTCGGTAGAGCTTGGTCCAAGAATATCTATCTTTGATCTCCCTTCCTTGTCTTCTTCTCCATTCCAGTCCTCTTCTGTCAAAGACATCCTGGATTGCGCCTTCCCATGTCTTTCTCAGTCTTCCTCTTGCCCTCTGCCCTTCCACCTTTGTTTCATGACCACTTTCGCCAGCCTGTCCTGTTCCATTCTAACAATATGGCCGAACCATCTCAGCTGGTGTTCCCCAATGATATCCTCATTTCCAGGTTTGACGTCATTGTCTTATTTCAGACTCTGTCTCTTCTTGTCTTTCCTTCCATTCTTCTTAAATACTGCATCTCCATAGTTTGAACTTGGCTTTTGTGTTTTGTGGTGAGAGTCTAATATTTACTTGAATAGGTGAGGATTGGTAAGAAAATGTTAATGTAAATTACTATCTTTGTGTTCTTTGACACTTCTTTTTACCCTATAAACCCTTTCTTAAGAGAATTGAAACACCCGGATTATCTTCTTTTGGATTAAAAAAAATACCCTAAACTGATAAAACCTAACTAGATATGTTTTACTTCCATACAATCACTGTAAATACTTAGGCTGGATATTGATTTTGGTTTTTCTGCTTACTTAAATTTTATAACAGCAAAAATTCTCAACCATTTTATATTAAATAAGACATCAGGTAATTCCATCATTAACCGTCAACTTCAGGAATAAACTTTTTTGCGCCTCTATGGTAGTATGCATTTGTTAACATTTTCATACAAAAAAAGTCCAGATATACTGGGTTTTTGCTCTAATGGATAACAGTTTCGAATGGCTGAGAAATTAATCTTTCTTCCATTAATTACCGCACAGGAGATGTCTGCTGTTACATGCTAATTGAAACAGATATATTGTCCACTGACAAAGTGAACTTACCTGGTTCTTACATCAAGACCCTCAATTCTCCTAATAGAATAATTTCTTTTCATATCTAATCAATAATGCTAATATTGATGAAATTGAATATTGTTTGCTTTATTTTTCATACCCTTCGTGAAAGCTTAATTTATCTTCACTCATCCTAACATTATCTATATATTGATTGATATTTACATTGTGTTTCAGTTTGGTTGATGATGTCGCCTATAAGATGTGGTCGTGTCCTCATTGTGACTTGTCTGCTCCCATCTCTCCTCTTGAAAGGCAACGTCATTTGTCTGAACTCCATTCAGAGAAAGCTCCAGGTATATATATATTTTTTTTATATATATATATATATATATATATATATATATAATGTTTACTTTTATTGTGTTTCTATAAGTTATTAATCTTCAGAAACTTCAATATTTTATTGTTCCTTTCTCATATGTTAATTATACAAATCTGATGATCCAGTGTTAAAATTCAATCTCAAAAATGTTTTTGGATTCATGAAATATTTGTCATAGTCTTCCACAGGTTTATAACACTTGGAGAAAAGGGAAATCATTCTATTTATTAAAACTTTGGTGTGCGTAACACTCAACTTTCACTTAACACTTAACTTTGGATAGAAATTGTTTTCTGGCAATGCTGGGCTGTTATAAATTTTTTTAAGTTCATTTTAAACAGAGCTAAAGCTTAAAGATAGCTAATCATTAAGACCATTAAAATAACAGAAACTATATTTATTATAATCGACGGTAGACAAAAAAATCTAGTTACTTTTTTTTTTATAAACCGCATAACAAATCATCTGAGCTATGTATGCCTTTCAGTTGACAGAACTCCAATTTAAACATTTTTGAGAAATGTCATTTTAGTGATATTTCTAGTTGGAAAAGTTATATCTATACAGACAGTGAGTAAGTAGATTCCAGAGTGGGTGATAGCAGTGTTGAAATATAGAACTGTGAATAAATTTTCCCACTATTAACATCACTAAAATTAATAATTAAGAATATTGAAATCGGAGTTGGCCATTCTGTCAACCGAAAGGCTCAAATATGTCAAGAGAGATTTGAAAGTACATCTGAATATTTAACCTATAAATGATTATCGATTGTAGGACTATTACTTATTAAACTGTTATTTTCTGTTGTAAAGTTTACTAAAATGAAATTATGAGATTTTCATTGCCTACCATGCATGTTAGGTCAAAAGTTGTCACACTAATTGTAAGTTGACAATGTTGGGATTTATCAAATTTTTCACTAATTTAATTTTCTAAAAGGTTACTTGATGATTTTTTGGAATAAATGACCAATGGATACTTAATTATTTAAATATAACATTGTATCTAGAGTTATTAAACAACAGCAAAAGTATTTAAAGTTATAAACATATTCATGCAATATTTTTATATTTCACACAAGTACGATCAAACAGTATTTCAAACAATGGAATTGGCTTGATTCAGTGGATTTTAAATACTTTTTTTTCCAGACTTACAAAAAAATTTAAAAGTTTACATTTAGTAAAAAAAAATTCATTTAAATTCCTTGGAAACATGTGATTTACGTTAGTTTCTTAAATTATTATTTGTATTTTTTTCGTCACTCTCCGCTACCTTCTGCAACTTTACTTATTTGATATTTTTTCGAAAATTCTCAGATTTCCAACAATATATGATACCTATACCTTCTGACTGTTATTTCCGGAGATTCATTTTCAACCTGGATAAGCATTTTTCTTTTTCTTCTCCTTTCCAATTATCATATTCTTTCACACTTCATATTTAGCCATTTTTTATAGTTAATGTCAATTAAAGAGAGTTAATTTTTTTAAATATTTTCTTGCGTTATTAGAAACAAGAACCACACGAGGTTTCGAAACGGTGAACATTTTTAAAATATTGAAGAGAAAGACATAAGAAGAATTATAATGAAAACTCATGAGCAGCTTACTAAACGAAAGGTGTTGGTTGAGACAAGTTATTGCTGCTAGGTGATCCATAACGGTATCTCAACGCGTTAATAAATTTTGATGGATGGCCAAAACCCGAAGAGAGTAGGGAAAGATTGAAATTCACAAAAAAAAAAAAAATATTAGAGGAAGAAGTACAATAAAATCACTGTTCAAATTTACTGAGTTGATGAATGATACTGCATTCTCAACAGTCTAATTGATAATATTTTTAAAAAAAATCATATTAAAGGTACTTTAGAGGAAGATGTATATGAACATTGGGTATTTAAGCCCTGTAAAGTGGCATCAATGGAAATAAGACCTGATTGATATTAAAGACCACTTAATTATACAATGACACACCGAGTTTAATCAAAATCGGTAGAGCCGTTTTTGAGAAAATTGTAAAAATGTATTTCACTGTTGATATAAAGTGGCACTTCTGGTTTGCCGATTTTAAGGCAAAAGTTGCTGTCACATCTAAAGCATATATATATATATATCTTAAATATGTAATATCAGTTTCGTTCGACTTTTCGTTTTTGAGCTAGACTGTTCACATACACACAGACTATTTTGTGGGACTTGGTTATTTGGATTCAGGGAACCTTAAAACGTGTATTTCTGTTGAAAAATCAGATTCAAAAATTTTCACAATCGAAATACTTTCCCTTACCATATATTACACATATAGGTAAGTGAATGTAAAAAAGGTTAATTTGAATTACTTATGTATTTCTGCCAAAAATAAAAACTATGAAATATGGTTTTCTTAATTTCCATATTGTATGCGTTTAAAGGGTCAATATTTTTCTTTGTGGCCAAATTTGGCTGTCTGTGCTCGTCAGAGGGATCTTGTTGCAAAATGGGCTTAATTTCTGGACCAGAATATTTTATAATTGTGTATAAGGAGAGGTTTCACTGTAAAAACAAGTTTGATTGGTTCCTATTTCATTATACACGCTTATTACATTCACTTCAAGGTTTTGCAAAGGCTGTCCTAACGATAAACAATATGTTTAAAAATACTTTGAGTCATACTATTTTTGCATTGTTCCTCTTAAATAAAAAAAGTTATTTTAAATAAATTTCTAGAAACACAAATCTTTTTTATATATAAAATATTATTAATTACTCTTTTTATATATATAAATATAACACATATATGAATATGTGCTTTCTTCTTTGTTTAGATGTAGAAGAGCAAATAGATGTATCTCCAAGGAAAAGTAATAGTATAAAATACGACTGTCCTGAATGTAAAAAAAGTCTATTCTTAACGCCTACAGAAATTCTAAAACACAAAAAGTCTCATCTTTCATTATAAATAATGAACTACGTAGTTTTCTCCATTCAAAATAAAGTCAAATGTACATTTATGTAATGATTCAATAAAGAATATTTTTATATTGATGTATATAAGCTTATTATTTTCTTTTAATTATTAAGAACTAATTGTTTTTATTTGTTAAAAATAAAATTTATCACTCAGAATCTATTAAATTTTAGATTTAAGGTTCCTTATAAATTAATATTGTTTACAAACCTGGATGTTCTATGTTAAAAACAACATCGATACTTTGTTACAAACTTATCTCTGGTGAATCCCATCAAAACCCCTATCTTCAGTCTCCTATCTCCCTCCCCTCCCCCTTGTCATCCCCAGTTTTTATCTTACTTGAAAAGTCACAAAGCTTTAACAGATTTTACATTTAAACATGGAGTGGAGAACTAAAGCTTTGATCATTTTTACTCTCAATTTTTGTTATGATTTAAGTGATAAAGAAACATTAATTAAGACTCTTATAAAAAAAAAAATTGTCTTTCTTTTACATAAATGTATACGGTATTTCGAAGGTAAAATAACTAAAAGAAAGAATGTTTCTTGACTGCAAGTTGAGCTATATGTGTGGATCATATGAATAGTTTTTATATATTAATTACAATAATATATTAATTTTTGTCTTGTGGTTTTAATTAATACGAAGATGTGAGTGACTGATTAATGGGATTTTCTGAATTCCTCTCTATTAGGTCTGATGAACTCAATGATCTAGCCAAGAGAGCTGTCGTCCAGACATGCTGAAGAATAAAATGACTTGAAAACCTTCCTCACATATCATAGTTTAACAAATACCCCAAAAAGTAATATATTTATCAGATAGACACTCATTATAAAGCATGGGTACTAACAAAGTTGAGGAATAGCAATAAATAACTAAAAAATATAACACTGCTAATTTGAATGCTGTCTGAATAGAAAAATGTATGAACGCTACATGTGAGGAGCAAGCTAGAATTGTATAAAATCTAGAACTTAAAGGAAATATAAAAGATAAAATTTAATTGTTTGTTAGGATGTATGCATACGTTTTTATAATGAATATTTTCTTTATGATCAGTTCTAAATGGTAATAAAATGAAAACCACAAATTTCTGAACGCAAAATAAATAAATAAATAAAAATAACAGAATAAGACAATGATTATTAACAGATAAATTATAAATAACCAATAACAGTTAATTTACAAAACATTTGAAAATGACTATATATTTACAAGCATCAATTTAATTAATCTAATTCAGGTCCACTTATAATAACATTGATTGGGAAGTTTCATAACTAAGTACTTTCATTCAATATGAATGACATTCATACAAAGCTTTTTTCTCCAGTTTTTTTTTTTATTCACCAGTTTTTCATTCTTGTAGTTTAACCAGTAATAATGTTTCCGTAATTTGAACCAAGACCTGTAGTCATACTTGGTACAGTTCTTTACAAAGACAAATTGTTCTTCAACTTGTCATCAATGAGAAATGCTTTCAGCTCTAAACCTAATGTCACACTGTGACCCGTTTTGAATCTCCAGTAATCCAATCCAGAACCTGAATTAAAAAAATATATATTCCTTTTTATATTATATGCAAAAAATCTGATATTCACTAAAAGCCTTCTTAGAAAGAAATGTAAAGTTTCAACTTCTATAAATGTTTTGATATATATTATACATCTGAATTTATCATATTTTATTAGTTCATAAAATATGTATAATTATGGAAGAATTACATTTCTTTCGACATATATTATAGATAAATTAATGAAAAGTTCTTATGTTAATTAAACTGGCTAGCAATATTTTTATCATTTATCATAAATATTTGTTTAGAACATAAATATATTTCAAAAATAACCACCACTTTTCTTATCGTTATTATATTGAAATGTTTTCTTATGCTTACCTATTTTTGTTTTTAGCACTTATTAGAAAAACAGAAACAAATTTTCTAAATAAATGGTATGAACATTTAGTTTCTTATGAAACATTTAGTTTGGTATGAAATTAATTTCTGCATTTTAAGTTTAAAGCGAAAAATTTTTTATAAGTTCAAATCATTTAAGCTGTATTAATTTTCAATACATCTGCGATGTTTTGGTTTATTCAATTGTTATACCATTCTCAGGCATCTCTAAAAAGACTTAATAAAAATCAACTACTACATTTTTAAGTCTATAATTGATTTAGTACTGTATAGGGAACTAACAAGTAAGCTTTTGGATTAATATATTTTTAATTATAAGCACAATGTAGGTTAAACTTCAAAATGTCAATATTTATTTTTATAATCTCTTTTAACTAAAGTTGAAAGACAAGTGCATAGGAACATGAAAAATAGCTTAAGAATTTTAAGTTGGAAAAATTTCCAAAACTTTGAAAATCTGTATCTCAAAAATGATTAAACTTACCGTATCTGTTTTGGTCTTAAATTGTAGTATATTTAATCTAGTTTAAAACTGTATAGAATGTTTTTTGTCTAAAACATGCTCCTTCATGGTCACACTGGGGAAAAACTGAAAAAAGTGCGAAAATATGGCAGTTTTGGGGGATACAAAACTAGCACCGAAAATGACCATATTCTGATTAGTCAGATACAAAGGTCCATCCTCATGGCAGTGAGAACATTCAGAGGAGCGAATGTTGACAGCGATCACTACCTAGTCGTATCACAAATTTGAGCCAGAATAAGTAACGCTTATAAAACGAAAGAGGCTTGAATGGAAAAGATTGATACTCGGAAACCGGAGTGTAAGGAAGAATTCACCCAGAGACTTGATAAGGCTTTAGAAGGGGGCCCTTACGAAGACACGGTGAATGGAAGATGAAACCACTGCAAATTTGCTAGCAAGCAAACTGCTGCAGAAAAGGTTTTGGTTATGAACGAAGCCAACCAAAAATCTAAATGGATTGACTCGGAGTGCCAGGCAGCAACAAACAGGAAAAACGAAGCTTGTAGGAGAATGATAGGGAGACACAGATCTCGCCAAGCAGTTAAGGAATATAGGAAGGTGAGAAGAGAAATGCATTCATAGAAGGAAAAAATAAAGAAAATCGAACAACAAAGGAGTCAAGCAGATGTAAGAGGGTTCTACAAGAGTCTGAATACCCAGCGTAAAGGATTTAAGCCAATGCTTACGGCGGAGAGGATGGATCATTAATTACAAGCAAAGATGCCATTCTTGGCAGATGGGACACCCACTTTAGAAGTATTTTGGGAACTCCAAAGTGAATAGTATAATTCCTGTTCTATGTAATGGCTTCGAGTTAAATGATCCACCAGATGAGGAAATTTATGAATCTATCCAAAAGCTTAAAAACAACAGAGCCTCAGAATCTGATAACATAGTCATGTAACTTCTGAAGGCTGGAGGTAACGAACTAATCAAAGTTATCCGTTACCTTCTTCATAATATTTGGATAATTAAGACCATGCCTCAGGAATGGTACACCGGCATAATCATCTCTCTCCATATAAAAGGTAAATCAAGCCAACTGCAATAATTACCATGGCATAACTCTACTTAATTGCACATATTAGGTGTTATCTGACATCATCTATCAGAGGCTACTTTCGCACGCAGAAAGAGAGAGGTGGGAATCTAACAATGTGGTTTCATGAGGGGATCTACCACTGATCAAATTTTTGCCTTAAGGACCCTGCTTGAAAGAACAAGGTAATATAATATCATCAAACAACACCTTTTCATAGATTTTAGCAATGCATATGACAGTGTAATCAGAGAGAAGTTGTAGCAGGCTATGGAAACAATGAATATTCCTCTTGAATTGATCCATCTTATAGAGCTGCTGATGATAGAATCAAGGTGTCAAGTCAGAATACAGGGAGACCTATCAGAGGCATTCACGACCATTAGGGGCCTAAGTCAAGGAGATGGCTTATCTCTTTAATCTTGCACTAGAAAAGGTTATAGGAGACCCCGAAATGCAAAGAAATGGGACAATTCTCATCAAGTCAGTACAAATTTTAGCATACGCAGATGACATAAATATTATAGCTAAATCAGAGGGATTTAGAAAGGACCTTCTAAGCTATAGCGGCAGCAGGACAGGTAATGGGTCGAAGTATACACACCTCCACCTACATTTGGAGGATACACATTTGAAAGCATAAATAATTTTGTGTATCAAGGGTCCTTAGTTTGTGCAGAAAATATGCATAGCCAAGAAGTACAGAGAAGAATTATGTCAACTAATTGGCCTAGCTAAAATTATAAGTCATTTGCTGGATAGATCCATTAATATTGCTCTGTACAAATCTCTTATTAGACCTGTACTGACATATGGCTCAGAGACATGGCCATTATCACAGACACCATCAGGTTGTAGGTTTTCGAGAAAAAAATCTTGAGAAGGATTTTTGGTCCTGTAAAAGTTGATAATCAGCATAGGCTAAGACATAATGTAGAGTTGTATCAAATTTACTGGGAACCGGATGTGGTGCAATTTATACGGCTCTCTAGGCTAAGATGGGCTGGGCACGTCGCAAGGATGGATGCGGATTCACCAATCAAACAGCTAATGTTTGGATATGTGGATGGTAGAAGAAAGAGAGGATGGCCACGACTGAGATGGGCAGATGAGGTCGAAGCCGACGCAGAGAAGCTTCTTGACAATAGAGCTTGGCAAATGCTTGCACAAGACATAGAGCAATGGAGGCGATGTATCGATGTGGTGAAGACCCGTTCTGGGTTGTAGTGCCTGTGATGATCTGCCAGGTGTTGTGAGGCTCTCCTAGGGCACACCCAATCTCTATAAAGTGGGCACTCTTAATTAAATAATTAATTAAGAGGGGAAACCTGACAGTCAGGCGTGATCTTGGACAGAGCTTCTCCCAGCACAATCATTGTCCTTGAAATAGTACTTCCAAAGTACTGCACCCAAGACCCTTCATGGGTTGTAGTGGGTATAGATATAATAAAATAAAATAAAAATAAATAAAAAAAAATAAAAAAAACTGCTAGTTTTCAATTAGTCTTAATTTTTTTTCTAACAATACTTTTAATCAGGGAAATCTTTTTTTACTACCGATTATGATTAGGTTTTTTAAATTTTATCTAAAAGTAAACAAAATATAAATAAATTACCTGCTAATATTAATCGTATAATTCTAACATATCGACAGATGTCATTTTAGCATCAATTTAGACTGACCAGGTAACAAAGAAGAGTAAAGAGATAGAAAGAAAGGATTGAGGTGTTTAGGAGTTGAAGAGTAATATGAATGTAAGATTTTGCTATTGAAATTTTGTCGTATACGTGCGATTTTAAATACACCAAGATCCTTTTACAATTTTTGGAAGAATTATGGATTGTGTGGTTTGGATGAAAATGTTTTGCTAAACACTAAAGTTCTGCTCCTTATACCCAACATGTTACAGTTGATATCATTGTAATTTTTTTTATTTTAAAAGTATGTTTCATGAAAGCCGTTAGTCCATTAATAGAATAAGATATCATACATACATTTTTTAAGGAACTGGGTTGTCAATTGTTACATCTGGACTTAATGTCATGTTTACATTAGAGTAAAGATGGTGTGGTTTGATTTGGTATCGCTTATTTTAATACTTAGTTTGTAACCACTTTGTGTATACAACTAATGCACCATTTTATGAAATGCTGGAGTAAGGTGGTAAGTAATAATTTAGAGACCAATGAGTAATATTGATTTGGCTGATTAAACCATACAACTACTAGTAAAATGTATGAAAGAAAGTGAAATATTCATCTGTTAATGTGTTTGTTATTTATTTATTCAATAAATAATTATTTTCTTAGGAATCCATTCCACTACTTACACCTCTGATTCCTGGTAGTCTTAGTATAGTACCAAGGATTGGTATCCTTCTTAAAAAATCAACAGCCACTGGGAAAAATCCACTATAAACAAAAAAATCAATAGTTAGGGAACATCAATAACCATTAGTTTCTTAAAAGTAATAACACATCCAACACAATCACTGAGAATAATATGCATGAAACTGAACAATATACATTAGCTATTGATCTCATGGTTTCATGTTAAATTTATTTGAGAGACAATTATGTTGTTAAAGAAAACTAAAGTATTAAATCATAATGCCTAAAAACAGACTATTACAAAAATGTCGTGATTTTGATTATTAATCCCATCAATGAATGAAACCCAGAATTAAATCTAATTAAGTGGGGTCTGGTGTATCATTTATAATACATTTCTTAGGAAAAATTAGTTGGAGGGAGAGGTGTTAAATGAGATAACATAGAAATGATTGGTTGTTTTAGGGTGTGTTGATGTTTCGTCCTGAATGAACATAAGGTAGCCACATTATCTATTTTGTAATTTTGTTATATTCTTGTAAAACAATATGCACATCATATAAATATTCATGCAAATCCAGTTCTTTTTCTAAATTTCAAAGCATGCAGGAGCTTACAGTGGATTTTTTTATTAAACTGAACATTATCAATAACTCACCTAAACAGTAGAACAAATCCATAGGTCTCTATTATCATTCCAGTCACTGGCCATCCAAGTAGTACAACTCCTATACCCCCAAGAAATGCCATAGTCGCCTTAAATTTATGTCTTTGAAAGAAGAATCTGAAAGTTCTTTCCAGGCCTATTACACATGCAAGACCACAGATGAACAGAATCTAAATAAGCAAATAACATTTTTAAGAAACAGTAATTATGGTTTCATAAGAAACATAATCAAATTAATTTAAAGACCCACATTTCCTATTGCAAGTAAACCCTTATCAAATAATAGCAGCACACCCAAGAAAAGGAAACAAATTCCAAAGGCTGCTAGGCCTACACCTATTTCTGTAAAAACAAGAATATAAAATGGTAGGAATGACAGAAATTAAGTCGAATTAAAAATGCTAATTGACGTAGATAACTCCATATATTACTTTGTGTATCAGATATTTCAAACATTTCAGAAACAGCATAAACTACTGTTTACTTGAATCAAATTGAGGAAACCTGTCAGTAGGTAACCGTTGAGGATTGATACTGCCACTTTATTAACATTCCATGAAACGATAGCATCCAACCTGGAGGATTAAAGATTTATTTAAGAATTGCTTGTTAATAAAACATGATGAAAATAATGCTACATCATTAATAGTGACGTGTACAGAAGTAAACTTGACAGCAACTAGTTAACTACAATTAGGCTCCCTATACATCGATTATCTTGAACATTATTGTATCGATAACATTTAAAAATTTAATTTAATTTATTATCAATCAATAGCATATTAGAATACCCAAAAGTGTGCGAAATAATACTATTTGTAAATATCGAGTGACCCCTGCGATAATCTTGGTATGCCTTGTTTAATAATTTGTGTTTATCTATTTTCTTATCTCGTTGTAACCATCACTTAAATCGGTATATAATAATCGTTGTGTATAAAAGATAAACCTCATGGCATATAAAACTATCAGGTTCGTTCTCTCAGAGGAAAAGTGGTGGGGAGGAATCGAGGCCTGACGTAACCACTAGACCGATAATACCCCTCCGATCCTTGTTTCTGGACGTTTTAAGATTATTATTTACATTTTTACATGAAATCAATACTTTAAGATATACTAGATTATTGATTTATTAATATTATTAAATTTAAAGAGTGAGAGAAAGGTTCATTTGCCTTTACTAGAAGTTGATGTATGGTCTTTTTTTTTCAGAAATGCAAAACCACTTTTTTTTTTTTAAATTTTTGGAATAAATATAAAACATATTGTGAAATGATAGAACTATTTTTTTTTTAACTGTTTATCCGCACCTGTCATCGTATTGACAATCAGCAGATGTGTTGGCATTATAAGCATGAGGAAGGATGGTACCCAGCAGTACCTCTTCCTGGTCATTACTTTGATTTATGCGAGGAGATCTCTCATCCAGCTCCTTTTTAGTCTCCTCCTGATGAGCATGTCAGTCGTTGCCATGTCGTTTATAAGTCTGTTTGTGTGTCCATGTAGTTTGATATGAAAACGAGAGTAGAGAGTACGTATGTGTTGGTCGATAGTTATTTGTCGTAAGTCATTATATAAAATTTTGTTGTTGACGTACCAGGGAGCTCCTGTTATAAATCGTAAAATTTTGGATTGAAATGACTGTAGTTTTTGTAAGTGCGTCTTTTTTGTCGAACCATAAATCTGAGAGGCGTATGTCCAGATGGGTTTGAGTCGGTAAGTGTATGTATTTAGTTTTTGTCGAACATTCAATTTTGATTTAGAAAAAAGTGAGTACATTATTTTCAGTCGCTTGTTTAAGGTCTGTCATTTCATTTTGACGTGTGGACCCCAGGTCATCCTTCTGTCGAATATTAGTCCCAGGTAACGTACTGTGTTTGTCTGAGGAATTTGGTTCTCTCCTATATAAAATGATTGATCCTCGAAGTACTCCTGCTAACACTGGTCGAATTGAGGAAATTTCCAGGCCTTGTCGGACAGAGAAAACTCTGTCGAAAAGGAAAGATTGGAGAATTAGATAATAAGTATGAGGTAATAGTGTTTTGAGTTTAAAGAGAAATCCCTGGTACCAGACTTTATCGAATGCCTGGGCAACATCCAGAAACACGGTTGCGTATTGTTTTTGCTCTAGTGCACCAGCAATGTAGTCAGTAACCCTGTGTAATTGTTGCGTTGTTGAATGGAACGTACGAAAACCGAACTGATGGTCAGGAATTATATTTTGCTCCGGCAGTATGTCAACCAATCTTTTGTAAATTAATTTTTCGAAAAAGTTTTGAACATACTGGGAGATTGAAAATGTCTTTGTCCTTTATGTGTGTCATTTTGATGTGTGAATATTTCCATTGTAGTGGGAATTTAGTTGTCCTCAGGATACAGTTGTATATTGTTGTAAGGAACACTAGTGCTTTCCTGTGCATTTGCTGGAGACTCTCGGCAGTTATTAAGTCATAACCTGGGGCTTTTCTTTTGGGAAGATGTTTAATTTGCTGTGCAACTTGTGAAGGAGTAAACGAGAGAGGTGGTAGTGTCAACGGTAGTGGTATATCTAAAGTGTTTAGTACAATAGTTTCATGTTCTGTGTTCGTGAAGTCAGTAAATGGTGTAAATACAGATGATAGATGGTCGGCAAATAGTTCAGATTTTTCCCTATCCTACAAAGCCCATGAACCATCCTCTTTTCGCGGGGGTATTGATACCTCTCGATGTTTTAACAAATTCTTGGTATGCTTCCATAAACTTCCATCGTCAGTTGATAGGCTGTTCAAGTAGGCAATAGACAAAAATTCAATGCGACAAACTATGATAGTTTGTCGCATTGAATTTTTGTATTAGTCGTTTAAGTTCGTTGTTCAGTCTGTTAAATGTTCGTTTATCGGAAGGAAGTCTGTTAGTCTGCCATACCTTGCGGGCTCTTCTCTTTGCCGTGATCAAGTCCCTTATATACGGAGGATATCTGGACAAATGTTCTGGCCATGATGGCATTGGAAGTGCTGAAGTCCAAGCAGCTTTTTGAACATTTTTTGTAAACTATTTAAAAAAAAAGTATTTAATCCAAAATTAAAGAAGCGCATTTTCTATCTACTAATGTTTGTAAATTTGACATTTTTATGTCATAAGTAATTCTAATATTAACCCCTCCCTGAAAAAAAAAAAATAAAGTATCACCCATCTACCCAAACATATTGTCATTTTATCTTTTAAAAAATTCGGAGGGAGTTAAACTCCACTTTCCCTCAAAAAAGAATGAAATTATAATAAAGTATCACCCACTTACCCAAACATATTACCATTTTATCTTTTAAAAAAATCGAAGGAGGTTAAACCTCCCTTCCTTCCCCTCCCCTCCCAAAAAAAAATAATAAAAGTAAAACAAAGTATCACCTATCTACCCAAATGTGTTGCCATTTTAACTTTTTTTTTTAAAAATCTGGGAGGAGGGGTTAACCCCTCCCTCCTTCAAAAAAATATATTTTAAAACAAAGTATCATTCCCCTACTCACACATATTGCCAGAAGGGGCACCAGAAATTTGGTATCGCCCAGTGATTTTCAAGTTCCGCATATATGGTTTAATATTGCTCAATATAGCAATATTACACCTGCAATTATATTGATACTGTTTCAATAATATTGAAGGAGCTTCAATAAAAAAAAAATTTAACCGGGTAAGGAGCCATTTAGGTTTTCTTTATTGGTGAATATAAAATATTTGTAATATGTAATATAATATTATAGGGACGAAAAAATTATCAGGATTCACAGTACAAATTTGTTTATTTTTAAATTTTTTATTTAAAGATATTTTGACTTCGAATTTTGACAATTATTTTCATCCTTATAATATTATTATAATATCGTTATATCATTAAAAGAAATAATCACGATTTTCACAAACAAATTTAATAAAAATTGTGCTACAATGTTGCTTTGTTTCTCTAAATAAGTATAGATCTTCATTTTTTTCTGTTTATGTAATATATTTGTGAATTTTTTTACAGTATATGACTTTGAAATAAAGAATTTAAAAATTATGTTAATATTAATTTCGTTGTTTTCGTTCCTAGTCTGTAGTTTTCATAGAATTTATTCTAGATTGCTAGTCGTATTTATTTATTTATCAACTTGAAATTATCTTCAATCAAAGTCAAAAAAGAAGAGAAAAGTATTGTCTTCAATAAATTAAATACTAAAACCCCCCCAAAAAAGCGCAATGTTGAAATAAACCTTCATTGATAGGCTTGAAAAAGTAATAGGTACGTCTGGTGGTCTAGACCTTACGTCACGTTTCAAGGTAAACGGTATGTCAAGGAGGTTTCCAATTAATTAGGGAGGAGTTTACCAAAGCCACTTTGTTAGATCACTCGCGCAAAGTAGTTTGCCATACAAAATACAATTTGCCATGTTAACTTACAACTTCCCTCAGCAATTGACTACGAAGCTACCTGTTTTTTCAAATGATTTGTATATGGCATAAGTGGAGAACCTTTTTATCATAAAAAGTCGCAGTAAGATTGGGTAGTGCTCATGGAGGCCGCAACAATTCTTTATATCTTACTGTTGCTGTTTTTATTTATCATTAAATACATACACCTATACACGTAGATTCAACTTGATTCTATTAATTTTCAAATTTTTGTTACTTAAATAATTAAATATTAATTAATTCTAGCGCTAGATTAATAAATATGGCGTAAAAACATTTGAAGATTCCCCACATAAAGCCCACCTTACACGGTCAATATCGAATATATTGACCGTCTGAGGGATATATTGTAACAATTATATTGAAATTTGTACTATGTATACAACGTTCAAGAATATTGCTTCAATATTATTGACTCAACAATATTGACAGTGTAAGGTGGGCTTAAGGTGTAAGAGTTGAAAGCTGCAAAGATATGCATATTTATGGAGCACTTCAGCCTTGGCTTCAATAACAGGGAGGGCAGCTGAGTGAGCAGACGAAGAAAGTCACACTTGAAGACTTAAAAGGTGTAGAAGATACGATAAAAAGTGAAAATCTCAATCTATGACAGTATAAAGTTATAGTTTTCATGGGTGGCATATCCTTATGTTGCCGACACCTGTGTTGCCGAAAGGTATGGTAGAGAGGAAATAAAAAAAATAATTTTCTCTAAAACTTGATCTCTGAAAAATATTTTTATAAAAGTTTTTATTACAAATCTTTTAATTCAAATAGATTCTTAACCAATCGTCCGGCGCTGAGAGCTGGGTCCAACTAACTATACTGGCATAAAAGTGGACTAACAGCATGAAAATGAGATACCTACAGGGCAGTAGCTGGTCGAGCTAGAAGAGAAGATGTCAAGGTGCCTCCTATGTTGAAAACCGTATAAAAGAAAATGGTTCAGTCCTGTTATGAGTTCATATCTGATGCAATGCCAACAGAAAGAAGGTCAAGACGACTCCGAAAAACACGAATGAATTAAATAACTAAGATAGGAGAGGAAAAAGGCAAAACAGTTCTCTTCTATGAAGATGCTGAAGAAGGATCGCGTTGGCTGGCATAAATGGCGGAGACCCTCCTACGCCTATAGACACTAAGGAGGAAGAAAAAGAAGAAATAAAAGTATTGATTGTTCACAATTCATTTATATAATGACGGTTTCCTATATTGAGGAATTATGGAACGTACTTTCTAAGTGCAGAGACATTTGGAAAGTCACCCACCACCGGTTTCATTTTTCCAGTGTACTCTCTCGAAGGGTCATCTTCCATCTTTTGAGGTCTTCACTGATCCTCTCTCTATATTCACTTGAGAATCCACCTAGTTATCCTTCTTAATGTTGTACCGGAAGAGGTTTTTCTGCAGGATGATGTCGAGAGGAATAGCTTCTCCTAATAATTGCGCACTACCTCATGAGACACCGTCTTGGTGTGACCTGGTTACTCGAAACAGAGCTATTCGCTGGGTCGTCATCAAGCTGCTCTTTTGTCAATACGAAAGACTCCAGTTCCAGGCAGGGATACCACCAACAATCCCTTTACAAAAGGCCATAGTTGCTGGATATCTAAGGCTCCTCGAATACGACCAAGATCATTGTGGACTAAGGTCACACTACTTCTTTAGGATCCAATCACTAAAGCGGATTGAAAGCTGTGACATCTATCCAACTATCTCCTTCCTCCTGACTCACGCAATCAAATCATCCAGTTTGGCATTTTATTCGTTTGACTGGATTCCTGGACCGTGTTCCAAGGAGTTTGTATCTCAGCATATGATTACGTTTCTAGTGGGAGTTGTAATCATTTCCATGATTATGCCTTCCTTAATATCGCTTCCATCAAGTAGTAATGATCAGACCAGAGTGAAACGTATACTTCCCCACTGATGTGACATGCAACACAATCCACCATGATATACTGACTTAGACCCATCACTTTAGCAGCCCTGAGCCTCCTCTTTCCACTATAAGGTTACATCCCTGGATGTGTAGCCCAACCTTGTGACCATGTTAACATGGAATCTAGATTCCTGAACCCCATCATTGATCTTCCAAGATGAGACTACACAACGGAATGTTTAGATTCAGAACATTTATTCTACTCATAGTAGGCCTTTTTCACTTTCTGATGAAGCAATTTCTAGCCAGAGTATAGTTGTGGAAGATTTTCAAGGGCAGGTGGTATGGGACCAGACATATTATATATCACAGAAATTTAAGGATCATTGGAAAACCAATAAGGACATTTCGATACAAGTAATACATAAAACCAGTTGAACATAGTATCATGGCTATTCCACACTACCTGGGTACTTAGTAAAACTGACAAATATTGAATGATGCAGTCAACTACAAACTTGAAATGCCCTTATCTGCCTTAAGAAATAACATCAATCTGAATAAATACCTTACACTAAATCATTCATGCACAGAAGTAATGACAAGCCTCATGTCAAGAATTAGTTTACTTGGTTAATCCAATGATAGATGCTGAAAGGATAAAATATCCAAAAAGGTATTGCCAGTGATAATCAGCTAATTGACCTCTATGTAAAGGGTTCCATAAATATTTTTACTATCCCTTTCATAGTAAATGTACTGGTAATAGAAAAGTTTTCAACTTATCAACAGATTATGCAGCTAAACATGTAAGAGATTCATGTCTTCTCCCAGTCAAAATAGCTGATGTAATTTGTTTAGTGGAGCAAAAAAAACTTTGTTTCATTCAGGAATGCTTTCTTTAGCAGATAACTTTGGGATTTTGATTCATTCATCTGTAGTTAGGGATTTCTTTGTTTGAAACTGCTTTTTTTTCTTAATATTTAAAAATCATGACCCCAAAACTTGAGGTCAATTATTAGTACAACAGTGCTGCCATAAAATCATAAGTTTCCCTAAATAAAAAAAGTACTATATTTGCTGCCAATCAAACTGATTTGCAAAGATCTGATCCCCTAAACTTCACTTCTAATGGGAAAACTTAGCAATGAATCTGCAAATAACTCAGTACTAAGTTAGGCAACTAGCCTCTAGTGTACTTAAATTAAACTTAAGCTCAACCTTGTAATTATGAAATTACAATTTTTTTTTTTTTTTTAGCAGTTAGGACATAAAAGTAAAAAAAGATTCAGATAACTCGACATTTGATTTGAATGAGACTGGATTATCTGAATAATTGGAGTAAACAGGAGATAGGAAATTAAAATAAAACATAATCATTTTTTTTATAACTGAGTTGTGCCTCACAATTCCAAACGACATGTAAAACAAAGTCAAAAGAACAGAAAATGGGAGTGAAAAATAAATTAAATTTGGAATGTGAGGCGACCCAGCTCAGCTTATTTTTATTTTTTTAGCTCACATAACAATGCATATATACATGTATGATAACGATGAAAATTATAGGAATTTATTTTCCTAAGAAAACAAAAATAAATTAAAAAATCAAATATGAAATATGATTTTAAATATACATACATATATTTTTTATTTTATTGAAATTTATACTTTTTTTTTTGTGAACGAGTTTCATTTGAATCATTTTATAATCGCTAATGAACTAAACAATGTCTATACGGGTTCCATTATTGGGCCGCTGGACCTCTTGGAATGCTAGACTGGTGTTACTGAAGATTTTCGGTGATTGAAATTTAATGCATTCATTATAGTTTAGAAAATGATGCCCTTGATTTCATCGTATAATACAAGTACAAGAGCTCCACCAGTACCCCTGAGGACGTTGGAGAAAGCACCCTTGAAGAAGGCACCAGTACCTTCAGTCTTGGCGATGACTCCCCAGCAGTGGATTGTGTTCTTATAGACGATATCGGCTTTAGCACGTCCAGACTGCATCATCATACGCCTCCTTACAGTATCGAAGGGATATGAAATAATACCGGCACATGTTGTGACAACCTGTTAACAAAAAACAATGAATTAGTTATTTGCTTTAGAATATATTCATTTTTGTACAAAGGAAAAATACATAAAACAAATATATCATTGGTTTATTTTACAATAACTCACTGAGTACATTTTTGATAGATCTAAACTTCACAACAAAAATATGTAAGAGAAATGATGTGTAAACTAATTATTACAATTGAACAAGTTTGGAATGGATTTGGAAGATTTTGTCGTTTTACATGGAAGAGATGATGAACGCTTGTCTGGGATGCACAGAATAAAGAAATAAGGTAACTAAAAAGTATAGAGCTAATAAGTGGCCAATATTGCTCATTGGTCCACAAATTCTATATTGAATTTGGAAATAACACTAAGATAAGACTTGAGCTTAGAACTAAGTGTTCATAGAAAGAATGTTATAGTAATTAATCAATTTTTAGTAACTCGATATACATTGAATACAACTTAGGAAAAATCTTCTCTATCCTGGATTCATTCATTGTTTTAGTACGCACAAGATAAGAATAAAACCAAATTAATTCAAACAACTCCTGTTCCACCATCTACTCCATATTTTAAGTTCCCCTAACATGTAAAATTTACTTGAGTCTGTACTGCTTAAAATCAATCAACTGTACAATTCCAATAACAACCAACAATTAATTAGGCATCATTTTATATTCACCTAAGCCAGACTTCTTAATTATATAACTCTGTTATTATTTCTTAGGGGATTTCGTAGTCCCAGAATAAAATTATTTTTTCATTTCATTTCAAAGATATTTTAATGTTTGAAAATCTGGGTACTCTTCACAACTATAGGCTAATTTTAACTATCTCGACAAGTATTTAAGTAAAACAGGTCAGTAGTATAGAACATGAGATTAAGAATAAAGCAAGAAAGCAGAAAATTCTTTTAAAATAACTAGAAAAACTTGACTACTTTAAGCAGGAAAAGAAGAAATAAATATAATTTAAAAGTAAGGAACTACACGTGTGTATAGATACACACATTTCTTCTATGTAATCATACATAACTTTATAAATAATAAACGTTCTACAATAACAAAAAGAACATAACATTTGATATATTTTACCTGAGCAATGGCCCATGAGATTAAGAATCCGGCATTCTTGGGGTCGGGCAACATTCCCTTAGCTGTGTCAAAGCAACCAAAGTATGAAGCTCTGTAGATGATGATACCCTGTACTGAGACACCAAATCCTCTGTATAAACCAACAAGACCGTCCTTCTTGAAAACCTTGGAGATACAGTCACCAAGACCAGTGAATTCTCTTTCCTTTCCACCTTTGCCGACATCAGCAGCTAACCTGTAATTATCCAAGTTTTAATATCTAAGTTAACTACACAAAGTATATTTCTTTGAGAATATTAAAAATGTATAATTTTGATGGTAAATATTTAGATAAAGCATAATAGACTAAGCATCAAAATATAATCTTAACACAGTATGTAACTTATGAGACTAAGTAAACCCAAATCTGAGCCCTCTTCCCTTAACAGTAATACTACATGGCTTGGAGGAATTAACGCCATGGCTGATTTATAAGCAGTAATTTTATTTCATCTTCAAATTAGCATTTTTTTTTTTTAATTTCTATACTTTATTAATTATATTGTAAAAGGTATATTTCTAACGAATTTTATTATTATTATACATAACTAATTATAAAAAAGAATTTACATGTTATATAATTGAGCTAATTGGTATCAAAACCAGCCCATTCTAAATTCTTTTAACAATGTTATTACATAATTTTTCAAATTTTCTCGATGTACAGAACCATATTCACCAAAAGCAACTAACTTTAGTATAAAAGATTGGTTAGAACTCAAGGGAATCCCTTGATCAAAAACGGTATATATAATATACATATATTCTGCATAAATTTTGAAAAATGATCCAACTGATTTTGAAAACATTTCTCCTAAACTCAATACTCGAATAGAATAAGAAATAAATTACAGATAAAATATTACTCAATATTTATACTGATGTTATTAACAAAGTAGTTAAAAATATGTAAAGCTAATTGATTTATTTAAAGCAAGTGGGATCTATATCTGATGATGGTATCAATAAATGGAGAAAAATATAATACACTGTTTTAGAAGAAAAATGACATTTAAAGTGCTCAATCAAATTAGTTTCATCAGAGAGGGGATGGATTCACCAGGAACCATAAAAGCATAGCAAAGTAACCGTTATACATGCTTGTGCTCAGCAAGATTTGGGTAATTCTAAACAAGGCTTTAGATTTGATTTAATGAGAAGCTAATTGCATACCTTATTAACTAGTTTTATTGTATATAGGTGAATATCCTCTATTCCATTGTTACTAAACCAACAATTGTTGCCATAATTTACTATAAAAACTGGAATGTCTAGTCTTCCTTAAAACTAACAAATCTTTAGCATTTGTAAAAATTAAAAAAAAAATCTTATCAGTCTTTCTAATTATGCATCTACTCTCACATTTACCTATCTTAAGTGACGTTTTTGAAATTTATTAACTATCTCTATGTTTTTTAAATTAACAAATTAAAAGGACTAAGTATTTGCCTAAATATTCATTTGCAAAAATTACCACTTATCAAAATGTTTATGTAATGAATTTCCTTTGAGAGGCATGAAATTAACGCCAACATTTTATGGGCCATGGATCCTTTCCCCCCCCCCTCCCAAATAAAGCAATAACACTACAGTATTATAACAAATACTACATATTTGGATTTCACTACTACATACATTTTAATTTCACTAAATAACAGAGAATTATTAAAAGGAAAATATTACCTTGTTCTGGCGAAGTCAAGAGGATATACAAAGCAAAGCGATGTGGCACCAGCAGCACCACCAGAGGCGAGATTACCGGCAAAATACCTCCAAAACTGTGTTTTTTGGTCAACACCACCAAGGAAGACCTGCTTGTACTTGTCCTTGAAAGCGAAGTTCAGAGCTTGAGTTGGGAAATACCGGATGACATTGGCGAAGTTACCTCTCCAGAAAGCAAGAAGACCTTGTTCACGTGGGATACGGACAAAACAATCTATCATACCTAAAAACCAAAGAGAGCTTATAAAAAAAAATAAAGAAAAATAAATGAAGTGGATATCAATCACAGGCTTAATGCCAAACAATATTTAATTACAATATATAATTAAATGATAAAACTGAGTTAAGAGGTTGCTGGGAATGGTTTGCCCCTTGTGCTTTATTGTGTTAAATTCAATTTTTCCAGGTCATTAAAGGGAAACTAATAAAAAGTTTTTCACTTACATAGATAATAAATAAGAAGGTATAGTTTTATTTTTCTTCCCTAAATTGTAACTTTACCAATACAGATTTTAATATCATTGCATATATAATAACTTCTGATTAAAAAATTCAGGAAAATACTTCTAAGATTATGAATCATTTTAACGAAATAAACAGGGATTCTGTTTAAGGATAAATAAAAAAGAGAAAATAATACACCTAAAAACTTGTTGGTTGCATCTTGTATATTTAATTTATTAGTATATGAAAAGGCATAAATAAATATGTAATTACAACTTTTCATTCTTCTCTGTTCTTCAATGACAAGAAACATATTGAAGTTATTATTATTATCAGTTATTTATGTCATAAGTACTTTTATACGATCTATTATATTACATATATGTATGAATTACTAAATATCTATCAACCAATCCTGTTTAAATGTCATTATTTTAATTAACTAATAAGGCATATGCATGGCAAATGTTGATAATTACTAGTAAATTTCAAAATACAAAGAATAAAATTCTATTTTATTTTAGTTTCTAATACGCCCTCCCTTTTATTTAATTTTAGTTTAGTTTGAATATACTAAGTTTCCTTCCTGAATACTTAAGAGATTTATATTTTTTATTGAGGAAATTGTTGGTTCACATAATCTGAAATATATATTAAGTTTTGAAGGTGTATGATTTAATAAAGTATTAATTTTTTTTTTTTAATTTAAGAGCTCACTTCACAAGAAGGGTGCAAATCCATGGTCTAGTCTAATCAAATAGGCCTGATAGATAAAAATTTAATATTAAATTTTGTAATAAAAATAAATACAAAAACATTGCATTAAATTTTATCTTTACAGAACCCCTAATAAATCATGGTAATTTATTAAGGAAAATAAAATTATAACCGTACCTCAGTTAAATTGTAATACCTAGAAGAATAAATTGTTAACACTGTTCAACAAATTAATTTCTTTGGCACTAAAAATTAAAATGTGTTGTATACACTATTTATATATTTTTTAAAATACGTACCTAATACAAATCGAAATTACATTTGTAATGTTCTGCGCTAACATTAATTAAATTTTTCATTAAAAACTTTTGACTTAAAAAAAGGTTTCTTATTAAACTAATAATGGACTCTAGATGAAAACAAATTAAAATTCCCAAAAATAAATATTATATGACCATAAAATAGAGATGGTCTGAGTTACGGCCAAGAAAGGAACCTTAAACAGTAAAAAATATTTATTACTGTCATGGGCACTACCTTTACTCTCTCTTCTCTCATTTGATCCTTAAGAATCATTTCAATATTCTTGTCCTATAATATGGACAATGCCCCAGGTGGTAAAAAGATACAAGTTTAAATATTGTTACTCTATACTTCTACCATCAGAGTTAGTCAAGATAAAATTGATACTGAACAACAAAAATTTAACCATTTGTAATATTTTTGAGGGATTGGTAATAAAATTTTAATCACTCATTCTTTGCATTAATGAGTATGTAAAGTTACCAATAAATTATAAAATTTACTAGATGCAATGCATAAGAAGATCCTTAATTTTTGGTATATCATACTAAAAAAATAAAATAAAAACATAAACCACATTTTCTTGTCATGAGTAAAGACTTTATATAAATTTTAACGGAATGAAATAGTAATAATTTTTCTAATAAAATACTATTATAAAAAAGCATAAGTTGTTTAAAACTTGATATAAAATAACAAATACAAGAATTACTTTTTGTTAATAACTAAAAACTATATTTGGAAACTTTACATTTTAAATTCTAGGATTATAATATTAAAACATATTTAATTAAACTTAAAGCTTTGGATTAACTAATAGTTTTAATTCATTAATCAAATGAGGAATTAATGTTAGAACTTCATTCAAAATAATATTAGATACTTAATTTTAAGTTAACCCACTACATATACTATGATAATTATGTACTTTATCTATAATTAGTTGTTTTTTTTCCTTCCCTGAAGAAAATTATAATATATGACGGACTTTAATCAAGAACTTTAACAATAGCTCCACCATTTGAGCATGGTCTTGGTTTATTGATAAAAACTATAAAATATAAACTAAGAATATGGGCTATAGTCAGGAAGAAGACAGTTAATATTTTACGCCATATAAGAGGGTCCATGAAAGTGATTTAATTTAATGTTTGTACGTGAATACGCTTTGATACAAATACCCAGTTATTTAACATATATTTTAATAATATGGAAATGATCCTGAATACTTTAAAAAAATATTTTTATATTTAGAGGTTATTTCTGCCATTTGGATGGAAGCCAGCACCACACTTGACATCAATTATATCATAATGACCTTGTAACCCATTACTGAGTAAGATTAAACATAAGGCCTATATAATATCTTCACTATGGTTTAAATAATTCAATATTTAAGGGAAAAATTAAAAAAAAAATAATATGCAATTTTTAGATTATGAAAATATATTTATTTCTTGTAAAATAAATAAAATAATTTGATTTTTTTTAAACGAAAATAGTAAAGATTTCTTCACGATTTGAATTAAATCATTGACCGGGTACATATAACACGTGGATTCAAGGTGATTAAGAGGCAGACTGCTATAAAGAGATGGTAGACCTTGCCAAATGGTACCACGTGCAAGGACCTCAGGCGCCGGTAACCTACTAAGTCTGGTAACGGTTTAAGATAAGTTATATTTTACACGCGTTTATATTTTAATTAAAATCGACAGAAGGCTTAAGTTTCTTTTATTGATAAAAGTTGAGAATTGGCCTATAATGTTCATGAAACGTCACGAGTTACGCAAGAAAAGTCGGCCATATTAGCAACCTTGCCGAATTAAAGAAAATATAGTTCTTACTGCGCAAGCGCGTCTTAAGTTTTCGTGAAAAAGGCGTGGTATAAGTTATTAAATTAAGCTAATAATTGATAACAGTATTAATAATTAATAACAGTAGAAATCTTAAAACTTTAACTAACTAAATAATCAAAAATAATGTAAATCCTTTAACATAATCACGGTCGATTATGAAATAGAAAATGGGTCACTTCCTATTCCTTTATCATTAAAACTAAAATATTAAGCGAAAATTGAAGACTTACCCTTGTATCTCTGCTCAGGGGCGATTTGCTTGGAGATATGCTGGACTTGAAGAAGTAACTTGACTCGTTCGATGGGAGCTACGGCTGTCTTTGAGATTGCCGCAGATACACCTCCGGCAACAAAATCCTTCATAAAGGAAACGGGATCGGTGATTGCGGGCTGCATGTTGGTCTAGTTGGTTAAACTGAAGTGAAGTGAACGAGTCAAGAGATCCAAGCACACCCAAGGTTCAGGCCGGAAAGGTTTAGGGGATTGAGTGGGGGAATCGATACAGCCTGTCTGCACCCCCACCACTCAGGCATACCACGACACTCTGGGAAATATAATTTTCTCATTCCTGAACATTGTTTCTAAATTAAACATAAAACAAGCTTATAGTAATTTATTAAAATACTTTTGAAAAACAAAGCATATATATTATGAATCAGAAATCATTGAAAATGATTTATCAATAACTTGTTATTGCGATGGAGCTGATTAGGCATTTAATAGAATTAATAAATGATATATTATCGAACTAATTCAAATCAGCTTGGCACATATATTGAGTAAATGTGGTAGTATCGTAAACCGAAGTGTGCCTCTGTGTCAGGCTGTGACAATCTAAAATTAAGTAGGCTAGGTTGCGGAAAACCAATATGCATTTTCAGTAACTGGAACAATAGCTCAATAAATATTAAACAAAAACCAAAGCTCTGAAAATTCTAGACAAATTTATCCATGCTTCGTTACGTCGTAGATATCCAACAATATCACAATATTTCATATTATGCATTTGATTTGTTCAAAAATCAAATTAAAATAATCTATGATAAATAGATATTAAAACAGTACATCAAATACTTACTTAAATTTACTGGACATACTTCTCACAGACATATGGTATAGCTAAAAAGACCCTCGACAAAATCTTCAAACTTTTCATACAAAAATATTACGACTCAACCAACAGTTGACTAACACATAAGTACGCCTTACCAACGATTCCGTACTAATTTACGCGGATATAATAACATACTAAGTTGTAAGAGATATGGCTTCATCCGACAAGCCCATGAATACGAGGAGGAGATTGAAAAGGTGTTGGAAGAGAGATCTTCCTAAAGAAATTATGGTAATTGAATCAAGTCTGGGAAAGAAAATTGTAATGAGTTGCTATGCTTAACATGTCATTTTCATTATTTCCATCAGACCATCTGCTAATTATAAACATTTTGTCGATAAGAGCCCGTCAATATCTGAGGTTACATAAATTAATAAATAAACAATATATAGATATTAAAATAAATAGGGTTAATTGAGCCAAGTGGTCGCAACAATTTAAAATAAATGAAAACAATATTTAGTAGCTTTTTGATATTTTATTTCTAGTAAGGAACTTACACTAATAGCAATGGGCGACTACAATACAGGCTCATAATCTCGTGTTAATATTCACTTAAAGAAAACTAATCATAATACATATGATTAATCAAAGTGAAGAAATAAGCGAGAAAGATAATTATCTTAGTCTATTTGATACCGATGCTGTTCCCAATTCATGGATAATCAAACTAAAATTGATTGAATGAAAAGGTTGAAATTACATTTAATTTAAATCTTATTGACATTAAAAACGAAAGTCTTGCACCTCAACACCTTTTGATTTCTTATCTAGTTCTTTTTGAGACGTTGTACTGATCTAATCTGCTTGATTGCCTGTAATCGCGGTTCCTTCGATGTAACAGTATTGGGAATATCACTTTCTAAAATGTCTTTTCTCCTGAAAAATAGCGAATGCTTGGATTCATACTTTACAGAACACCAAAGATATTTCTTGTAATTCAGACCTTCCACAAAATTTGTTTTTTATTATTTTTTTTTTGAGCAGAAGGAAGAATACGAGGAAGAAAGTATAGTGGGACAGCTGTTCTTTCCAATTCTGTATCTATAGACACCAATTTTCAGGTTATACCGCCATTGTTACCAAAAGGTTCCACGAATACGACCAATAGTTGGAGCATAGGCTTTACGGGGAGAGCTTTCGGACTGAAGTCCCCTCTCCCCTCCAAAATGGTAAAATGTAACCATGTTTTATGGTAAAAAAATATTAAAAAATTATCTCTTGAAGTGTTATTGTTTGTTAAATTTAATAGGGCTTCAAGTATCAGTTAAATACTATTTCATATAGGTAGTTAGTTTCTTTCTCTTTTTTTCCCAAAGTAATTATCATTATATATGTGAAAAAAAAAAACTTTCGGACTGAAGCCCCTCCCCAAAAATTGAATCCTGGATCCGCTAGTGAGTCCGAGTATGGCATCTCAACAAAATTTTAACTAGTCTTAATTCCTAGGTTGGTCATCCTGAACTCTTCACTCAGTATTCTGGAACCGGATTGACGCATCCTTCAGTTTTTATTTTTTTATAATCTGGCCTTACTGTTCGAAGCCACTACTGTGGCCATATCTTTTACTTAGGAGGTGCCTCTCAGTGAACTATTTACGACATTTAATGGATAAATTTATAATTATTTGTGAATTTTTATAACCATACCTGTCTTACAGTGATTAATAGGGAAGAGAGTGTATCGGGAAAAGCAGTAGTAATAAAAAGTCCTGACATCTTTGTTTGCAACTTTTATTTTTTATTCGAATAACTCATAAAAAATATTTATAAATCTGAATATCCAATGTCTGGCATTGTTCGATGAGTGGCTTAGAGATGCTCCTTTGTTTTCTCGACGAGCTGTTCATCTTTCTAACCTGACGCTCAGAGTTACCCATGGGCAAAGGCGTATACTTTGGAGAGGAGAAGGGTAAGGGGAACCTCAAATATTCGATGAATAAAAATAAAAAAAACTAAGGTGCTTTAGACTACGCGAAGAAGTGAAAACATGAACAAGATGAGATTAATAATATGAAATACAAATTATAAATAATAGCTCATTATAAAGATGATGAGATGCTGAACATTTCCCTTGCTTACATTATGCAGGTCCGATTTTTATTTTCTGAGATATTTTAATCCATAACTTCCATAAAATCATCATTTGGTTTTCGACACAATTTTTTTCTTTTTTCGTTTCTCTAACACGGCTTCCTGTTAAGATTCAGTTTTTAATAATTGCTCATTACAAAGAGGATGAAATGATGAACAACTCCCTCTATCACGATACGGAGGTCCAATTTTTAGTTTTCGAAATCATACCAGACTGAAACGACAAGAAACCGCTCTAAGTTTCCGATTGCTTCAGCACTTACTAGACAAACGCTCCAAACTTCCGATTAATTACAAAAGACTCATATATGTGACTATAATAAGGCCTATTTGCACTTACGGAGTTGAGCTATGGTGCTCCACTAAACCATCGAATACCTCTCGTATCCAATCCTTACAAACCGGAATCCTTCGTAAAATCCTCAATGCTCTCTACTTTGTTACAAATAAAACCACCCATAATGACCTTAATGTTTCTTATGTTTCAGATCTGCTCCAATCCAGATACCTATCCATAGTAAACTTCAGAATTATCCCAACCCTCTCGTTTCTAACCTTGCTTCCTCATCAATTCCTGATAACCCTTCGAGCCGTCTGAAAAGAAGACGGCCCCGTGATTTCCTAATGTAAACATATTATTAGAGTGCTACCATTGGGTAGTTTCTCAAGAAGTGTTTTCACGCCGTTATATCCATATGTTCAAATTTACAAAATGCATTTCTTTAATTCAGTTGTAAATATCATTAAGAAATTTAAAAAAAATGTATATATATAGTTTTTGAGATATTTTAATCCATATGCAAAAACACTTCAATTAGCCGACTCCAGTCGACTTTAGCCGCGCGTTACACATCGGAGATCTGAGGGCTCAATCTAATTCACTCCCTCCGAAAAAAATTGGAAAATGCGCCAAAATTAGTTTTCACTTCAAAAATGAAATATCAAGTAATCTACACTAATGGATAAAGTAGGTAGACCCTTTTAAATTGTTATTTAAAAAAATAGGGAAAGTTGTTTAGTTGGCTCAGCTAAGTCCTAAAAGATTAGTTGGCTTAGCTAAATCCTAGAAGGAGATAGTTATATCAAATACAAAATCCTAAAGTTCCACTTATTTCAAATGTAGGAGTGTATAGAAATACTGTAAATTATCAAAGCGTTATTGTTTATAAGAGATTTTAAGTTTCTTGGATATAACAATTCGACGCCTCTGGACAATGACGTTATCCATCTCTCCCTCCTTCCCCCCCCGTAAAAAAATGAAATTTTTTTCTTAAGCTGTTTTATGTGATGTAATATATGATTTTTATTTCATTCAACATTTCTCTTATACAATTGCTTTATTAATAGGCTAAAATTAACTATTTTAGTACGGTTTGTATTTTTTTTTTAAATTCTAACAAATGGCAAGCTCCTCTGAACATCTGCTGGCGCCACGATGCAATTGCCCCACCGACACTGATTAACACAACTCTTGTACAACAGAAAAAATGAACACTTTTTTATAGTTATTTAGATAATCATGAACGAGTATTTCCATGCTACAGAAGTTATACCTACTGTAAGTAATAAAGATCAAGAAGAATAAAATAAAGTATAAATATAAATTAGTTCCTCTATATATCCAAATGCATTTTTGTTCAATGTTTGTTCCATTTTCAGGTACAAATTAATTCTTATATGGAAATCTCCTTCTTTTATAGTCAAAAAATAAAAATTAATAGCGTAAAAAATCATCGAAATAATAGTTATTGAAATATCAGGAGTAATAGGTTGGGAGTGGAATTGAAAGCTTTACACGCATCATCTTAACGGTTTTAAAAACAATTTAATTCTCTCATTAATATACTAAAATCTCCAACCAAATGCGCGATACCGAAAGAAACTATTGAGAAAAAACTGCTGTTACGAGTTCGCTCATTAAACAGATGCTTTATAAAATAATAGCATTTTCAAAACATTTTGAATCACTTATGATCACAAAAGCATAGCCTCGGTCATTGAAGTTTGTTACCTGCCGTTGAAACAGTTACTTTTCTATTTCAGATTTGAAATGGTGGTGCAAAACCCAGCTAAGACTCCATCATTCTGGTTTACAGCGGTGGCTTGGATTTTGTGCTTGGTTATTTTAGTGCTGATCTTCATGGGCAAACTATACATGATAGTGCAAAGATACGAGAGGCGTTGCAATGAGGAATTCGGAGTATCTCGTTGTGCACATATATACATTGCAACACATCCCAAAACTGGTTTATTCTTAATATCTTCTGCCGCACCCCTCTTTTTTGTGATCACTTCAGGACTCCTGATCAACTTCGCTTTTGTAAGACAAGCTTCTGAACGAAAAATAAACTTGGTTTATTCTCTCATCGGAGCCATTACCTTTATTTTAACGGCTGTGGCGGCTTTCCAATATTACGACGACTCCAAACCAAATTCTGATAACGTTGGGATGATGCTGCATGCAGTGACTGGCTGTGTATTTCTGTTCAAAGGCATTTATGAATCGATTATGTGTTGTTTTAGAAAAAAATAAATTTCGCATGTTCATAAATTTATCTAAGCTGCATGCACTGTTTTATGACATTAAAATAATAATAATAATAGTAAAAGACAAATCATATTCTCTTTTATCTTCCAACAATGGACTCACGAGACTTTTGGTGTAAAAAATTAAGCCTCCATTAAAGTATTTAATTCATGGGACTTTGATTTCCATCGCTATTCTAGAAGAAATTCAATTACTGGATATTCATCGTTCCTAATAATAACCGTGAAATATCTTGAAACTCTGAATATATCTACAATATATTCATCAAAACTTTTTTACATTTCTTTGAATTGTTTTTAGATATGGTTCAAGAAGAACAAAACAAGAAGTCCAATATCAAATATGATCAGCACAAAACTTCAGAATTTCAGCGTTACTAAAGGTAAAAACTAATGGGCGATGTAATATTTTCTTAATTAATGTGTATGTTTGATCAAGTACTTTGAATTTTTTTTCATCGATTACAAATAGGTTAGTAGTGAAAATTTAACTTTCTTATTTATAATTTTGGTTTATTATAGAGTATTTTATTTTTTGTAAGAGTTTAGTTGTATTGAGTTGTATTGAGAGATATCGAACTTTCAGAGAATGCTTAAAAAACTTAGAAATGTATGTATGAGGTTCGGCATTGGAATTTATCATATTTAAAGCAGATTGTATTGTTTTCCATTAAATTTAACAGAAATATATAAGTAACCCTATTTATTTTACTCTACACAATTGTTACCCATTTTTAAAAACATATTACTTATTTTATATTTGGAAATACAAATTGTTATGCTACGTGGCGGATAATCTCAGTCTTCAGTCAGTAATTCAGGCTCGGAGTTGTTACAGAAAGATTGTATCCTATTTCACCTTCTATCTATAGGTTGACTAGATATTTGGTGTAAAAAACTAAGCCTCCATAATCCATGATCCTTCGATAGATTCGAAATGAGAAGGGAACCTGGTGGTTGAATGTGAGTTATTCTATTATCTTCAAGTTTGATCGTTGGTTAAAAAACAGTAGATTTTAATAAAGCATGTATGGACTGGATTTTTAAAATTGCTATTTTACTAAACGTAAGTGGAACGTTTAAAGCGATTAAATAATGCCTTAAGACATCAAGATCCGTAACAACATTAAATGAACCTGGAAACCTAACCTTATAGCTTATTTTAAAAAAAAACACTTCTGGTAAAACAAATGCTAATAGAGAGTAAAATTTATAATTATTTGCGTATAGATAATTATCGAAAAACATCCAAAAAATATTTGTAGTAAGTGGTCAATTAAAAACTAAATATTCAGTGAAACTTTACTGGTCGGATTTATTTAATTTTTCATCTGTTTATAGAAAAAATAAATTTGAAATGAATAGAGAAAAAAAAACTTTACCCTTAGAAAAATAATGCATCTGAGTCTTACTTAATATGACGATCATCTTTTAGACTGCGCTTGCAGGCAAAGTTAAAAAATTATTAAATTTTCAATACATATCCAATATGTATAAATATATATGTATTGCAAACCTGTTTATAACTCAAGCTATAAAACTACAAGAAGGACATTGGACTGAGCTTCATATGATTTCATGAAGGGTCTTGGGTTCAGTACTTCATAAAGATTCCTTGGTCAACGGTTGAGCTAGATGATTTAATCAAGAACCGAGCAAGGTTTGTCACCTTAATCAGTTGATTAATAAAAAGTAAACATCTTAATAAGGGATGGGTGTTCCCCAGGAGGATTTACTAGTCTCTGGATCGATCTACGGCTGGTGGAGCAGAATAAATAATTACCTTACACAGCCGGAATCGAAACATATCGCCTTACTTATTCAGCTACATCCCTTTATATTTATATATATATATTTTTTTCTTGGACCGAAATCCTGCGCATTAGAATGAGTTTATTGAGGAGGTGTAAATAGCATAGTATATACGTAGATTTTACATGCTTAATTGTAGTATTATATTATAACAATGTAAAAATTCAGTTAATAAATTTAATAGGATGAAGGAAATGCAACTAAAGATAAAATAATAAGCGACAAAGAAATGATCATATTTTTTACATACATTTAGAAAATATCATCTGTTATAAATGCATAGATCATATGTTGGAATAAATAATTACTTTAACTAACCTATATATGAAATATGTATTATGGAAAAGTGATGCATGCCAACGAAAATTCTTCTGATGTCTTCTGAATCCAAATAACCAACCCTCGCAAAATGCTATTCATTTGTTTATTCATTTTCTATTTGTTATACTTTTTAGGTGTGGGGAAAAATATTTCATAATTCCAGGTGTGACTAGAAATCAGTGTGAAATTCCTGTTCACTGAAGAACCACCTATCTTCTGTCCGTTACCGTCCAACGGAAACGCTGTCAAGCATTACTTCGCGAAGTGCAGAATGGCTGGGTGCCTGTCTTCTTATTATATCTGGCCTCTTCTTTCTCGCTCTTTTTCTTTAAGTTTTCTTCTTATTAGTGGTGTATAGTCTGCTATAACACTCTAGCTTTTCCACATACTCGTGGTTATCAGAGTGATTAGGTTTTCCAAGACTGACTTTTACTTCTCTTTGACGAAATTCTTGTAGGTTATGTTATCACGCACATCCAATTACTGCAATCACCAAACAATGTCTTCAACAGTCAATAATTATCCAACATCACAAAATGAAATTGAAAGCAATGTTAAGAACTGATGAATAATTCGCTTTAAGTCTTGAATCAAATTTTTTTTTAAATCCCTACAAATTCTTTAAGACATCTTTAAAATCAATTGTAAGGAATTTGGTATTTCTACATTCTTCAATCATGTTGTGCGATCGAGTAATAACGGTCTTATTATTATATTCAAGTTTTATTTATTATCGTACTGTCTGTATATTATTGTTTTCCCAAATCTAATTATTTAGGTAAATGTGACTTTGATTTTTGAACTAATGTAAATATCGCATGGCTCCAACGTATGCCATGCTCAGAAATGGTAGACACGATATGTATGTAAATATTATTTGATCAGGCGCATCTGTCGTAAATGTCGTAAATAATTCTTATGTCTATTCAGTTGGTTTGGTAACATGGCGACGGTAGGAGAAGGAGTCTATTTTGAAGGTGCTTGAAACTGGAATGCAATACAGTCACGCTAATTATTTTTGACGTTCATTGGGAATTCTAAGGAAAGGTATTTGCGTACATGTTATGTTGTGTTTGAACTTTGGTTAGGGATCAAAAACCATAAGCTCAAATATTTTTAACGTACCTATTGCTCAAGTCACTTATCCCTTAGAATAACGTACAACACTTTAAAGGAATATTAACAATTAGACGCTCTGTTAGAAGAGGATATATATATTTTTTATTCAACTTTCTAGTTCCTTATTTTTAATCAAAATTTGCTTAATGATGAATTAGAGTTAATGTGGGGTGGAACGAGGAATTCATTCATTTATTCATGGAGCTCATTTCGTATATTGATCGGGAATAGTGATGTGATTATTAAGATATTAAAGTAATCTGGATGTAGATGTTTGATAATCTGCCATAGATGAATAAATATAGGATGGCATGCATAGTCATTTATCTTATCCCACTTGATCGCTCGGTAAAAAAAGAACACTTAAATGAAATTCAATGAAAAAGGACTCTTAGCCAATTTTATTGCAGAATCAATTTGATATTTCTTCTACTCTCAAATATTGGCGGAAAAACGCATTAACGTAAGGAATGCAGGTAACAGGACTGTTTCAATTTATAATAACGTTATTGTTTTATAGAATCCATTTAGTTGAAAGTAGCCGTAGGGTAACTATTATGCATACCATCCAAGAGCCTTCCAATGCATTTTAAATCTGATAGATTATAATCCAAACATCTTCAAGCGATTTTGTACATACGATGGTGAAGAAAAGGGAATTGCCGCATTGTTCCAAAGAGATTTGATACCCGATCCATCGATACCTTCCACAGCACCTTGGGACGTCACAAACACAGCACAGTGACAGCACAGCAACGAGTTGTGGGTAACCTCCTAGTTTTTTTTTTTTAAGAACCTTTCAGCTCTCAAATTAAATTTAAAGATGCGTTTTTAATTTTATAATCGAGCTCTCTTGAAAATACATTATAGAGAGTCCAGTTCGGCATCACTTTATCCAGAAATTATTGTGGTGAATATTTTTGTAATTTCATGATATTAAAAATCTGAATGGTTGTTTGTCTATGAAAGCAAAATATTCTAATCTAAACACATTCATCAATGTCAAACACACAATGAATAAAAGGGTCATATTATTGATCCAGAGGAAAAGTGATCGTCCAATTAGATAGGAGTTGAGTCGTATGTTTATTTTGCAAAAGGGATTTTCTCTCTTTTTATTTTCCAGTGGTTCAATTTTGATTTTTATAATTCATTATTACTTATTTTCATATAATTTTCATTTTCATATATTTCTAATCAGGATCTATTGCTACATGTTACAAGTTCATTTTAATCAAAGCTAATGTGTCGCGTCGTATTCAAATCATTTGTAAGAATATATAGTTTTGTTCGTGGTTTTCAGCCTTTTCAAATCGGATAGGGAGTACAAATTTTGATTTTGAATCACAAAATAAATAATTACCTAGTTAGGGACCAACACTTGGTACGAACCGACCTTTTTGGGATCCTCGGACTACCTCGGCCACAAAGGTCCCGCTTGTTAGGTCAGTATTCGTAAAGTAGAGTACATGGAGACACATAAGAAAAACAAGAATCGAGAATGAAAATGGGAATATGTAAGAATATATTGATTGTTATGCTTTATCTATTCTCGATTTTATGGAATGCCATCTGATTTTCTTGGTGCGCTATTGAATGTCACCGAGTCAAGTGGTAAATGCATTTAAAGTATTGAAGCAATATTTAATTTCTGTATAATGAAATCTAAAGACATTTACAATTCCGTATTTTATACAATTTTATATTATACAATCCGTACAATTACAATTTTATCAGGACAATTTTTAATTCTCATCCGGTCTGAGGAAACTATACAAACCATTACAGATCTACTTGTGGTAGTTTACAAGAGGATCTCCTCAGCATTAGACCGGACCCTGATACTAGTTTGAGTCTCCTTTTAAGTGATATATTTATATGTATCGGTTAGTATGTTAATGGGGGGCGGTTTGACCGAGCGAGAGAACGCTTGTGAAAAATAGGCGTTGTCCGGCAATGTGATAAGTCGAAGATTACGAATTCGAATCTCGGTGTCGTGAGGACTTTTAACTCTGTCATGATTTCCCCGTCCTATCTCATAGCATGAGAAAAATATAACCTGAATGGCGAGGAAGGGATGAAAAAAAATTGTGTAAATAAATCATGATGGTACATATTTTATACTATATACCTAATGATCTTTTATA